AAAACATTTTATTATTAATAAAAAAATGTGATTATATGATGATCAGACATTATTATGTTATATAAATAAATGTGAATGAAATATCTAATAAAACACACTAAAAACATAAATAAAACACACACCAACACTCGCCAAACCTAACCAACAATAAACAATAAACAAGAACAAGAATGACATGAAATGATTCATAATTGCAATTGTCAAAATTTATTCTACAAAATCTTTGTGGCGACATCTATAGACTCTTTCCCCAACTTGTATATCCATCTCAAGTCACGTGGTTCCCAGTTTCCCCATATTTTCAAGTATAAGTTCTCGGGCCCTGTGTTCCAGTTTATATGTGTACAAACTAAATATATTTTTTACGCGTATATATGGAAACTACAACTAATATCGCATTATTTTAAACTTCTCAAAATGTCGATGAACAAATTTTTTATAAAAATCTATTCATTTTTAAATTTGTATGTAAAATTTAAGATAATATTTCGTTTCATTCCATACATTTTCACTTTTTCTTGCAAAATTAATTTTTAAATGAAAAAAAATTGTTGCAGTAGATAATTTTAATGGGTGTAAAGTTTTTGGATTAAAAAATTGCTCCCAAATATGCAAGTTTTTAGGGCATTTTTAATATAAATTTTTGGAATTTCACCCGTTTTTTTTTTATCTACTATGTTATCAGCCTGTAAATCAAAACAACCTGAACGTATATATTAACTTTTATTAAGAAACCCGTTATATTTTGGATCTTATAAAAATATTTTTGAAGGCGTTTGCCATTGTGTAAGTGGTTGTTTTGTGTGAAAATAATAAAAAGTCGTTTTTTTATTTATTTTTTTAATTAAGATATTAAACTTGGGTAAAATTAAAATGTTCATAAATCAGATTAAGTAGTTATAAATCTACAATTTATTGTACACAAATATGGACAACTAATATCAATTATATAAGTATACGTAATTTTAGAAAATACATAACTTAAACTAGGTGTTCACAGCCTATATGTATTTACTGTCATGTGCATAAACTGTAAAAATCTAAAAATTTGGCATTAAACATCTTAAAACAATAAAAAAGAACCTAATGTTTATAGCGCAGCTTCCTCTTTTTTCCAGTTCACAACAAACTTAAAACTAACAAAACTAACAATGAAAATGATAAAACTTACTCAGTTCTAGAAAACATCTCAACAGTCATAAAATCTAGATTATGTCTCAGAAATTGATGGAAACAAAACAACACTACAAAAAATGTTAGAATAAACAATGGTGATGCTATAGAGAAAACTGCACAAATCAGCCTAAATGGCACAGAATATATATATTTATATGAAATAATATAAACAAAACGGGACTTAAATAGGTGTAGAGGCACACAGTAAAAATTTCAATACACAAGAGGAAATAAACTGTGTACATAACTTAAAAAAAACTATTTGTCTTTGTTGTGCATCGGCAGAACATAGTTGATCACTGAAATGAAATATGTGCCTTTTCAACATAAAAAATGGTCCTTATTAAATACGGTCGGCTTGTTTGATCAGACTTTGTATTCGAGAAGGGAGAGATTAGTGAACGTGAATCCAAATAAACGATTTAGAAAAATCAATGTTTTATTACAATAATCATTTTCCCATTTACTTTATACTTCTGGATTTCTGGACTACCTTCATTCATTTTATAGTTATTTTTTCCGGTTCCTATCAAATGCAACATATATTTCCTTTATATATTAATGTAACTAATATGATTTTATACTAGAAACCAAAATTTATACATTGCAAACACATTTAAATTCTAACAAATTCCAAACTTTTTTTTTTATCGTTCACTATCTTGAAAAATTACTGCAGATGTGTGTGTGTATGTGTGTATTTAATGTAATTATACTCTTGTATCATCAATTACCGAAAAATTCTTCAGCATCTATTAGATACAAGCAGTGTTACTCTATATTAGTAAAAATATAGACTTTTCTTTCTATACTTATAAAAATATAAATTTGAATTATAAACTCAATTACATATAAATAATTTAAAAGCTACATATATTAGTGCAGGCTCTTCCTAGATATCTAAACATTGTGCCTCTTGTATCTGTCAAATAAAAGCTAATAAATATACGGAAATAGCCTGAATAACGATTGAAAATATTCATTAGAGTACTACATAAGCGTAATATACAATCTTACTGTTAAAACTACAGTATACTGTTCACAGACCAAACAATTTTTCTGCACCAAATTTGACAGTAACTCACTTCTCAGATAAAATTTAGACAACTTTATAGATTGTATCGAACCGACCATTGCCTTACTGCTTAACTGGTTTGTAATTGTCACTCTGTAATTCATAGAAGCATTTACATAAATTCATTTTCCGATACAAAATTCAATTTTTACAACAAAACATTTTCTTCAATAGCACCATTTTCTTTTTTCATTCAAAAGAGTCACTGAATAAATACCAAACAACATTCAATACAATCTGTAATAACCGACTGCAACATCTACTCTAGTTCACGTGCAGAACAACACTCATAAGGGCAATTTATTCGATGCCTCTAGGTCCATCAATTGGCATTGTATGTAAAACTTCATCGAGCAACTGTAATGCTCTGTGTAGATGTACCTCAATCCAGCAAGGGGTCTCCTTAATAGACTGTCTCGGATAATCTGGTCCCCAGCCTTTGACAAAGCTCAACCTCAATATGCAAAGGCGTCTTAAGTCATCAACCCCGATTCCTGTCGCTGCTGATAAGCCTAGACAATTTCAATAGATACAGCAGTTGACTAGAGGAAAAACAAGTATGGCTAAATAATTACTATATTTTGCACTTACTTATAGCCGGAGCAATGCCTCCCACAGAGTGCGGTCCTGGTATGTGGCCAGCTACAGCAGCGGCTTGTGCGGCAGCCGCGGCTTGCGCAGTTGCAGCTTGCGTCGTCATCTGATGATGGCATTGTCGCAGATCAAATACCTAGAAAAAACTCTGTAAAAATTCTAACCACTCGCTAGAAAGTCTCACCTTTATGTACGCTGCAGGATAGATTTTATGAACGGCATCACCAGGTTGACGGCCCGCCTCTCGATCAAGATAGTAACTTTGAACAAATACTGAATGATCGCTCAGACAACGTAACCAAACATCTCCTTCACCTCGTAAATCTAACTGCACCCCTTTGCCAATGTGAAGACGTGCCCTTTCACTCTGCTCCGTCCTGTGGACGTTGCTCAACGCTCCTAGACAAAACCTGTTCCCACCTGATGGATCGACGTAACCGTCGATTGTCACATTAGGACAATTCGAAGGGACTTTGAATGTCTCACCGACCTGAGAGTCCAACTCGAAATACGCGACAGAACACCAGTACTCTGGAGCTGGCTGTGATGATAGTAGGCCCGCAATATTAACCTCAGAACCTATTTGGTTTGATGAATTGTGATTCCCTATAACCCAAATTTAACAAAATATAAACCCGACATATATATTAAAATTGAAATTTCATAAAACCAATATTTTGGCTAACTGAACAACTTACAGTAAGCAGTGTGATGATTTCTGTTATCAGGTGGTTGCATTGACTGTGTATAAGTTAAAGTGTTTGAGCCTGTCCAAGTACCACCAGCACCTGTAAAAGCTTGACCCATAGTGGGTGTAGGCTGCGTACCCGAAACAGTTCCACTCGTACTAGCTGCAACTGCGGTATTTGACGAGTTGCTAAAGCCATTTTGCTGTAGGTGTGGCGAAACAGGGGAGTTACTTGCTGTTAAAACAAGAAATTGTTTGTAAACGCAATAATAATTACAGTATTCAAATACATTATGATTGTGACTATTACGTTCTTTAAAATTTTCGGATCAGGATTGTAGTCATTACATCGCACATGTGAGTATACTCACCAATATTTTGCGACAGCGCATCCTGTGCAGGTCGATCTGGAACTCCAGGTGTTTGGGTGGCATTATAAAACTGTTGGCTGTTGTGTCCAGGTGGAGCAACATGTATCGGTGTGCCTGAACCTCCTGGCTGTTGCTGGGTGTTTAGTGAAGTAGACGACACTTGATTCTGACCTAAAATATTGATAAAGTATAACAAGGGATTATATAAAAAGGAAATAAACTTATGTATCCTTCAACTAGAACTTTTACTAGAACAACAAAATTTTGGACTCTCGGCATCACATCATTTACCCTCTTCAAATAAACAAACATAGAAATTGATTTTAAAAAGCATTTATAGATTAAAAATCAGAGGTCGTAGTATTTTTTGACTAGTCATATTCTTATTTACATATTAGCGAAGTATCTTGTTAGATTAAGTGACAGAGAATTATCTCCTTTTATGGTGTATAAAAATAAATAAATAAATAAAATAAAATAAAAATAACAAATCTTACGATGTAAATGCATGTGTGGCAACCAATTAGATCGGGAACAAGTGTCGGGTCCACCTTCAATTTTGGGCACAGTAGAAGGTCCCAAAACTGGTCTATTTGAAGTATTATACATTCCGGGATCACCTACCATAACAACGGAAAAGAGAAACATGCATAACATAAATATTCAAAGCAACATAAATATCTATAACGTATATACATTCGACATTCCAACTAATATTTACAGAAAAATTAATCAACACAATAATTTTTTAAAAACAGAAATATAAATTGTGCAACATTGCATAATATGAAATTACCAGATGTATTGTAAAAGCAAAATATTTTGCTGCGTACTCACTAAAATGAAAACACTTTATTTTTAAAAAATTTCATGCTAAAAATATGTACCAGTTTTTAAACAACCAATATATGAATAAATTGCTTACAAATTTTGTTTAAACTACAAATAAATCAAGGTTCACTTACTTGTTGGAGCAGGCTGAAGTCCGGATAGAGTGAAGTTTTGCTGGGGCGGGTGATGTTGAATAGTCTGAGAAACATTCATGCTTATCTCTCCATCGATTTCCATACTGCTGCATGGTACAGGTCCAGCTGTGTATTCATCTTTAACTAATCTAGGAGCACCTGATTGTAATGTTAATCCTGATAAGTCTATACCAGGTGAAACTACCCTCTCGTAGTGATAAGGATTTACGCAGACGGAGTCACACTTCAAATCAAACGCAAACTGACAGTACTTGACGTGCTTCAGTTCATTTTTGTGTAAATCTGGCCATCTCCAAATTCTGGCGTATATCACATGTGGGAAACCTTAAAATGTTTTATTAAAAAGTAAAACTTGAAAATATATTTTAATACCTTTTCTGCCAGCAACTTGCAATCGCCCATCTAATGTTCTTTGTATAGTAACGCATTTACTAGGATGAGCGCCGCTAGTAGTAATGGCCGTTATAAGAGAATCTAACTCATCACGTTTTTCTTTTAATTTTTTAACGAGGGATTCAATAGCCCGTTTTGCAAATCCTTCGCTTTCCCCTCCTTGTCTGTGACACATAAGACTGTGTACAATGCTCAGACAAGCATCTGCAGAAGAAGGTGCATTTGTTGTTATTCCAGACATTACTAGTGCTACAACAAAGAAAATAACCTGTACTTAATCGTATAACAATTAAAGTACACTGGACGACATACATTCTAGAAAGCAGTATAATTTTTTTGAAAACTCAGTATCAGTATTGTTAGTAGATAACAAGAATTTGGGTGTTTTTTTGTTATTGAAAATGTATTAAGGTAATAACTCGCAAGTAAACATAAAGTTTTCAGTTTTCTACGAGTGCTAAAATATTACTGAAATAGTAAATATTTTGTTATTAGAAGTGTTATTTATTGTCACATGTTATGAAATACTTATAATTTCTTTAAGCTGAACATGCAAGTGAAAAGCGGTAATAATGATAGAACTGATGGACAATAGACACATATTTTATAAAAATAAAAATAGCCAACCAAAGATGATAGTTAAAAACGTAGGAAGTGTTAGTTCATACCTTAACCCAGCCCAGGGGTGACATAACCTTTTGTTTATTATTTAATAACACCAAATCATTACAGTCACAAACACAGCGATATTATTGTACACATTTTATCACACAATTTTATAAATCAAATAAACGCATTTGTATCTTGTATCTCCCACCACCATGCAATGTCCGAAGATATGTCACTGTCCAATCAATAATTACAATCACAAAGGTAGCCAAAAATGTATACCTTCTTGTGAAGAAACTGTTGGGTACAAATTCCCCCCTGTGGAAAGTCCTATCATTATCAGTTTTCATAGAATTTACTCAAGTTTTGAACGTGTATTCTTCCATCAACTATTTAGCTTGGGGCCGACATTTTCAGTTTTCTTTCTTTTCTTCTCATTCTCATATCATCTCTCCCTCTCGAGCTCGGATATCTTTCGTCTTCATCTGTTCTGTGTAAACCAATCCAATCTCATAAAAATTTAGGGAATTTTTTACGAACCATAGCACCATCGATTTTATGCTTATCTATGATTATTTCCTACAGTTAATGAAAACATTAACGTTATAAATAGGTAATAGACATTTATTACAAGAAATTAAAATTTAATTTCCCCATTTCTTATGACATATTTGATTATATTATTTACCTTACCAAATACCTGATGGTCGCATCATCAACAAAAATTGGCTATTAACTGTCAGTTGTCACATTTGTTTATGAATTCAGAAATGTGTCAGAATTGACATTTGATTTTTGATTTGAATTAAAAATTAAAATGTTTAAGAAAGTCTTAAAAATTAAGAGTAATAATCAATTAAAAGCATCAGAGAGGTAGGTTGTCCAAATGTATTAATAAAATTCTTACTTTTTTAAATAAAATTTAAACATTTTAGGAAAGCTTTTAAAGATTTGTTGCTTAAAACGTTTCCTAACCTTACTGAAAATGAATTGAATGATTTTCTTCCTAAAAAAGAGGTTCTAAATGTCGTCAAGCTTGTTACTGCTGATGATATAACTGTACAAGTGTACACAGTCCAAAAAAGGCCTATGGTTTTCGAAACACTGGGACGCTTGTTTCCAACAGTATATTTCTTGTGGAAATTTCCAAATATTATCTATGCATTTACAACTCACCAAAAAGTGACACAATTTATAAATTCAGGAGCTGATCTTATGTTACCCGGAGTAGTAGTACCACCACCTCAATCAGGCTTGCCAAAATTCGGATCCGTTTCAGAAAATGAAACAGTATATGTAAATTTAACTAATAATGTAGCAGCTATTGCAGTTGGTGTAACTAGTCAAAGTTCAGGAGCTATGTCATTAGCAAACGGCAGAGGGAAATGTGTTATAATTCGTCACTTTTATGGAGATAATCTGTGCACCTTAGATAATACACCTATATTGCCTATTGTTAATTTAGGATCACCTGAATGGTTAAAGTTTAAAAGTTATGAAGATGATTTCCCTGAACTGGGTGGTAGTTCTAAAAAACTGGAAGAAAATGGAGAGTTGGAAGACGAAAAAATGGAAAGTATTAACGTGGAAGATGATTTAGCTCGAGATGTGAAACAGCTAGAATCAACTGTAGATACGGTGGAAGATATGGATGCTACATTAATTTATTGTTTCTTAGGTGCAGTAAAGTATTCAAAAATAACATTGCCAATACTGACGTCAAATTTTTTTAAATTGCATATGCTTCCGTTATGTCCAGAAAACAAGACTTTAGATATAAAAAAAACTTCGTTCAAGAAACTTAAACCATTTCTGGAGAAAATGGCTGAGGTATGGTTAGATATTTGTCACTGTTTGTCATTTTAACTTAAGTTTGTGTTTAGGAAGGCATAATTATGGTAAAAGAAGTTAAAAAAGGAGTAGAACAAATCACTTCTATAAATCAAGAGCATCCTAAATATAAAGAATTTTATATTAGTCCTGGAAATAGACCGAAAAAAGAAGACGATGGAGCTAATGTGTCTAAAACCGATGTTGTTGAATCGTATATTGTTACACAAAACGTTTTACCTCTATTTCAGATGGAAGGTTACAAGTAAGTGGAAAGTTGAATCATTAAAAGCCTATTTTAAATTTTATTGTTTTTTAGCAAAGGGGATACTATACAAGGTCCTGACGTTCGAAAATATGTTACCAAATATGTAAAGGAACACAACTTACAAGATGAAAAAAATGCCAGGTATACTACATATTATTTGTAAACTCCTTAAACTTACATTTTAATAATTGTAGACTTGTAAAACCAAAGGAAGTTTTGGCAACTATTTGTAAAACCACCCTTCCTATAAATTGGGAAGAAGTCGTAGAAAAAGTATGCGAATCAATGAGAAGCTGTTACAAAGTGAGAACGGCGACTGAGGAAATAATCAACAAAGGAAAGGTCTCACCGATTACTATTTCTGTTGGAGTTAGATCTGGAAATAAAAAGGTCACGCTTGTTGATAACTTGGAACTATTTGGTATACGCCTACCCGATTTTGCTAAAGAGTGTCAACATGGAGTAGCTGCTAGTACCAGTATTAGTAGGCCCCCGGGCAAAAAATCCGATCAGCTCCTAGTACAAGGAAATCAAGTTACCTTTGTGTATGATTTATTAACAGGTGAGTAAATGTATCTTTTTATTTGAGAGAAAAGTATTTTTTTTTGTATTTTAGAGAAGTATAAGGTCCCAAAGAAATATATACAGGGTTTAGAGAACGCTCCGAAAAAGAGAAAGTGACAGTCAGGTTGTTTAAATATGTCAAGTGACTTACAAATGAGTATATTTTTTAAAATTTTGATTTTTTAAAAAATAAAATATAATAAACCGTTGATATTGTACTGTCTATTATTTCTTTATAGTAGTATGAAAATACCCCTTTTTAATTTTTTTTTTTGGTATGAAGTAGGTCTGCATAACCTTTTTATTTATCGATATTCTGCTTATATTTCGTTGCTTTTCTTTTACTTTTCTATACCTGATCCTGCAGTTTCCGTTTATTTGAAATAAAAATAGTGAAGCTGTTGTATAAATCCCTTAAAATCTGTAAACAAATTGTAGGTATTTGAAAATGTACTGAATACCCTATGTTGATAGAGTAAGTAAATATTAACAGTAAGGGCTACAGACTCGGATAAAGATATTCAAAAAAGTTTTTTAATTTCAACGCATACTTTTTCTAGTAAAATTTAAGGTCACAGTTGATACAAATAAATAGCTATACGTTACAATCAGCACTTATATATTTTTTATCGAGGCTTTTTGCATATTATCGTTGCGCCTTCAAATGCGACTTGTGAATAGTCAAATGCGTTACGTTCTACATATTCGATAAACAACATCAAACCGCGTAATCTGCTTAAAAACAGCCCTATTTTCAACAGAAATGTGACTTGTCAGTGGTAAAAATAAAAATAATTGTTATTCTTAAATAAAAAAACCAAAAAAACTGAACAATTTGATAAAATTCACATGTCGCATTTTGAAGGCGCAAGGACAATGTGATAATCATGCGCTCTAATTTAAAATGATAAGGGCGAGGAGTACAGAAACACATAAATTTTATTAACAATTATTTGCGTATTTTATTGTAAATGCATCTGGTACATTAACATTATAACAGGTAAATGTTTTTGTATTGTATTGTATTATGTAGTCAATAGGTGTTCCAAGCGATTATGTGCTGAAACACAGCAGGCAGTGCTATACAGTACAAATTACTATATAACTATCTTTAACAACGCTATTTCTATAACTGATTCCTATGGGCATGCGAAGTGAACAGATATACAGTTAAAAACCTGTTCAATTATTGGTACTTTATAAGAGATTAAACCACTGAATGGATAATTTCGACAGACGGTATTAGAAACGTTTGGAAGACCATTCAATATTCTACACATCCATGCACATATAACTTTGCTGGAGATTAGTTAAACCTTAAATATATAAGAAAGAGTGGTATTCTAATATAGTCTGTTGAAATTTAAGTAAAATTAAAATAGATATATATTCATGGATGTGCCCATGGTAATCAGTTATTCGACTGTACAAAGTTATATAACAATAAACGCCATATTGATCAAACCTACAAATCCGTATTTTGAGCAAATTTTATTATATAGAATTGTCACAATAACAAATTATTATTACAGAATTGATATTCAATTTATATTAATTAGATAATATTACTCAAATTTAAGTTTCTAATGTTTTTAAAATTATGTGATTGTTTCCTTTTACTTTAAACCAGTTTTGACATTTAGTGCTGATTTAATTCAATTGGACTAACAAACAATTTTTAACCTCAAATCACTTCCCCGATTTCCATAAGTGTACGTACAAATATTATAAAGAAATTAAGGTAGAATGTCTGTAATATCTAAGCGGTACATGTGGTGGTGGTACAATGAGGCCTGCGACAATGATAAGACACAATGTTCGTAACAGTATAACACTGCCTAGTCTCATTCTTTCTACTCTAATCTAAACATACGACAGTGTATATATTTGACTTGATGTCGCAGGAGCTCGGTCTAAGGTCTAATGTCTTCGATGTCGTGAGTACTCACGTTAAATGGCGACTTGGGGGAGGGGGGGAGTCGGGAGGTGTTGTGCCCCACAAATTGCATGTGGCAACAGAGCTGACTACGGATTCATGTCTTTAATAATGCGATCCTAATGTTTGCACATTGGCAATAACATAATTTTTCAGTGACGATTAAACGATATCGTTTTTTCTAATTTTCCGTTCACACACGGATCATTCGATTGTCACTCGGCGATAAAACGAATAAATAATACATACCACCCGCGACCGATAGGAGTGTTTAACACCAGGCGCAGATACTGTCTAACACATTTCATCCCATGTCAAGTAACACTTCTCATTGTGTACCAATCTCGTAGGCCTTTCTGTGCATCTCGCATGGAAGCCACATGATTTGTTAGCCAGTGGTGAGGGGAGGGTGTCTTCTATTTGCCACGGTATATTTCAATTATCCTGTCTTGATCGACGTACTCGAAGATGTGAGGTGCATCCATCAGAATTCCAACAGTTCCTGCGGTGGTTACAATAAAAAACATGTACAACTGGAGTCTGTCAATCACCATCGCCACGTATTTCCAGTCCTCTCGCGTCTGTAAAATAATAATACTTTGCCTCTTATTTCCTATATATGAAATTAATAATTATTGTTTCATGTTTCTCTCTAATTATGCAAAATATGCAATAACTATTTTATAATGTAGAAAAGTTAATATTAAGAAGTTTAAATCTGTCCTTTTCTTAAATTTGAAACAAAATATTATATTTTTTAAATAGGTATATGCAAAATTTTAAGCTGCATTTAGAAATATTGACAAATAGACTTGATTATGCAATTTTTGGCCTAAAATATATTTTATATGAAAAAATTATAGTTGACATACTTCTCATTTTTTATAATTTATAATATATACAGGATGATTCACTTATAATAATGTCTTTAGTTTTTTCTTGTAACTTTCATAGATCACTAGAACACAATATTTTTTTAACCGTAACTGTATATGTTAGGAACTTAAAATTTTCAATTGTCACATTCTGCATTAAAATTTTTGTTGTTCTAATATTAGTTATTACCAACAATACAAAAATTATATTTTTGTGCCTGAAAATTTTTAAATGTACCTATAAACTGATAACCCTCTGTAAAGAGAATAAAAATGTTATCTGAAAACCGAGTATGGTATCGAAAAATAAAAATGACTATGTTAACCACAATCTAGAAGGTATAGGAACACTCTAATAACACTAATCGATTAAAAAAATGGAGCTTTCATAAAATATTATTTATCTTTGTACCTTTACTGTTTCCAAGATTTTCACTTGAAATAGTGATTATTAAGAATCACGCTGTATATAACATATAAGTTATCATTTTTTACTGAAAATTATTCAGTGATTGTGCTTTATTTTATTATATCATTTTTTTAAAGAAAATATTGTATTATCTATACCAAGTATAACATTCGCTTATTACCTTTAAGAAGATTGCTTATAAATGGAGAAAAAAATTATTTTAAATAGCTTTTCAATAGAAGCCTGCTCTGAGTTTAGTGACATTTTGTGAGTACGCACCTGAATGTACAAGTCTTCGTTGCGCAAATGCTCAGCGATAAACTCGACAGCTTCGGTAGCTTTCGAGGCTTCCGGTGACAGTAAAATAGAATCCGAACTCTCGCTCTCTCTCCTACAACTGTCCCCGCCAACACCCACTCCCAAATCGGAGTTAGGTTTCCTGTTAATCTTACAATTTGGATGGTGGTGCAGATCGGACAACTCCATGACTTCCACCTTGCTCTGTGATTCGATCGAGCTGAAAAGAATTATATTCTAAAATCGGTACTATGTAAGGTATACTCATATAACCTTATATGTTTGGGAATGTCGGCAGGAGAACCGTAAGGGTGAGGTGGTACTCCCATACCCGGCATTTCCATCATCCACCTTAGCCGGGTTTTACGCGGCCTTTTCATAAGCAGCATTGCTGGCAAGTAGTTTAGGAATACGTAGCGGATCCACGACGGCATTCTGATCATTGAAAAATATTGTTGGAGGAAAATAATTCATTGAAAACTAGTTTGCCTTACCTATGTGTCCGAGGACCCCTGAAGTTCCAATTAATTATCACAACTGTAACAAGTATACTAACAGTGTTCATGATGAAAGTGAACAGGAGGTATTTGGCTATCAGTGGCAATACCAGTGATGTGGGAGGCAAAATTTTGGAGACGAGCAGTAAGAATACAACAAGTGACAGTAAAATACTGATACCCAGTGTTACCTAGAACGTAAAATCAATAGAAATCAAGGGAGTGTGTGAATGATCGTTTGTACCTTTTCTCCTGCTTCTGCGGGTAAATAAAATACAAGGACACATAGAAAGGAAATAAGTACGGTGGGTAGTATCAAATTGACTGTATAAAACAATGTTTTCCTTCTTATTATTATGTAAAAAGTGATATCAGTTTCTGTAGGCTGATTTCCCATCTGACTTCCTTCGTAAATGTTGAGGTAGGCTGGCACTTCAATTATATCCCATGTCCCTGATTTCCAATAATCAGACAGATCGACGAAATTTTTATTATTATAAAGGGCTAGTGATACTTGGTCACCATTGAACGTCCAGGACCCAAACTTCATAATGCAAGTTTGTTGATCGAATGGAAAGTATGTTACATCTATAGTACAAGAACTCTGAAAAACGAGAACCATTTATAAAAACTCGGAACTATTAAATAGTGTAGAATACCTGGTATATTGCTGGCGGTACCCAAAGTACTTCTCCGTTGGGATAAATCAATACATTTGATTTGTATCTAACTTCGTAGTTACCATCAGCACTAGAAGCGAATTTAATTAAATTCTTAATACAGTAAATTGTATAATTTTATTTACTTGTTAAATAATACTATATCAGGCTTCCACACTTTATCTGGAGGCAACCTAAGAACTGCAATTCCACCATAGTCAGCTTCGTCCCACTGAAGTTGATAATCGCTCCATACCTAATCGTTCAGTGAAAATTCGTTATCCTCTTTATGCAAGTCTAAATTAAAGTTTACTGTGAATATAATTCGGTTTTTATACTTACCAATCTCAACCAGACATTTGATTTCATGATTTGATTTTTCTCATTCTGAAACAAAGCGCGTGTTTAATGTGTGACACTCGATAACCGGTGTGTGCACTTACGACATTGATAAGTTGAACGAAAGCTAGACCAAATCTGACATCTACTTTCTCCGTCATGTTTTGAACGGGGCGAATTAATTTATTGTACCCCCTGAAGAGATCTCGTACTAATCGCTCCTCGTCCTCAGAGCAACTCCCTGAAAAATAGAAAGAAACGTCGAATTAGAATCGGTTTTTCCAACAAAGAGGATCGGTGACTTATTTACTAAAAATAAAAAATAAATTATATATGCTTTCATATTTGTCAGTTTTAATGAATTTAAACCATTTCTGATAAACTGATGCTTAATTAACAAATTGCCAACTGATAGTTATATATGGGGTTGTATCTCAAATATAATTAAATTAAATATAATTATAGTTATTTTCATAACTGTATTGAAATTACCACTAATTGATATATTTACATAACAATCTATACAGCTTCAATTTTTTGCATTTCTGTCTAGAAAAAGCTGGAAGGGTTAGGTTTTACGATTGTTTTTGTGATCTCAAATTAATATACAAAAAAGAACAATTGAATGTTGCGTAAAATGTTGCTTCCATGGCAATCTTCACTTTATCCATTGTGGAGGATCAGTAAATAAACCGAAATACTGTCAATTTATACTTATCACTGTAATTATAAAACGAGAGGATTACAATAAACGCCAATTATACGGGGTGTTCCATTAAAAAAAACACGTGTTTGCCCTTATATCTGTGGAGTGTAATGTTCTATTTATTATTTTTTTAAGATTACTAGAAAATTTCATAGAGGTTTGATCTTTACCATGTTTTTCTAGATAGAAAAACAAAAAGAAGGGTATGATGTTATGTGAACATATTTGTACACTCAGAAAACAGAATACTTAAATCTAATAAAATGATATATTTTTTAAAATAAAGATAACAATATTTTGAATGAAATGCATAGGTAGAGGCTTTTGTTTTGTTTCATATTATAGACTATTTTCATAAACTGACTATTTAAATGAGCCTCTAATTAGCATAGTACATGTTTATTTCTATTTACTGGTATATTTTTTTAGTTTTAATCAGTATGATTAAAAGTCGATATAACAACAATTCGAATTAGGACCTACCAGTAACCTTTGTCAAATGTTTGTTTAAAAACCCAATAACATTTTAGGTAAACAAAATGTAGGGTGGCAGATTTCTGTTTTATTTATTTTAATATTAATGAAACGCTGGTGGTTTTCCCGTAGATAGTGGCACTAGCCCGTAAAACTGGCCAGTGTTAAGGGATCAGGATCGCAGTTTTTGTTTGATCGTACCAGAGGGGAGGGGCTATGTTTACATGTCATTCACCATGGTAGTGGGTGTGTCGCTTACCTAAGAAGACGAGACAAGAGACGAGCAGCAGGGAAAACACTCCGGCCGGCGAGGCCTTGCACGTAACGAAGTGCATGGCACTGGGATTCCACTGGATCATCGGCACCGTGCCCGAAAGCTCAAGTCCATGGCTCGAACAGTAGCCAGGCGAGCTTTGCGTGAGGGAGCGACCGCTGGCGTGAAGGGTTTATGCCGTCCTAACATCCTCCCTCGAAAACATCCTCGCACTCACTGGAACCCGGCACGCACGTTCACCGTCCCAGCCATCGCGAGAAAACAGCGTGTATGTTATATGCGACACCACCCCCTCGTCATTGCTTCTCTGTACCTTGACTAGATGGCATGCCAGAGGGCGCGATTCGCAACCCTTACACCAATCCACGCAGGGGCTTAGGACAAAATCAATCGGGCGGCCCTTTAAGGGAGCCTGCGCGAAGATTACCGATGAGACGTGAGTCAGCGTCAATTTTTACGAATATATGTCAACTAGTTTAGACGTCTCCCCATATTCTTTTATTGTTTTGCCTTCAAGGCTGCAATTTATCGACTTACCGGTTTTTTGTCACTTCGCGGCACGGAGCGTCTCGGAAAGTACAGCGAAGGTCTTGACATCAACGAATTTCAATAGAATTTCGAATTCGTAATCGCTTGAGAGACATATTCCATTTTACATTTAGAAACACACAGAAATAACTTGTTATTTATAGAAAATTTGGCACTGACATTTAAAAACATTAACGAATTGTCATCTTAGCTCATATTGTAGCTTGGATCGTTACTGTGGTCAGATTTTGAGTATCCGTCCGTTGTGAACGAAGGTGCTAGAGTTCGTAGAATTAATGTTATACGGTGTCGCGTACAGCATTGAAATGTTAAATTATTTAATTTAATATTGTTACTTGAAAATTACAAAGAAAATTTTTAATGTGGGCTTGAATATTCCGTTAGGTTTCTTAATTATAATTAGTGGGTAACTTCCTTTGGTGAACTAAGGTGCCACAGTAGTTTCTTATTTATATGTCGTAATAGGAACAGGATGTGGGAGTCGTGGAGGGTTAATAATATAATACCCCGCAATTTGCAACCCCCTGTGCAGATGTCTGGCTTCTCGCACAGAAATTGCAAACGTAGGAGAATTCCATTTTGTGTTTAATTGAAATTCATTTAACAAAGTACAATCCATTGTAATATAATTTTACAACAGTTCGGTAGAAAACAGCGCTTTACAATGATGTAGACTGTAACACGAGACTTACTTTTTTTTTTAAGTGTGTAAGTCGCTTATTACAACCTATTTCAGCAACCCAGTGAAGCTATTTTTGTTCTATTATTATATCGATATTTAGTGACCAGTTAATTAATGGATTGTCATTTTTTAGAGATTCTTTAGCATTAGATTATTGGGAGAAGTCCTTATTTATATAACAATCGAACAATAAAATTAATACTTATATTATGGATATCATCGAAAAAGATTTATAGTGGAATTTTGAGCGATTTTGCCCGCGAGTTCGAAAGCGCGAGGCGTCCGTATCCTCGATCTTTTAAGCCATTAGGAGAGATAGATGACACTTAGCGCTTTGGCTTTATAGTCATGTGTTCGCTTTAAACATAAATTTAAAATAACTCCGTACCCGTATTTAATAATCCAGCTCCGGTTTACAACGAACTGAAACTGAATTTACACTTTTACTTGTCTACATTGGTCTTATCTATCCTTAACACCGTCAATGTCTCAGTTTTTTCTAAAGCGACGAGCTGTAAAGTTACAAGTTGAAATTTTGTCAAAAGTACATATATCGTATGAAAATTTTGACGATGCCACGCCTAACTCTTCTGGTATTAAATTGTAATTCTGTGATCGGCCATCTCAAGACTCCCAGACTCGGTTTTTGAGTCTACTTTTAGTGTCGGCTATTTATATTTGAGCAACTTCCCTCTACGATGGGAGTCTCGACATTGCTTCGGCGAATTCAGCTAGAAACGGCGGGAACATTACACACACACAGAGATAAATCAATTTTCCAATTCGAAGGAAAAAAAGAGCAGCACATAACAAATGATGACAAGTTGTTATACAGGAAAAGGAGCAATCAGCGTCAGTCATACTGACCTGATTTGATTTACCCATTGTGTGTTTTTGAAATGGAATTGAAGAGTTCAGCTGGAAATTGTTTTTTTTTTCTGATTTTACAACCTTGAGTGAATAATGTGACGTTTTTAAATCCATTTACCTACTAATTTTTAAAATGATATGTTCGAAAGTTTAAATATATACAGGGTATAGATAATTTAGGTCATGGCGTTCTTAACACGGCGACTGTTGAATTTTATCCAAGTAAATGACATGAATCGAATGGGCTATTAGTATAATGGTGGTGGCTAGAAAAAAGTAGCTAAAGTTTAAATGGATGCCAAGTTAAGATAGCCAAGCTTTACATGTGATTTATGTTACAGGTTTTAATCTAAATTTTATTTCTGAATGAGAAAATAATACTGTGGATTCCATAACTTCAAAAATTACTTACCTACTAGTTTAATTATCATAGCAACCTTTTTTTATTTTACAAAATTAAGTAATTTTTTGAGATTATTAACAATTATTTTAAAATTTAAAATTTACAAGAAAAATAATCTACTCTTATAAAATGTACAGAAAAATTTGGCTGTGACGCAAAGCAAAGATTACATATAAATTTTGTTTGTCAAATTATACACCACCCAAGTCAATTTAGTTATATTACACTTTTTTTTAATTTAAAATTTGGAAACGTTGTGATGGTATATATTTGTAATAAGTAATTGTTTAATATATACAAATATATAAAAAGAATCTCACTGGTAGTCTATGGTTTGCAGTCAAGCCTGAACATGTACCGAGTGTACCAAAAAATTTTTCTCAATAATAAATACTTTAATTTCACAACGTCTAATATTCCGTGTAGTATAATTGAAACTTTATCTCACGAAACTAAAACATAAAGATTGATATTTTTGAAATGCTGGGCTAGATTACACCGTAAAGTATATTAATTAGGATAGATCGCTCGTTCGTTGAGAAATTAATTTCTTGGCCACACGGTATAAAGTAACATTAACAGTATGTAAAAAAAACAATGCACACGAGGGACTAGGTGCAATGCTGTCCCCTGTTCATTACGAAACACTGCACATATTGTCGGGTTCGAGAGCTAAACTTACGCTCCCGGACTGGTGCCGCAAGTCTGCGAGATACGATCCTGCTATCGACTAAAGGCTGGTCCACACTGCTTTCACGCTAAAAGCGGGTACACACCGTTTACGTTCGCAGAACGATAAAAGTGCCTTGCTCGACTTGCCTGAATCGTTTTATTCGTACAGCGAATGTCAACTAGTGCATAGGCATTGTAAAGGGCGTCCAAAACAAAACGGATTCTCATTAGAAACGTTGATAAATTTAATTTAACCATAAAATACTATTTATTAGTTTGAAATGGTCAGTTAGAAAAATAAACCTCGCACACTGCGTTTGAAGCTATTAAAACGATGAGAATTCGTTCCTTTTTGTGCACCCTCCGAGAACAACGGTTCCGAGCCGTGTAAAATAAGCCGTACAGCACACCCCCAGAGCAGTTGCCGTCGAAGCAAAGTTCTCGTCTGGTTAACCCAATATTTAACTTTTTTTATCACAGTATGATTATGTTAATATCCTAAGTAACACGAGACAACCAAATTCCGGTAAAAAATTGCCAACTTGAAGGGCACACGAGCTTAGGATTGTCGCGGACCTTCACGCGGTGGCCAAAAGTTTAAACGACCATTCTGCCGTACCTACAGGACGACCCAGAATGAAATATCTTTTAAATAAAAAGAAATCCAAACGGTTGCTTTAATCGAGAAATGACGAGTAATGTGTTATTCTACTCTTACTATATGAACTTTTTAGGGGCGTCCTGTAAGTAAAATCAAGTCGCTGATGGGTGGTTAAAAAATTCCGAACGAAAATATTTTTTCAGAAGAACATTCTAACGGTTTCGAAAAGACTAATTTTGTTTATGTATCTACTACGAATAGGGTGTATACCGATTTACATATACGTTATTTTCACAAAAACTTTGATTAAATAATAAACTACACGGAAACAAATGTTTTATGAACTAAAATTAAGCAACAGCAACATGGTTGGCTATGTTTTCTGCGATCTTTCAGAATGAAAAATTAAGGAAATCTTTATATTTCAACCTAGTCAAAACTTAGTATACACCCTGAAAAACAGTTATTTACGCTTTAATTATTATTAAATAATTTGAACGTTATTACCCCGTAGTAGCGTTTTGTTAAAAGAAAACGTACAAAAAAAAGATAACGTACTTTTTGGCCACCGTGTAGGTCCGTGCGTGGCAACTACAAGTTTCATATAGTTTCTGCAGTATCTGCATGGGGACGGGGTGGCTACGATACAATGATATGGGGCGCAGAAAACAGCACCGCTAACGTGGCGATGATCGTAAACAGCGTGAATATAATAAGGCACAGTCTGTCGACCACCATAGCCGCGAATTTCCAGTCTCTAGTTATGTTCGCGGCTTCGTCTTCCTTGCGCAGTTGGTCGGTGATGAAACGGATCTCCTTCAGGATCATGGCCAGTTCGTAGTCCGCGCTGATGCAGGAATGGTTCGAAACGAGGGATTCGTGCATCCGCGGACCACCCCCGTTGCTGCTCTCCTCGTTCTGCCTGGAATCGAAACATCGGTAATTTATTTAGTTTGAAACTAATTTGAATTCTTGCACCTACCTGTACACAGTACGGAAGAAGGTTGCTGGTGGTAATGGTGTTGGGGTGCCTCCACCCCTGTAATTATGCCTAAAATCATCGTCTATGTCCAACACATTGGCTAGCAAGCTCTTGGAGGAGCGTTCCTTTAGCTCCACGTCGGGAAAATGAATAGGCTTCCTATCTGCTGATACTGGGCGACTAGGAGAAGGAAAGTCATTGTTTTCCACTGGTCTGTTCATCCGAAGGATCCAGGGCAGCCAACATAAAAATACTACTCGTATCTGGAAGAAAGGAACAGTCCTATTACGTATTTTTTGTATTCCGTAGATAAAAAGCCTGAATTTCCTGGAGCATTTCATGAATCAGTTTCAGTCCGACAAATGTACCACACCGACAAAAACAAATGACTATTTACCTCGTCAGGTTTTTATTTTCTTTTGTAATGGTGGTGCTTTTATTTTTAACTTGAGTTTCTTACATTTTTTTTGTTATAGTATAACGTTGTCAATATTATTAATTGAGTGAAATAATACTTGGCCACAGTGATTCGAAACGACGTATATCGCAGCGAAGAGGAAACGCACCATAGCTGCTTTTAATAAGCGAGTCTCCTAGCACTAGCGCGCACTTGCTGGTTTTGAAACGTTCAATAACGAGACCACAAAGACAGCGAAGTGTAAATCTTCGTCGAGAAAAAATTGATACAGGAAAAATATTCCGTTTCGTATCTTGGCCCCCCGCGAATAATTTCTCACAGGAGCAGCCTTGAATTAATTAAGAAACATTCTGTTGCTTCTTTTTTGCGTCCAGGATGTGGGGACGAAAATAGGATTCGCGATTTACAATGTGGGAAATGAAGATGAAGGAGGAACGGTTAACTTTTTGTTCGTAAAATGTCAGAGAAGGGACACATCGATTTATTAGGCCTTTTATTCGCAGATGAATGTCATATATATTCGTCTTAATGGTGCCCGACGACAGTCTGCGAGTTGCCGGAATTATCAGAAATAATGTATTTTATTTCTCGTGAACAACGGCTATCAGATTTCAGAAAAAAAGCGGATAGGCTTGCTAGCATTCACTTGGAAAGATCAGTAATTTTGTATTAATTATAAGATATCTTACAGACTGAAGGTTTGAGGTGTCTCTTTGTTTCCCAACTAAATTCCTGTTATACTCGCGTAAAATCTAAGGAATTCCTGCTTAAAATATTAAACGCAGGGCAAATTGCGGGGACGTGACTTACCCACTGCGACATTTCGTGCGTATCAGCATTCCTGTGATGGTAGTTGAGGATGAGGATAGTCGATACTACGGAAGATGCGACCATGAACATAATGCAGTTGAAGTACGTCCCCAGCAGCGGTACGGCATCAGAAGTGGCCGGCATAGTCTCCGCGACCATGTTGAGGAACACGGTAAGGGACAGTAGGATGGTCACTCCAAGGGACAGCTTCTCGCCGGAATCCGGAGGCAGGGTGAAACCCAGCACGGCCATTGAAGCTATGAGGACGCACGGAACTATCAGGTTGAAGAAGTAGTAGAGGGTGCGGCGTCTTATTATGATTACGAAGGTGATGTCTATGTAGGGCTCAGGACAGCAGTTGTAGTAAATTTCGTTTCTTTTACCTGGGACGCCTGAAAGGAAAGGTGTAAGCAAAGTAACACCTAATTATTTATGTGAAATTGATGTCTGCGTCAGCTTACCCAGCAAGTCCCATTCGCCATTCGTAATAAAACTGCTAATATCTCCGCCCGCGTCGTCCTGGAGTTGGAGGTCCAGCTGTCAAAGAGATTTATTAATTTTAGGGGACAACTTTATTGAACAGATGCACTGAAAAGTACCTGAAACTGGGTTACAATTCGCACAATGTAGGAGGTAGAGCGAATATTAAATAAGTCCGGAATATTATATGTCCCTTATTTAATATCAATTTTATGGATACAGTATAATTTTTTTAAAAGGTAAACATGTTTATTTGGGTATTAAATATAAGGAGAGATAATAAAAAGTAATTTCTTTCATCATAAACAACTCAAGGGAAAGTTTCGTATAAAAAAAATCATATTATTTTCTTTTAATTTAGATTCTAAAAATAAGCATTTATTTTCTTAAAGGCATAAAGATTTAATTTGACTATATTGTAACATGCTCTTATTAAATTTGTTAAACAAGAGCTTGTAATGAGCCTAAGGCAGAGAGAAATTAATTAACTTTTTATTGTTTTATCGTGATTGCGAGCTTTTTATCAGCAGCCTGGTAACTGTCAGCTGAAGTGCCGGTGCCTTGTTCCCCAAACGTTTCACTGAATTCCTTTAACTTAATCTCGAAAACATTATTTCATCGTACCTGTTACAACACTTTATCGTTTAGCACATAATTAATTTTGCACTTTTCGTATATTCCGAAAAACGTTCGTCATCAATAAATTAGAATTATGTATTATAATACAATCGATATTTGTAGACAAGAAAAACTTTACGTTTTGAAAGAGACATAAATAAATTCGCTTGTGTGTACTGGGTGTTTCAATTTTTCCGTGGTTGTAGTTATTTCACTAAATAAATCTTTGGTTGTTCTAATTTAGAATTAGGCTAATAGCGACCGTCACTTTCTGGGCGGATTTTCTTCTTCTGTCCCTGTCTTACTAAAAGTGCAATTTCTTGTAAATATTTTTCAAATCATCTCTGTACAATTGAAAATTTAAAAAGTGAACTTTTATTTCAAATTGTTTTAATTACTGATATTACCATATCTACGGAAAATCTGTCTTAAATAACACATCGTGTATATTTAGAGTTGTTTCCACTTACCTGTAGTCCGTCGTACGTCCAGCTTCCAAACTTCATCTCGCACCTTTGGTCGTCGAAGGGAAACCAGGTAATGTCTATTTTGCAGGTGCTTTTGAAAATACCCGGAGGGACGTACATACAACTTCCATTGTTGCGAACAACAACATTGGTCGGGTAAGTCCCATCAAACCCTTCGTCGGCACTAAAACAAGTTAATGAGGTCGTATTCGGTGTATTTGCGTAATTGATTTTGTACCTGTTGTACATGAGTACGTCTGGTTTCCAAAGCCGGTGAGGTGGAATTCTCAGGTCCCTTACGCCACCGTACTCTGAAGAATTCCATCTTAGATTCATGTCGTTCCATTCCTGTAAAAAGAAAAATCCAGTTTCGTACGTTGGCGTCGAATTAGTCGAGACTTACCAATTTCAGCCAAATGTTTGTTATAAGGAGCTGGTTCTTTTCGTCCTGTAAACATGATTTGTTAGTTTTTACCGCAGTATTTCGCGTATTTAACTAATATTTACCACATCTATAATCTGCATAAGTGTCAGTCCGAAACTTAATTGAAGAGGATCAGATTCATTGGCGACTGGGCGTTCTAGAACGTTGTAGTGATCTAATAGCTTGTGAAGAAGTTTCTTCTCATTATATCCGGCCCAAGATTCTAAATCAGTCGTAACAGATATTGAAACTTTCGAACACCCCCGTATTCAAAATTGTTTATTACACATGAAATGTAATTTGTTTTGTGGCATTTGTTAATTGTATAAAACCACTCTACTGATAAACGTCTAGTGTCGTTGGCCTGTTATTGTTTCAATTAATATCTAAAAATAATTTGGTGTGAAACACTACCCATTGTAATGTTTCACATCGATGAAATTAATCACAGCCTAGCATTAGCAGATTTTGGGGAGGCAGAGTTAGCTTTAACGAGAATTATTACCAAATTGTCGGATATAACTTATTTTGAGAGGCAGTTTGTGAATTTATACAAATATAAAACTTGTTAATTGCACAAAATAACGTAATCTGCTCGGCTTACAGCCCATAAATTATTTTAAAATAATAAACACGGCTTATAATACCCCAGCAAGATTAGTTAATATAAGTTTAGAATTAATGTATATATTTATAAAATTTATCAAAAGTTCGACAGGTGAAAAGTTATATAAATTACAAAATACAATTTTGAATATTATAGTGACTGATTAGACTATTAAACAGTGCACAACTCTTAATCCAGCTGAATATGATGGATGGGCCTAGAAATTGGGTGCCACATATCAAATTGGATGACACGTGATAATGTATAACACAAATACATCATCTTTTTAAAAACTAATACCTACCCCGCTAGTAAGACTTTTTTTATATAATGCTTTGCGCTTATTGTATCCCTTACTTTAGATAAAATAATTGTTTGCAATTTCCTGATTACTGCGATGAATTATAAAGAGTGCTTCCGTTTAATCACCATTAATTGATTTTATTATTCACAACCGATTCTCAGTTGCGATATTTCATGCATCGAAATTTAGTCAGATGGAAACGTTTACAAATTCCACCTGAAGGAATTCCTCGATTTACTGTTAGGGATAATTATTAATAGTATCACCGATATGGGCTGGGATCCAATTGGCTCATATATTATTTCACCGTGCAATTTCAATTCCTCAGAATTTCAAGCAGCGGTGGCGACGGGAGAATTTAAATAGCTTCGAAAACATCAAATTAGTAAATTAAAATAAAACCATCTGAATAATTTAATTCTATACATGTGCGAATCCTACAGCTTTAACAATTATTAAACTGGAATATTTAAAATAAAAATTAAGGAAAATTGTTACTGAATTTTATAAAATTGAAAGGAACTGGATTTTACGCGATCCTGACCATTCAATAGAAAATTTGTGTTTACGAACAAGCTATAAACTTATCCTATAAATTTTATTGGCAACATAACTTTTCCTCGTTTACAGCATTCTGCTAAACTAACTTCACTTTCTGTTTTCGTTTCGAATACATCGTAATTCTTAATAAAACAGGTGCTGTGGTAATTTATTAATTGTTCTAGTTCAACAAACTTAAGGAGTTTTATTTCCCAAGACATCAGGGAAACAGAGATCTAATCAAATATTTAATTCTCCGAAACTTTTGGGGTTTCCTTGTCGGCTTCCTCTTTTAAGTCTTACGGCGCCCTATTTATTATTAATTTTGTAATATATTTATACTGCAAATTCGTTAGCTTAGCAACGTAAATAATTCTCATTGTAAAATAATAACTGATTATGAAATTGTACTTTAATTGATCATTATTTAAATAATGGATGTCTAGTATATAAATGCACATTAATCTTAATTTGTGAAAACGTATTTCGAACAATTCATCACAATTGTGCAATAATAATAGTATATATAGTTATGTTAAATATATAATTCGAAACTAACACTAACCTGGCTAACCTAATCTAATAATAGTCAGCATTTTCAAAATACTTGAAAATTTATACAAACGTATATTATCGGCACTGAGAGTAGTACATATATTATTTTTACTATGCACTTAGAATTTTAGTACTTGACAAAATTGATTTTAAATCTAACGTATGTGTACTTGTTTAACTAATAACATTCCCATCGAAATAACACCGATATAAACAAATCATATATAAAATTAAAGTAGGTACACTTTCTATTCGAATATTTTAGACATTTAAATGTCAGTCATAAAAGCATATTTTATGTGACAATGATGTAAATTATATCCGTATTTGTATAAATCAAATATATAGCGTTTAATTATGAAAAAGAAGTATATTAAGAAATGTAAAGTAATAAAATCTATTATATGCATTAAAGGCACTTTTGTCTCGAGGTATATGCTTATGTTATTTTTTATACTTGTAATCTTGTATTGGTGTAAATTGTGTGCATATTTATTCAATGTTTCTGCAGTAAATAAAATGTATTTTTGTAACCATAAGTCGAATTTTGAGCTAAGGTACGTTAGGTTAGGTTAGATGTATTTTTATTTAACGTGGTCTAAAAATAACCAAATATCTCAGACGGTTTTAGATAGCTTGAGATGTCTAGCAAACGTGATTTAGATTAATGTGTTTCTCGGGTAGGCAATTTTATAATAACTTAGCTAAAAACTATAACAGCAATTGTTTTAATTAATACTACTCCTTCCATTAATATTTTAAAGGTAACAACTTTCTTATATACTGAGAGATGTAATTTTGCAAAAAGTGTAAATACCCTGCAATTAATTTGTTGCGTATTTAAAGTCCTGAACTTTATATTTTGTTAGAAATTAAAAATAGATTATTACTTCAACAGGGGGTTTACAAAATATTTTATCTAGTAAAAATGAGTTAAAAATCAACTTCTTCGATACACTGAGAGTTTTTCATAAAAGAAAATATAAATTGATGGAAAATAGATTAGAACATTTTTCAGGCATATATTAACAAAAACATAGTAAATTGAAATGAATAAGCAGTAAAAACAATCAGCTGTATAATAATAGAATGGTGAAAAATAAGTATCAAGGAAAAGAACATATATATCACTTAAGTTTGTCTTTAACTTTCCACATTAGAACAAATGAAAACATCAATAAAAGAACGAGACAATAATGCATACAAAATGTTACATTTGAAAATAGGACATCTAGATATATTCCGATCTCTCGGAAATTAATTAAAAATGGGTCGTAGATAGTGTAAGTAAACCGAAAGCTACAAGGGCAGTGATTCTAGAATATGTGTATGTAAAAAAGATGTGTTGGATAAAAATGTTACACCATGTTTGATGTAAAAAGCTAGAGCATGCTAAGTCTCAAATTAGGACAGGTCAATGATTTTTGGCTTACAGTTGAAGGTATATTGGAACAAAGAGTAAAACCAACATCTACAGGGGCGTTATGGGTTGATTGATGTAAGGGGATACTACGCAAACAGGCTTGATGTTTTTGCTAGATTGAAGGGAAATGGAAATAGGACACCAAGTACATTATGATGCCTACCATTTGGTAGCGACAGGCAGATGTGCAAGAGAAGAATGAGCGTCAGTGCTCGCGGGCCACAGTACAAGTAGTGACAATGCTGCATATCCATGAGGAGCGATTAGCAGAGATATCTTGAGCCTGTGCTGAAGACTTATAACGTTACTTTAGAGATTTTCATTTAGTTTAAGCTTTTAAATCGGTTTTGATTTAGTCATTTTATTTAGATTTGGTGATTTACTTCGATAACATGTTATTTAATTAGGTTTCACAAAAATTTTAGGAGCTCGATTGTTTTTAAGTTTGATTACATATATACTTATGTATATAACTAGTATTGTACTATATACATACACATGTATACATATATATCGTTTAATTACCGATAGTTTACTTGTTTTAGGTTATATCATGTTTCTACCCCGTGCCTACTGTGCACAGTCGTGTACTAAAGCCAAAGCCATAGCTAGCGAGTCGGATACTCCTCCGTGGATTTGCTACTGCGCTACCGCGATCCCACTGCCCAAGCAAAAGCAGCAAGATACTCTATAACACATGGCTCTCGTTCGCACCACCCTTCCCACGCGACCCCCATCTCGCGTTACCCTCGAGACCGGTTCCCCTACATCCCTGGCATCCCTTCTACGACCGTCGCAGCTTCGTCCGGACGTTTTTCCCTGCAAATCAATGACTGTCGGCGCAAGTGCAATCCGTTGTCGCATCGAGATCGGTTCGCGGGCATCGTGGGGAAAGAATACTTTGGTTATGCCGTTTTGAATCCTACTCGCAGAAGTTGGCACTTCCAAGCTAGCCGTTTGGGCTCGCGCGAGCGCGATGAAAATATAAGGATCTAATCAGGCCCGGATCCAGAGACTGGTTTTGGGGGTGGCGCAAAGCACTTCTTTATCATTATTATTATTATTATTATTATTATTATTATTATTATTATTATTATTATTATTATTATTATTATTATTATTATTATTATTATTATTATTATTATTATTATTATTGTTGTTGTTGTTGTTGTTGTTATTTTGATGACGTAAGGTGTAGGTTAGGAAGGGGGACTTGCATTAATATCGACTAACTGCCTGTTGTCGTTTGGAGAAATTGAAGATCTTTAAAAAATGTTGTGCTTTGGGGGTGGCGATCGCCACATCGCCACCCCCTCTGGATCCGGGCCTGGATCTAATCGGGTCAACGTCACCGTAGCAGGATCTTCGTTTAGTAAATTATTATGCATATACCCACATATACCTAGTTATAGTCACACGCGCCGTATAGACTGTCCCTATTCTTTAAATTTCAATGGCTTGAATTCACCAGATTCATTTCTCCGCTGCTACTATTTACTACTATTTAAATCTTAATTGTTATATTGTTATTGAGGAATTTAAAAAATACTTGTAACGTAGATACTGGTCTACCAGGTAGTCCATATTAATTTGCAGATTTTACTTAGATAATTTATTATTTTATCATTGTGCGTAATTGCATAATACAGTAATAATAATTATTATATTCTAGAAGAATTAATTGCCCCTCTTTCAAATTATAAAATTGACCTCCACCGAACGTGACAGCTTCCTATTGGTTCAATGTGAGAGCATGCACCAGTGCTGATAGGTGACTTGTTTAAGCGTGCGCATGAATTATCTTGAAAATTTTGAAATGTACAATTTTTGGTGACAAGTGACAACTGAGATTACTGAGAACCAGTAACCAGTGACAACGCATTGGGTGCTATCAGGCTGGTTTCATATATTTTGAAGGCATTGAAAAAAAACCCTTGCCTCAACTGGGAAATTATAATTTAACAAATACAGAAAAATTGATCTATTAATATGAGTCCACTATAATTAGTTGCACTTGAATTAATATTTTTTATGTAAAATTGTTTAGTAAATCAGAAATCTTGTTGACTTGTCATATTGAACGCACCTTAAAGGTGACATGGTTTCGATCTGTCATTTCTGACGTTTTTGTACTGTCAAATGTCAACATAACTTTGGAGATTTGTTACTGTTACTGTTATTTAAATAAAAATAAAAATAAACAAAAGTAATTATTACAGTATTATTTTCTGTTCGTGTTAAATGTAAAATGTTGAGAAAATTCTATATTAAGTCACTGTCGGTGCTTTTTTTATATTTCACTTGTTTCGTGTGTTACACTAATGGTGCTGCTTCAGATATTCAATTAGATGCCAAGGCACAATCTAATCATAGGTTAGATAGTTTAAATTTATTATCATATACCTTTCTGCTAATATTAACAGTCCTTACGATATGGTTATTCAAGCATCGCAGAGTAAGCTTTTTACACGAAACAGGTCTCGCTGTAATATATGGTAAGTTGTAAACTATGAAGATGTTGAAACATTTTTTACAATGGTGCGTGTTTTAGGATTAATTGTAGGCGCCATTATTCGATATTCAGGCAGTTCTTCGCATGTACTGAATATGCAAGTGTTTGTCACCGACCCGCAGTATAATTCAACATTACCACCAGACACGTTATCATTACATTTTCCAGTAAATGTACACCCTAAGAGTAATAAAACGTTTCAGTATGTGTTCAGGGAAGAAATTGTAGATCTAAGAGAAAATGAAATCGATTTTAAAGCTACTTTTGATCCGGAGATATTCTTTAATATTATTTTGCCTCCTATAATTTTTCACGCAGGATATTCATTGAAAAGGGTAAGTAAATAATACAATGCTGTCATATTTAACAAATCATAAATATCAAATGCGGAAGATGATCATTTGTTATTTATGTAAATTACAATGTAATATTCATAACAATGCCATCAAGTTAAGCCTGCTTCGTATTTTCATTTAATTGTAAATGGTATTATGTAAAAATTGACTTAGTGACAAGTAATAATCATAATTTTCGAAGACTGATTATTGGAAAAGACGTGTAATGAATGTTACTATTTCAGAAATATTTCTTTCGTAACTTGGGTGCAATACTAACCTTCGCAATTATTGGTACAACCGTATCTTCCTTTGTTGTGGGGGCATTAATGTATGGTTGTGTTCAGCTGATGCCTGCAAGATTAGCAAATGCTTTTACGTTTTTGGACACACTGTACTTTGGAGCTCTCATATCCTCTACTGACCCACTGACAATCCTTGCTATTTTTAATGACCTCAATGTAGATGTTAACCTTTATGCCTTAGTGTTTGGTGAAAGTGTCTTGAATGATGCAGTTGCTATTGTTCTTAGTGGGTAAGTTTGCATTGGAAAATAATATTTAGGATTACATTATTCTTAATATAATTTTTATTAGCATGCTATTTTCTAATATAATGGTTGGCTATACCAGCTATTCAGTTTTTGTGGTATACAACAAATTTATATGAATTTTTAAAAACAGTAATATTTCCACAAAGAGTTACAGGTTTTGTGTTCAAAATATGTCTAGATTTATAGCAAGCCATATAATTTTAACACTTCTCAGGTGAAAAAAAAAACCTAATAAGTAATTGCTACATTTACATACATCAAGAACTGAACTGTCTGGAATCGTGCCATAATATTTAATTTATTTTTTATTTTAAATTTGAGCATGATTAATCAAGCAAGTTTTATCCAAAACATTTGGTGTTAACTTGGTTTGCAAATATTGTCTGAATTAATTTTTTTGAGGCATACTTTTAATTTTTTCTATATTTATTTGAAATAAACCCTTGTGCCAAAAGGATAATTCAAGTAATATTTTTTATTAAAATGGCTGCTTAACAAAAAATTTTCAATAAGTTGAATTTTAAATTCCAGGTATTCTTGTAATATCAGAAAAATTAAAAAGAATAAATAACATTGAACATTAGAACAGTTTTTAAGACAACTATACTTTAGTAACTTTTTTGTTAAAGTCTAAGGTATCTTGTGAATGCAATAAATATTATATTGGGGAGGCAAATAATAGACAATGATCACATTAAAAAAGACAAATTTGGGAAATTAAAAATTTGCAACCGGGCTTGACAAAATGGTCATATAATAGGATTTGACCAAACTTTTGGAAAAAGAAAATAATACCATTGAAACAAATTTAAAAGAGACCGCAATTATTTTATTAAACGGTGAAAAATGTGTTTCAAATTACTCTTTAAACGGATCCTTGTTGGATACAAATATTAAAAGAAATAGGAATAGAATAAAAGTCATATGATTTCTCTATCTATGGAATCAGACAAATAAACAAACTAAACTGCCAAACCTAAATTCCAAATTCTAATAACGAAGACAGGTTGATTTTTGAAACGTCGACGACTTATTGAATGTATGGTATATAGTGATGTGTATTTTGAATTTGTTATTTGTCTGCTTTTTCCTGAGTGAGATTTTTATATTTTCATAAAGGATAACGCTTGACCGATCCTCTTGACGCTAGAGTTTATTTAATTAATTTTTTCACTTGGTTTCTATGGCAGGCTAGTTACCACATTGTCTGTTTAGACTTTTTTTGCTTAACGTTTCAAGAGATGTATTGCTGTCTTCAAAAGAAATTGGATTTGCAGTCTGGTAGACTACATGGCAATTAGCCCAGAAATTGTTTAACCATTTATTTTTAAAATTTAACCTATTGAACCATATATAACTGTTTAATAATTTATTTGGCTTACAGTTTTTTTAATATTTTAATTGTAAATAAAACAAAATATGGTCTATGGTTTTATAAACAAATGTCTTTGAGTATGCACAGCTTCTACATAATTTTATATATTTCAGATCAATTCAAAACTATGGAAAAAGGTATCAGTCAGGCAGTGGAGGTTTTGAGACAAAGGCCTTCTTTAAAGCTGTTGGTGATTTCTTTGGAATATTTATGTTGTCATTAATTATAGGAGCAACAATGGGTTGTGTTACTGCATTGATATCCTTTTTTAATTTATTGATACTTTTATGATAACGTACACTATATTTTGATCAATTTTATTTTTATTTTAGAAGAATATATTTTCCTTAATTTAACAATATATACATGACTAAATTTACGAGAGTTCGAGATTTTCCCCTTTTAGAATCCGCCCTATTTGTTTTGATGTCTTACAGCACATTTTTGATTGCAGAAGCTTCTGAACTTACAGGTATAAAGATAACAAACTTGATGCTGTTGAATATGAACGAGATATTTTTTTTCTAGGAGTAGTAGCAGTTTTGTTTTGTGGTATTTGTCAAGCTCATTACACGTACAATAATCTGTCGGAAGATTCTAGGATAAGAACCAAACAAATGTTTGAATTACTAAACTTCTTGGCAGAAAATTTTATTTTCTCTTATATAGGTGTGTCAATGTTTACGTTCCCAAAACACCATTTCAACCTACTTTTTATTTTTGCGGGATTTGTATCCTTTTTGTTTGAGAAATTTCTTAAAGTGCCTTGTCAAAAATATTACGAAAAAAGTATGTATTTTGAGTTATAAATACCTTAACATATAGAAATAGACATGTGCAGCTATTGGTAGAGCAGTAAATATTTATCCCCTCTCGTTTTTATTGAACTTGGGAAGAAAACCGAAAATCCCCTCGAATTTTCAGCACATGCTATTTTTTGCTGGTAAGTTAGCGGTTACGTAAGTTTGCCTCTCTTTTAAAATCATCTGTTTTTAGGACTAAGAGGTGCCATGTCGTTTGCATTAGCTATTCGAAATACTTTATCCGAGCAAAGACAGGCTATGCTTACTACCACGTCATTGATTGTGATTATTACTGTTATAATCCAAGGGGGAGCTACTATGAATTTGTTAAATTGGTTCCAAATTCCGTAAGTATTGTAATGAGTACTTTATGTACATACAAATGATGAAAACTTTTGTAGAGTTGGAATAGACGAAGAAACCGAGGCCTTATCACGACAAAGTGTTCACAGTGTAAGTAGAAAAATATTCTCCTATTATAGAGATAGCACTTAACAATTTTTTAATAATCAGGTGTACAATTCCATGGAAAGTTCAACTGGGGTAGGTAATCATTTTTAAAAATCAGGAAAATCTATTACTTTTTTTTTTATTTCTATTCTTGCTGTTTTAGCTTAATAGTAGAAGGGAATTTTATTTTTTTACAGTTTAAAAAATTAATAACTGAACAACTTCAAAAATTAAGCACGTATGAATGTTTGTAGGGCAGCACAACATCTAGACCAGAATGGACTGAAATTAATGCATCCGAGCTTCCTAGACCACAGAACGAAAAAGCATTTCTAGCGAGGATATGGGGATCGTTTGATACATGTTATATGAAACCTTTATTGACGCATTCGAGACCCACTTTGTTAGAAACGTTACCCGTATGTTGCAATCCCCTTGCAAGACTGCTTACTACTACAGAACAGATGACGCAGGTAAAATATACAAGCTAATTTATTTTATATACACAGCCTTCATAAATGTTTATGAGCCGAGCTTAGGCAACCAACATCGCAGGGCTACTGATAACGAAAATTCCCTAGGTCTTGGCAGCACCAATATTAATGATTCGTTTACAATGAACAATGATAAACTGTTACATCTGTGCTCCCTACAATGCGATCGCTGATTGGTTGAATAGAATCTCGTGAAAAATTGCGCCAATCATGGGCGATGAAACATAATATTGCTTTTCAACGTAATCTTGATTTTATTGTTTTAATTTTACCGAAATTTATTTGCCAACTTAAAGAAAATAAAATTACCGCTTGTAATCTTTTCTGAAGGCTCTGTACAAATACTGTTGGGAGGACGCAAAATTCATTATATTTATCTCCTTTTAGGAGGGATCAAACAGACCAGGAGGTGATTCTGATTCAGATCTTTGCATAGAAGAAAATGATTTTTCTAATGTTGATAATATACGATCCAATACTAGTAGAGTAAGTAAAATACACGGTGACAATGAAAAAACGTTACAAACTTAAATACACGAAAGTACCCAGTGAATCTTTGTTTTATCGCATTGTCCGTGTTTTTTTGTACTAGTGTGTGTATTTTCCATTTGACCGTTTAATTGTGTTATGTTTTTAGAATGTTAAATAAACGTTTGTTCGACGTTCCTAAAATGACGGTCTCACGCGCGGTTCGGCGATTCAGCGAACTTGGTCATGATAGTCGTCATCCCGGAAGTGGGAGAAAAGGCACCGTCAACACTTCCATGAAACAAAAGATGATCAAGAAGCGAGTGCAACGAAATTTGAGGGTGTCCGCGAGACCGGACTCAGTCAAGATGTCACCAACTCAAGCAGAGGGCCGCAGATTCTGGCTGGGAAACCATCCTCTGTACTGACAAGAAGCTGTTCACTGTGCAACAAGCCTATAGTTGCCAAAACAATAGAACAATTATGATTAAAAACGTTTATAACGTTTTTTTAGTGTCACCGTGTATATGTACATTTTCCATTCGTTTTTACACTTAAATTAATTGATTGCCGTATATTTTGATAATTTCAGAAATCTTGTCTGATTCAAATTTCTGTGATAAAACAAGCTTTACCTTAATTTCTTAGAGGTGGCCTGAAAATAATTTTTACTTTGTTTTAGCACATTAATTCCATCAGCGGCCATCAAGTCTGAGAGAGAATTTTGGAGCATCTAAATGATTTGAATAAATAATTTTGTGCTGTTTGTATTTATTGCCATATATATATCTTTTATATTTTCAAAATGTCGCGACACCTATTGTCACTTAAAAATTTAAAAAAATAGTCCCAGCTAAATAGCCATAAAATGGTACGGTTATTACCGTAGTACCTATTAGCTTACAATTATTAGCGTTCATGGTTTAACGTTATACCGGGTGATTTTTTTAACCTGAAACCTCGAGAAATAAACACTACGGAAAAAATGTCCGTTATCAAAATTTTATCATTCCACGAAGGGAATACACTAATGCCAGAATTAGTCCCCCTCCCCCTACTTGAAGGTAGGTTGAAATTTTAAATAGGAGCTATTTTTTGTTGCAGATTCGAATTTTACGTTTGAAAGTATGTAAGATTTGTGAAACATTTTTTTCGATTCATGACGGATGGGGCTGTAATCGACGAAATTCAATTTTTTCGAAACAGGGGGGAGCGGAGCCAATTTTAATGCTAATGATCTCCACCGCGGAATGATTAAATTTTGTTTGTTGACATTTTCTTCGTAGAGTGCTTATTTTTGGAGATATTTGAAAGTTTCAGGTTAAAAAATCACCCGTTTATGCATATATCAGGTATGTTGCTTTATGGGTGTAAAGGCAATTGTTATTTCTTTTTATTTTTTTAGATTTGTTAGGTTGTAATAATTATGACGTATAAAGATATAGTAAATAAGTCGGTCTCATAATTGATACATATTGTTTCTATCGTGAAGGTACTATATAGTGTGTTTCTAACGTAATTTGCTCGAGGTTGTAATTCTTTCTTTATTTTAGAAACACCGTGTATGCCTGCTACTGTATAGAACATTTTTGTAAACAATTAAGTACCTCTATATCTGTGTTATTCTTTTAGCAATAATAGTTCAAGTTTTTAAGTTTGGCTTTGTTATGTATGAGTTATAATGCACTTTTGCTGTGTTTTACCATAATTAGGCTGTGATGTTTTTTTGATCGATTATAAATGTATAATTTCAGTTTGGTTACTTATGAAATACTTATTATAATAAATGTAAATACAAAGAGTCATTTAATATTTTTTCCCATACACCTTCCGCATTGTTTCAAAGCGATTGACGGTAAGCCCGCAATGTTCTGTTTAAATAATATCGCAAACCATAATTTCAGTAACGTTTATTAGTAATAAATTAATTTATGTACACACAAATGTAGAAGAGTCTTTGGCATTTAATAGTCCGAACTAAAACAAAAAACATTAAGGTCAGCATCTAGCATTTCTTATTTTCAAAAAAAATTCAACTTTTATTAGTTTAAATTTGAAAAATACTTACTATATATCGAATCCACCTTTTCCTGACCCGCCGCCTTGGGCCTGGCTTTGTGAAAACGCCGCTGTGTATGGGCCAAAGGAAAAGGATGCCGACTGGCTTTGGGCTTGGCTTCCATGACCTCCCGCAACCGCAGCACTGCCAGCGAAACTTCCTCCTTCGTATCCGTGGCCGCCAGTGACTTCAGGTTTGTAAGATTGGTGGTTAGGCCCGTAATTGTTGATATTTGTTACGTAATTTCCTCCTCCGTAACCACCACCACCACCACCGCCACCTAGTGCTCCCAAAAGTCCCAACGGTTTTTTTTTAAATATATGTGGCGATCGGATGCCCCTATTTAAAACTGAAATCAAGAATAGTTTTATTAGGTTATTAACAAAATATTGTTTATAAATAATTTAATTAAAAATTGCTTTTACTGAAAATCCAAAAAATTATCACCCTGTATATCGAATTTCCGGAAGAAATGAGTAGTCAGTAAAATTAACGAGTGGGAAATTTTTCTAAGCATAAACGTTTTATATCTACTCACTTTCATGTTCATTCTGTTTATTTACTGGGCTAGCTAGTACTTCCGAGCACACCAAAAGAAAAACTAGATGATACAGTTTCATCTTCTCAGTGTTTGAATTTGCAGACTTGGATGGATACGGATACTGAATTAATATTGGTTTTTTACCTTGTTATTTATATAGAAGATATCCCACTTTTATTGATACATCTTGTTGTACTTGGAAATTTTAAAAATTTGATGAAGGTTGAGAACGTAATTTAGATATATCTTTATTTATGCAAAAAACCGGATGCAAACTTGTGAATAACATTTCGGAAGTGATATTGAATTCTCGCCCACGATAAAATTACCAGCCATATATGTAACTTAAAATTATATGCAAGTGTCTAGCTTTTTAAGTAATTTACATGGTGATCCTTGATAAATATATTAGAAGGACTTTTCCAATATTTATTGCTATCGTTTAAAAACAGAATATAATTATCTTAAATATATTTAACCCTTACCATTTACAACCTCTCTAAGGTCACGACACAGTTAAGATTTTTTGTTAAACATTTAAATATATATATTGGAAGGCCCATGTAGAGAATTTTGCGAAAATAAAAACTCTTTTAGAGAGAGAAGGAAACATATATTCTAGTATCTATTTGTATCATGAATATTAATTAGGCAATGAGAAATCAAAAATTACCGTTTAAATTTTGGACATGAAAATTTTGGTTTGGACGAATTTTCGAGTAATTCATATTTAATTTTTTTTTCGATTGTTTCTGTCTATTTATTTAAGGAGCAATCGGAGATCAAATTCTATTTTATTTAGTGAAATCTGTATTCCCAGAGAGTAATTATTTAGTCGCACAAACATTTTGTAATCATACGACATACGATGCAGTGTTCTGCTTTTTTAAAACATTTTTTTCATAATCTGATCCTACAAAAACTATAGAGCGTAAAAAAACTACCACCAATGTGTTCAGCAGTAGTCCCAATTACGTGTATGTATTTATATTTCCATGTTTTTCCCTCTATTAGGCACTTTCGTTTTCTAAAATTTGTACCTAAAAATCGAAGGAGTGAAACTGTAAACATGTAAAAATTACTGGTAATTCCTGTTTTAGAGCTTACCCCTCTTCATTTTTGTGTAAAATAGAGAGAATATACATGCATACATATTTTTAAGAACACGCATAGCAGAAATTTAAAATAAATTCGTATGTACTTATTCCCAAAACAATATCTTCACCAGATTATATCAAAAATCAAATCAATTTTTAGATTAGAATGAAAAGAAAAATATTAGCAATGACTCCAAGTTAGCCAAAGTGAGCGAAGTACTAGTAATTACTACGCATGGAACACGCCTATTCAGTTTAGTTCGAGGAGTTGCCGCTGAAGCTCGCCGCTTCTTGCTTTTAAATTTTATAGTTTCAAATGTAAGTAATTGTTGTATATATTGTACGAAATATACTTTCAAAATGAGTAAACATGTGTAATGTACCCTATGGACTAATATGATTTGTCCGTTTAATAGAATTCTTTATAATATTTCAGATTTTCAAAGACCAAGATGACGCTTGTTTTCATCCATGGGTCAAATTATGATTTTCAAATGTAGTTTGTGCGATTTTCAAGTCAAAATGTGAAAACTGGATGGTACGGCATTCATGCCAGGATTCTGAAGACAACAGGTTAGTGAAACTTTACTATTTTAAATGTCTGCGATGATGTAAAATTGTATAAAAGTCATGTTTGAGTAAAAACATTGTTCAAAGCCATAGTTGATTACAGATTGCGAAGTGGGAGCTCCCAGGTGTATTTTCATACAACTGTTTGCAATAAAATTATTAACTTATTATGATTTAAAACTACCTTAATTATTATCTTGATGAACATATACATAAGTAAATATATAAAGAATTTACAGTTATAATTTGATAGTTACTTTTAGTCTATGTTTGAATTCATGTTATTTATTAGTTATACTCACAATGGCCATCGTAACATGGTAGGAAGAATACAAATACAAAGAAGTTTTTCTCTTCACATACGTAAAGATATTGAAGTGACGGATTACGTAAAGTAGAACATTGTTAAAATTTCTATAAATATAATGTGTTAACCATTAACTAAAAAATGAAACAGTATCAATAGTGAATAGTGGAGTTTGACTTAACAGCTAGCAAGTGATCGAGTAAGCTTATGAATCTCTTCGTGGATGTTTTTCGAACGTTGTTCTTCTCGCGATAGGGCTTCAGGTCTCACTCCACTCCATGGTTATCACACAAAATTTTATAAAGAAAACTTTAGCAAACGTAACAATTTTCAGGTTGATATTTTATTCAAGGAAAATCCTCTTAAAATATATAAGGTTTAATTAAACAACATTTAATATATAATAACTTTATTGAAATAATATAACATTCTGAGAAGAAAAAAAAACCTCCAAAGAAAATAACACATGTATCTTAATATTGTAAACTGTATTTATGAAATTTTTTGCAAATAATAAAATAAGTTACTTTAATTTGAATATAGAACGTATATAATTCAAAGCCCTTATGAGTAGTAAGGCACATATTTAATATATTAACTATAAATAATAAAATACCAAAATTTTGTTAATTTTACTGGAAGAAAATAAACATAAGCCAGGCACTTTAAGAAACTTGTTGCAAAAATCGGTATGTACAAAATTAAACATTAAAACAAGGTATATATTCCAATAAAATAACAAATTTTCGATTATATTTGATTGATATATGACTTAAATTAAACAGTAATACATGATATTTAATATGTAAAAAAATAAAATTAACATCTAAACCTCGACTTTAAATGGAGAACCAGGAATATGATCATCTCCCCATTTCACAATTACTAAATAGTCACCCCTCTCTCTTACCATGTAGTTAACAGCATATTGATTATGTCCTTGATGTTTAATAAACACTTCTTCACATGGTCCTTTTGGCCCATGGATGCCAACAAATAAAATGTTCACTCCTAAAAAATCAAGCAGACATTAAATACATATTGTGAACTGCATAAAATCGCTCGAACGGGTAAAGCGTCAATACATACCTGCATTTTGTGCTGATACAGTAAACTGATTTTGTTTTCCTAAATAAGCCTTCTTCAATCCCATTCCTTTCGATTGAACTTTCGATGCGTCACTCTTGAATTGCGGTAGTACTGGTCCTTTATTGTTGTTAGCTTTTCCAACCTTCTGTACCGTCTCTACTACTACAGAAGAAGATTCTTGACCTCCGATGTCAGCAACCTTAGCAGTACCTATAAGAGTAAAATAATATATTAGTTCGAACTTATTTGATATTATGGTAAATTATTTACCTGTGCTGTGAACTTTAAATGGAGATCCAACAATGTGGTTGTTATTATATTTAATACTGATGTAATAGTCTCCTGGGGCAAGAGGAGTGTAACGTACTTTGTAACCTTCTTCTACTTCGGTGCAGTCCATGGAAACTTTGCTAGGACCATCGATGTTAACTGCCAATGTACCGGCACCAGCATTAACAGTATCGACAATAAAATCTGTCTTCACTCCTAAAAAAAATGATTGTTTGTAACATTCGTTTTATTAAAATCCTTATCGGTCGAGAGACGTACCGGTCTTAGCTTCTTTCAGTCCACCTCCTTGTGCGTGTACAGCAGCTGGGTCGGCCGTGTCTTTACCAACTTTTACACTGAAAGGAGATCCGGGGATATGAACTCCATTGAATTTAGCATGGATTTTGTGAATGCCGTTTTCTCTTGGCATGAAGCGGACGGAGTATTCTTCCATGTCGATGATTTGGACAAAACAGTCATCTTCGTGACCAGAGGGGCCAATAATCTACAAAATTATTTTATGAGTGACGTACTTTTTCCACAGTCATTCCTAAAATGTTCGTACAAACTCAAAAATTAAAAATAGATTTTAATTTTATTTTTATAATTTATAGGAACTGATTTGGTGTTCGAAATATTGAAATATGGATTAAATAAGTTTCTGAATATCTAATAAAAAGTTTGCTTTTGTACTTAATTTTAAACAATGGGTTAACTTCATTACGATTCTATTTAAAAAACGGCGGTATGTGACGTCATGTGGCTTATTGTACATGACTGTAAATACGCGCGAGTCATGGAAAGAGGAATTTGCTTTCAGGTGCAATTATTTTAATAATTTTTTTTAGTTTTTTAAATTACTTTACTACTAAAAGCTTGAACAAAAAAGTATACCGAATATTAAGTAATTTTATATTATTTTTATTGATATTATTAGGTTATTATTAGTTTATGTAATATAGTACCTATATCAGGGTTATTCCTGAAAATAATCGAAGATCCTTCTGAATTTTGCGATTACTTTTTGAATTATTGAAGATTTAGCTTTGAAACTGCGCGAAAGAAAATTTGGATAAATTGATTATTTATATTCATTGTTTATTTTACCTTGGCGTCGAGATCTCCTTTTGCGCCATTCCTTCGGACGATGAATTGGGAAGGCTTGTCGGCTTGAATGCTACCCTCGGGGAATTGCGCTACCTCCAACAAGTGTGCATCTCCAACGGCGGGAGAGATGTAGACCTTGAATGGCGAGTCGGGAACGTGTTCGTCGTTGAATTTCAATCCGATGCGGTATTCACCTATCACAAAAACAAAAAAACGGTTAACACCTGTCCAGAGTCTCTATTGTAGCGAGAACCTTCTGCTTCAGGCGGAGGTTCAACTGAATTCAAGTTTATTTCCTGGAACACTTTATACATTGTCCGTTCGCACTATACAAATAAAAACATTGACCATACAACTAGAACAAACATTTAATCTCTGATGACCACTCTCCACATATGAAAAATATCTTACTAACTATTAAATATATGATTCAATCTTCTATATTTAACTTTTAAAACTACCTTGAGGGTTTTTTTTGTCACAGCATAACACACTTTGAAACATGCTGCAAAATTTCTATCTGGATCTGTGCCAAGTAAAAATAAACTTAGTAATAAATATATTTATATAAATATATGTGTTATTTAAACCCTTAATAGTTCAGAAAACAGTTTCATAACTTCCACCTTAATCAAAACTCATGATACGATTACCTAATTCCGACTTCAAATACTTGGGTTTGTTACATCAGGGTATATCTGGTTATAAAACTTTCCGTGGGAGAGACGGATTTATGCGTTGTACGCAGAACGTGAATATAGGTAAAAATATGTCAGTGATCTTGCTGACGTGCTTGGGGGTGGTAAATAAAATAGCGAAGGGTAAACTGCGACGGCGAATGGTGGATATTCATAGACATTGTTGCTACTTCGAGCCTTACATGTTTATATTGGTAGGAAACGCTGAAAATTCGAAAGTTGGTAATAAATTTAAGTAGACTGCTATAATTTCTTTATTTAAGTGCCGTGCTTAAAATAGTCTACTCCCTTTTAATTTGGCACATTTTTTGCGATGATAACGTAAAAGAAACAAATGAAATTCGTTTCTTCCGGATAAATCTACCGAAAAATCGGTAGACGTGGCAACTATGTCCATGGATGTCTGGATGTTGCGGATGTGTTTTGATTGTTTTGTGAATATTTATGGATGCATTAAAAAATGGACGTGGGGTACAAATTTTGCTCGGGGTAAAATACGATGTTGCTACGATGTAAAAATTACCGATTTCTCGTTAATATTAAATGAAGATATATTTAGCCATCGTCGACAATATTCGGCGCCCACTTGTAATTTATAGGGCGAGCCAAAAAACTGTTCTGTAATTTAAGGAGCAACTCAAAGTATGATGAATCGACATTATTTTGTTTCTAAAAACATAAAAAATACATTTCAAATGGTGATGCCTACATCGTTAGAACTAATTAGTTTTGACGTTTTATAATACGTACTATTATTTATTTGACTGTTTTACCACAGCGCTGAAATATAAATTAAAAATAACAACAAGCTTGCGTGCCAGAAAGATCAGTCAGAGTTTATCTTTTTAACGTATTCCCAATTGCCTAACTAATAGATCTTTTGCTTAGAAAAACAAATAAATTGTATGTAATGAAATTATCTTTTGGCTCCTCGTTCTTTTTTTTGTTTATTTTGAAGCGAAACAACAAATGGCAGCATCCAATTTTTTATAATATAAAATCATAGCTTTACAAATAATCCTTTTAAGATACGCGTTAATTAAAACTGATCTGTTGCATTATTTTATTTATTAGTCTAAAGGTATGTACAGATTGAAAACGAAGACGGGGAAACTACGTTTGTTAGGCTTGGCCCTGTTCGCGTTCACGGTGAATCAATTTCAGTCCAGTACGGTAATGAACCATTTTGTTAGAAAATGATAGCTTGTCCTTTACAGCAGCAATTTCTTTATCAGAGTTCTTTGGAAATCCCAAACGTTGATTGATCCCGAACAGAAATTAATTAGCGTTTGCTTATAAAATTGGCAAGTGCTATGCAACCAAATTTAGCCACGAACCGTACGTATATTTTGGGAAAGTGACAAATTATCATGAGTGAAGTGAAATAATTTGTACGCCATTCTGAAATGTCGGTAAAACATAAATCAGATGTGCTCTATATCCTCCCAAATATTTAAATAGTCTATTTAATATTATTCATTTTCATTAACTATGATTGATATTCCAAATGTTATAATGAATTATTCAAATACGAATCTAATAATAATTCGGTACATCATAAATTCTTTCGTATATTTTTTTCTATTGATACATTACGTGGATAAAAAAAAAAGAATTTTTGACTTACCCGGCTCGGAAACTTTGTAAGACACATCGCAGGAACCGTCCTTTCGGTCCGTGAAATTGATTTCAGCTTTGCTGGGGCCTTCAACTGAGATAGCGAGTTGTCCGCTGCCAGCTTCTCTTGTCCATACGTTGAATTCGTTGAGTTCACCTTGTTCGCCTCTTTCTAAACCAGCACCTCCCGCTTTAACCAAATGGGCGCCGTGATCGCGATACGGACCAACGGTGAATTGGAATGGTGAACCTGAATGCAGTAAAAAATTAATAAATTAATGGTGACCGACATATGTCTTCAGAAATTACCAGGGATGTGAATTTCCTTGTATCTGACAGAAACAGTGTGTACTCCTAACTCTTTGGGTACGAAGTGGACGGCGTAAAGTCCGTCTCTAACTTCGTTGATTTCTGCGTCTTCGGTTACTCCTCCAGGAGATGTTACTGTTGCGCTAAGGTCGAATGAAGTAATACCTACAAAAATAAATACGTTTGAGGGTTGTTTGGGTTAAAAAAAAAACAGTATTAGTACATATCTGGGCTCAGTAACACGTTTCCAGATAAATTTGTAAAAATTTTTGTAGTAATTAACTCACCTGGCATTTTGAACGTGAGCTTGCATTGGCTACCAACTTCGGTGACGGGCACAGCCTCGCGTTGTCTTTGGATCTTCTCTCTTTGCCTGTTTGATCCTTCACCAGTCACCTAAATTTATCGCGTATGAGAAACCTTGTAATTCCTTTAATTATTTCGTATTACCTTAACAGTAAACGGTGATCCTTCCACGTGGTGATCAGCGAATTTGAGATTGACAATGTAGTAACCAGGTTCTGTAGGTTTGTAGGAGATATTCAAAGTTCCATCCGTGTTGTCATTGCATTGAATTTCAGCTTTGCTTGGCCCTTCGATGGACAGAGACAGACCTCCGAAGCCGGCGTTCCTAGTGTCGACGTTAAACGTATTGTTCTGGTGCGTCTTTCCTTCCTTCAAAGCGTTTCCAGTAACCTTCACTTTCCTAGCATCACCGACCTCCCTCTCGCAAACGTTTATTTTGAAGGGCGAGTTGGTGATGTGGCTGCCCATTTTTTTGACGGACACGACGTGCTCGCCGATTTCCCTAGGGGTGAAGGAGATGCCGATGTTGCCTGTTGGTAAGCGTTTCAAGAAGCAGGGTTCCTCAAGTCCGCTAGGAGCTTGAATGGAGGCGTTGAGGGAACGAATATCGGCGTCAGAAATTTTCCCTGGCAGCGAGACCTCACTGCAAGATCCCACCGAGATTTGATTACGTTTCCTGCCTTCTCCGGTAATTTTGGAGTTAAAAGGCGACCCTTTGATGTGTTTGTCTCCAAATCGGACAGAGATCTTGTACTCGCCCGGAGCCGTGGGCAGGTACGATACGGATACGGTGCCGTCTTTGTTGTCGTGGCAGCTTATTTCGGCTTTGCTTGGTCCTTCGACGGCCATGGAGAGACCGCCGGCTCCGGCTCCTTTCGTGGATATGGTGAAATTGCTCGGTTCTCCTGTGACCCCATGGGTGAGTCCCGGTCCGTAGGCCGTCACGTAGCCGGAACTGATGGAATCGACGTGGATCTTGTAAGGGGAACCTTGGACATGTTCCCCGTTGAATTTAACTGCCAGTTCATGGACACCCTCTTCCCTGGGCTCGTACTTTATTGTTACGGTTCCATCGTGATTGTCTTCTATCACAGGCTTGTCGATGTTTCCACTGGGCATCTTTATTTCAGCTGGAACAACAGCGTTCTTGTATTTTGCGACGCGAAAAGTATGGAATTGCATTTTTTCCAGTAGATGTATTTAAGTGTAAACACAAAGAGCAGGGTTGATAAAAAATCATGATGAAAGACGCTTTTTTTTCCTGTTTTCATATGTCTAGTCAATATTTTGAAATACATTGAAATATTACTACTCTTTTATTAAATACGTTTTTGTAGTTTAATTCAAAAAGCATTATCAATTAAAATCATACCTAATTTAAATCATGGGAATCCTGAAAAATGGTCCCTTCTTACAGAATTTAATTGAGAAGCAGTATGTTTATTTTTATAACAGACAAATCAAGCAATAAAATTTTACCTTTATGGGTCTGAACAAAGAATATCGATAAAAACGTAATGGGCGTAAAATCAACTCCGAATCCTTTGCCTCCAACAGGAATCGACGGCACTCCTGTATAAACAACTGGAAATTCCTGGCGATCTATTTCTGAGTATGTAATAGATTTGTATCTATCTACATATAGTGTAGATTTTTCAGACCAATCTTCCTCGGGTACCTTTGGTGTATTTATCCAAGAAAACATTGTCTAAACACAATTTTTAAGCACGCTTTTGTGGAAATTAAAACACTGAAACGTGTCATAAATTTTTGTAAAGAACAAACAAAGTTTAAAGAAAAAATATTTCAATAATAAATTATAGCATTACGACTATACGTAGGTATTTATTTTTCTTTATGATTCTTTGTAAATCAAGTTAAATTTAACACCTTATATTCCCAGATTAATGGATTTATTTCCACAAACAATGTGCTTAAATTTTGTAAAACAAAAAAAATTTATTCACTGAGTGAAGTCTTCGAAATAGCACTTAAACATTATGCGTTGCTAGTGTTTGTGTGGTTGATGAGACGCGCACGATATGGATTCCAGGCGAAGACTGATTTCGATGTTATAAAATGAAAATCTTAAGGTGTGCGATAGATATCATCACTGTCAAAAAGTAGATTTAATAACTGAGAATGTGGACAGCTGTGCAAAGGCATAAGTAAGGTGGATAATAATTTGACATCTAAAAATATCAAAATATGTTTTGATGTAAAAATGAGGTTGCGACCAGGAGGATTTTTATTCGGGTTATTAATAATTTTAGATGTTTTCGACTGGATGCATTTTATTAGCGCAGTTCTTTCGTGTTTACTACTATGCGTATTTGTATATTATTTCTATTTACGTTATTTCTCTTAGAGCTGTTTACGTGCTCCCCCACCGAAAATATTTTCGATTTTATCGTTTGTTTGTCTGAAATAACAATAATATTCAATTCTGTGATTTTTACCGCATTATATTATCTATTTTTTCTGTTCAGAAAAGTTATCTAAAAAAAAGGATTTCAGATACACTGGGGGGTGTTGCTTAAAAAAAAGTTTAGTTTATAATTCTGAAATGCTGAATACTGTATATTTCCTTGGGATCACAAGGAAATTCCTAATGCTTTGGTTTCTCTAGGCAGAAAGGCAAAGAAGATAAGAAGGGTAGAATATTATGAAATTAACCCTACACGTGTGTAGGTTGTATTTAAAAAAATATATAACTTAGTGATAGTCATAACTTTTAAACTTGGTTTTTTGGCATCGTTTAATATAAAATTGAATTATCTTTCATCCGATTTAATAGATGTTAGATCAAAGACGGCTAGCATAACGATATATTTTGACCTATTTTAAGGATATTTAATAGTTTTTATACGTTTAGCGATTCTAATAATTTTAATCTCACGGCCTATAAATCCGTTCTTATTAGCGTTTTGTTTTTTTAAACTCGCGGAAATAACTTTTAATATTATCTGAGTACCCTGCGACATGGACTCCCTGGAAAAGTCTACTGTGACATATTTTGTCAGGTACTTAATAGCAAAAAACAAAATTTTGTTCGATTTGCTTGTCAAAAGACAAAAGAAAATATTTACCTATGTTTCCAAAGTACTAACACATTATTTTTGTTTCAGTGTTGGTTAAAAGCAACCTCGCAGTTCAGGAGCATTAGTGACAGTGATTTTGATAGTGACTATTATAGAATAGTGACATTAACGGGGTAAGTGACGTTGATCGCCGTGGTCAACTTAAAATTAGTGACTAAGTGCGTTGATGGTGATCGGTGTAATGGAAGAGGAATTAATATATGTCCTTCAAGGAGTTCATCATGACGGATGCGGATAAATGGTGTTATCTTTGCATTAACAACAACAAAAAATTTAAATGGGTGGCCATTTTAAGCAGTTTTAGAATAGTATACGTGTACAAATTAAAAAAAAAAACTGAGTCTTGTTACAAACACTGTTCTGTATCTTTAAATATTTACGTATTTTTAAAAAATAAGTAAAAAAAAACAAAACGGTTTTCTGATGTTTAAAGCACCATTAAATCAGCCATATAATTTGGTAGGCGTTTATAAACATGTTAAACTCATATTTCTGTGACACATTAAGTTTTTTTTATTTTGTAACATCCCTTGATCGTGTTTATCAAGATCGCTGATTTAAATTTGTTCCAAGCGCCTACTCTAGTTCGTAATGCGAAAAGATCCTTTTGAAAACAAATAAATTTGTTTATTTGACTCGAATATTTGTATAATTAATGCCTCGCCGTGATTTAACGTGAAAAGTCTTCGCGTTTTTTTAACATGAACTGGTAAAATTATTGCAAACTCCAAGGTGTATACGTACATGAGGTGGGGGCGCTGCAAAGTGATTACAAATCTGGGTGACCTATTTCTTACCTGTAACGTGTCCTCCAGTACTCGACAATGGAATATTATCCAACTGGACAGGTCTAAACGTTTGCTGCTTAGACTGTGTTGTCGATGCTGTTTTTCTTTTTACGTCTGTCTGAGTTACGGTTTTTTCGGTATTGCTAACTTCCTCCGCCTTAAAAAGAAAGTAAAATATCGTTCAATAAATTATTACGATTTTTTGCGATGTTGATGGGTGATTTTGTTCATACGAAATTTTTGGGAAGCGTGATACTTGAGAAGCGAATAAAATGCGTAATTTAAAAGGCGTATGGCAGCATCTTTATCTAAACAAGTAATTTTGAAAGCGCATACATTTCTAGCTTCAAAATAGATTGATCGAATACGCCTCCAAATTACAGCAATATGTTATGTGGGATCTGTGCCTTTTTCTTAAAATTGCTGCCAATTTCCTTAAAATTTACGAATCCCGATGAATTTTTTTCGGAAAATACCCCTCCTCGATAAATAAATTTATGTACAAAAATATGTTTTTAATTCATTTGGTTTTTAACGCTCTTCCGAAATCCTCTTCAGAATTAAAAAAAAAAACAAATTTACGTGCTGAAAAGCGTTACAAGTTTCGTAAAGATGCAAGATCTAGCAAAATTTTACCATCTTTCCAAAGTTTTCTGTAATTATGACGTATAATTGTCAATAACTCACCAACGGGAATGAATATTTATTTTCCGAAAGTTTTATTTAATTTGTAGGAAAATTGTCAACAATTTTGAAGAAAAACATCGATTTTTGCCATTTTAAAGTGTTGCTGTTTAACATATTTATAGGAGATTTGTGAAAAAAAATTAGGTTATGTTTGTAAAGGACATTAACTTTACGAAGAATATTTGTTCGTCTCAGATTAGTTACTACGCAAAATGTTTTCATAATTTAATTGTTTGTTTTCAGAGGATTGTTTTCAGTATCTCTCGGAGTTATTTTTATCCAAAGTTCGGTATTTTTTATTATGACATTTTAAATGTTACACACGGCGGACTATAGACTGAATCATTTATACGAATTTTTTTGTTAATGGTGTTTTGATATCCAACTTGGTCCGTAAGTAAAAATAGATTAGATGTGATTGTACTTTTTACATACAGCTGGAGCCATTCATATCCATTCCGATGAGTGAATTGAAAAATATTCGGTAAAAAATATTTATATGTTAGTACGTTGTTGGATAATACTTAATTATAGCGAAGCGATGGACGTTTGTTTTTAATCGGCATGTTTAATATTTTTCTATAAACAGCATCGGGTATGTCTTGCTGGAAAAACAATTTTCGAACCATTTGGTACGTTTCTACTAACATTGCTAAAGGACGAAAAAACAATAAAGTATTTTTAAAAGTTCAATAATGAAATGTCATACGTACCGGATATCTAAAACGGCTATAAAGATGAATTTTATTTATGTCCAAAACATCTGGACCTATAATTATTATTTTTAAACTAGTATGTGCACGGTGAATCATAAACATTGCTGAAGAATCGTTTTCTACAGTGCGACCCATTAAGAACCAGAGCACGATTCCATTTTTTTTCTAAGTGACTTTCCGAAAGTGTAAAAATAACAAAAAATTAACTTTTTATTTGCCATTTTTAATCAGCAGAATCAGTAATTGATTAATCGTTCGTCTTTAGGCACTTTCAGTGCCTCCTAGATTTTTTTGTAAAACATACCTAAAGTAATTTTCCGGAAAAAGTCGCAGCAGGCCATGGATGAGCGGCTGAATCATCGTAATCGACTCTTTTAGTGTGACGTCACATATTTAGGCAACCCGCAATAAATTGTCATAGTTGAAATTGAACAGAGTGATTCTGACCCTTGTGTACTATTTACATAGATACTATAAAAACAAAAAACGATATAAAAGAATATTCTTAAATTTAAATAAAGTAAAAAATTAACATTAGCCGTGTTATTCCTAATGCGCATGCTCGGGAAGAATAGCCTCATACGCAGGTGAGATCTTGATATATCATTGCTGTATTAGCGTATTTCCTCTTCTTTTGTTTAATCTTGGCATTTTCTAGTTCTACGAAGTATTTTTGTTTATCGAGTGCTTTTTTTCTTCAAGTGGTTTATTATAGACGCACTCTTAACCAGAACCAAACTTTTCTTGAATGGTATCCTGTTACGAGGCTACTTCACTTATTACATGAAATTATCTTTAATGCGCATGCTCACTAACATTGATATAATTTTAAATTATTAATTACTATAAAAGTCAATATTTAGATATTTAAGAAGACATTTTTTTGGCTTGAGTCCAAAGTACATAAGGTCGAAAATCGATCTTGTAAAAATACTGAGAAATTCTTCATGACAAGTACACATTGTCGGGTTGCTTATTATTTGCCGTATGTGACGACATTACTAAAAAGGTCTATTGTTTCAACAAGTGAAATATAAAAAATCTTAGTGGAGTGCTGCTATTCCCGATGGGCCACAGTGTATGTAAAGGATTTTTGTAACTTCAATCAAGACCGTAAATCATAGTTTTGCGTGGGAATACGTCACAAACAAAATCAAATTGTACGTAACGCATATTTCAGTTTCTAATATGTGTTCTTCAAACAACTTGAGACATTTGGTAGATTATACGTAACTTATTCTGATGTTTAGTAGAAAATGTGTCCAAACTATATACTATAATGTAATATTGACTGCCAACAGTGTCACAAATAATTTTGATAGTGTGTTGAAGCGACGTAATACATTTTCGAGTGTGTAATAGTCACTTTTAAAGCACACATCTGTGAATTTTTTGTTGCATTTCGAATGCAAACGGGGCTATTTCGTTTAAAATATCGATTTTGAGTTGACTGAAGCGATATAAAGATTTTCCTTCTCGGTCTCCCGCTCACCGAGCTTTTCCAGGCCGATTCGTTCTTGTTTTTGTTATAAACTAAAAGTTTATATTTAAAATATAAAGTCTATTAGTAGCGCCATGCCGAAAAACTCGTAGATAAATTGGTGGCAGGTGCAACTTTCTTAAATAAACATAGCTAGCTTAATTTCTTCTGGGCTTAATACAGGTACTAATAATATCGAGATTCGCTCTAGAGTGCCGCGGTTGCGTCTCGTCCTATTTAAGAACGCTCTCAGGAGCGGTATGCCTTCGAGCAGTCGCGCTGTTTACTCTGTGGCCCTTATAAGGTTGTTATTTTATAAACGACGAGAATTGTTGATCATGAATCGTAATTCACGAAAAAAAGTTTTCAGTGAACTTTTTTAATTTGAATTTTTTCTCATGATTTCTAAAAGGTGAAACTCGAAGCTTCAATTTTTAATCCACCATTTTCGCCTTTTGAAAGTCACCTAAAAATTTTAGATTTTGTTTTTCACTTTTAATTTTGGTTACTAGTTTATTATAATCCTGAATTATTTATTTATTTAAATGTGACTGAAAGATGTTTGATTCAGTTCACTGTTATAATAATCTTATATACAGGGTGAATTGTAAATGTGTACAACATACAAGTTACACAAGTTTTTAATAAAGATGTATAATTTTTTTTTAATATAAAACTTGTTGAGAACCACTGACTTGTCGGTGGTATTTACGCTTAACATAGTTCGTCTATACTGAACGGGAGATAATAAGCATGTTTGAGAGATACGTGTCTTGATAAAAATGCTTACAGTGTTATATTTTTGTATTTCTTGCCGACTAAAGGTACAGTTTTGTAAGTATTTTGTATCTGTTGGCAATGTGGTGCCTGTCGCATGGTAGCCGAAGAAATTAATGTTGCCTTGCACAATCCGTGGGCGTAACCCTTTGTCTGCTACAAAACGTAATTAAGCACAATGAAAATACAATGCAGTTATATAAATTCCTTAAGCTCGGCACCGTTGGCCAAAAAAAGTGAGTTCAACATATCGTATGTAAAACCTATTTTTAGCTCATTATTTAAAACTGGATATTACTTTTATTATTTAGCAGAAACTAGTGTACTGTTTATTTTCGTTTCTGGACCACCAAAACATATTTTTCGTTGTTAGGAATTGGAATGGTTACCATCGATTTGTTTACGTAGCGCTTTATAAAATTTAATTAGAGAAAACTTGGGTTAGTCAGCGAAGCACGAGACTTAAATAAAGTACAACATAGTTCCATTGGCAGTAGTTTAACTACCTTCAGAATTATAGTTTATGACTTCCTCGCTGTTCGAAATACCAAAAATTCGGTCGCTGCTTCGAATATAAATGAATAATTTGTGCGTATAAATAAAATTTACATTGCACCTTTAAATACTGCAAATAACAAAATTTTATTAAGGTTTCGAACATCTCAAAAGTGTGTCAATTTCTTTATCCATTATCGCCGAATTTAAGAAATGGAGTTTTATAGTTTTAATACCTAAATGTTTTCCTTGGCACTGGACCCGAATGATATCGCGCGAAATCACCGAAAAATGTGTGTTGTGATTCCACTTTCAAAACCCATTTATATTTATGAAAATGTTGATAAATTTGCCAGATAAAATTTTTTCGGTGTGTGAAAAGCTTACATAATATTATCTCTATTTGATATCTACGTGTTTGTAGTAGGTACTATTTAAAATTTACAATTTTTGCATTTCCAAAATTTGTCAGAAGCTAATAAATATGTAACTAATCCTAGTTATAAATGTTTGGTTCCTGATCAATGGTACGAGATAGTTCCCTTTTTTTGTAGTTCATTAGTCACTCTGATTGCTTTGGCATTTTTAAGCGCAATTTTAGATTTTAATTTTTGGCGCCAAAATCGGCCGTCTTCAAAGAAATCTATTTTTGGTAAGGACAAGAAATCAAAATATGAGATATTATGCGATTTGAAATTAGTATGAAAAATGTCAAAATTATTGAAAAATGGTTAATTATCAAAAATTTATTACTTGCGCGGAAATATTTGTTGTTTAGTCTTTTCTGTTAGGCAAAAATACAAAATAAAATAAAATAAACTGAAACTAAAGTATCTCTGACTGAAATTTGTGAAATTGAACTGTTTTTCGTACACCAGGGAGCAGTAAACGGAATAGTAAATTGTAAACAAGGATTTTATGAGTGCATATCGGTGTTTTATTGCGATTTTTGTATTTACCCATTACGTATCGCATAAAATAATACTAACGCAGACAAAATAATTAAAACTATTATAAATAAACATAGAAATGCAGGCTATAAGCCAGTCTTATTTTAGGAGATGTAAGGAGTTTTCAAAACTGAGGTAAAAGATTAAAACCGAAAGGGGACTGAAAATATTTTAAGGCGAAGTATTTTTAAATTAATATTTCTTGTTTTTTTTAAAAAATTGCAATTTAGTTAGTGCAAATTTGTTTGTGCGGAATGTGTGATTGTAAATATATTCAGAAGCGTGTTGAATCTTCCAAGTTTATTACTTCGGATCATTCTATAAATAAAGTGAGCAACTGACAAACTGCATGTCCAACATTATACAAAATCCCACATCTATTAATAAAGTAAGTTTAGATCTAAAATTTGGACGTATATAATTAATAATTTTCTAATAACTTTTAATGTGTCACACAAAAATATTTGTTACTCTCAATTAACGCCAGTTTATTAATTTTACTACAGTTTTGAAAAAGAAATGTTTAGTTTGTTAGTAGCACAACAACTCACAAAGTTAAAGGGTGTTACTTTCACTTCGTTTATACCTATTCAGTCACAAAGTTCACAAACTGTGAATGGTTTGAAACACCATGACATTTTAGGGTTTTTGATTAAATTTTGGACGTACCTTCTGAAACGCTACAAATGTGTTCGCAAGACTGAAGACAATTAAATTTCATGGATCTGAAAATTTCAAATCTGGTGGGTGCCGAAAAAGAATAAGAAGATTCGTGCTCGGGTATTTCCGGTGGTTTCCGTAAATTATAATCAAAAAAGAAAGTAACCCGATATAGTTAAATTTTACGTTTAAATGTTCGAATCGGATCGGGGAATTTCTGTGATAAACGCGGATATGTGAATATCGGAATTATGGGTCTATTTTTATCATTAAAATTTCATAGAATGATAAATGAAACATTTCTCCGATATATTTATTGCCGGGGGGTGGAGCTCGACGCTCGTGATGCTGGCGTCGTTCCTTTCGACTCCTAGAGAGGGGACAAGACCAGTGACAAAAATGTATTGCTTAAGTAAAGCCGCAAGCCAAATATTTTAATGTAACGGCACCGTAACGTAACCTTGTTATAAAATATTATAAAACCTCTAACGTACCACTATAAAATCAATGCAAAGTCAATTTTGTTCACCGATTTCAAACGGAAAACTCAAAATACACAATTCCAAACTTCAAATAGAAAAGTTTAACAATATTTGTAGAAGTTATACACAATTTGATTGCTTCTTTAAATAATAATCAAACATGAACGTGTCTATTTTAAATAGTTTCGAAAACATTGAATTTTAAAGAACACGGTAAATATTGCATGTTTTTCCCTGTTTCTGGGGTAAAACACCGCTTTAATAATTTTATTACCTTTTCCTGGTGTTAAATAAAAACAAACAAACACAAGGTGACATTAAATCAGTCCTTGGAGTATTGAAAACCATTTTCTAAAATTAATTTAATGCGAAATATATTTTTGAAAACAAAACTTTTTAGAGATATGTAAACATGAAACCCACATATTTCTTTTTAATTTAATTCCTTTTAATCAATTTAAGCGGCAGTAAATATATCAGTACAGAAATCGCCAGACATTGGTAAGTTCGTAAAAATCTAAATATATATTAGAAATATAAGTACAAGGCCGCCCATTTTTCTAAGATAAATCAAAAAGTTACTGACAGGTGACATCAAGTCTGTGCAATAATGATTGGCTTGGTTTTCGTTTTAAAATTATTTTACTTTCGCTCTTTCCTTACCCTATAATTATGTGACAGGTTGCGTAACACCTGTAATTTTTTAAATAGTATAATTGCCAATAATTTTTACGTTGAAAAATCGCGATGATTTATTAAAATATTTGTAGCGATTTATAATAGAAATGAATGACATAGATGTTTTGTTTTGCTTTCTCTTTGTATCAAAGATTTCAAACACATTCACTTTTTATTTATAGAAATAGGAAAAATTGAATTATAGACTATTAGACCCGGGCGGATCTGTTTTGAGGTGGATGTGAGGGGGGGGGGGGCAAGCAATTTTTTTCTGGATTACCTAGATCTGGGCGAGGTCCGGAACATTTTCAAAATTGCAAAAATGTTTAAAAATTTTTAAAAAATACTTATTTTATCTGAGTTTTTTACTTATATCTTGGAACTTATGCAGTTTGGAAGAATATTGAAGAAGAAAAAAGTTTTAGAATTGAATTTTGCACAATATACTGTTAAAAATTTATTACCGATGTTGCAATATAGCAATAATTGATGAAATAATTGCTCCGAGGGCATTCTAATTTTATTAAAAAAAATGTTAGAGTATAATAAAACAACACACCAAATTTCATTAAAATCGGTTCGATAGTTTTCGCAAAATATTTTTTTTTTTAAATTTTGGAATTTTCAAAATGTTGCAGTCTCAAATAAAGCATCTTGATCCTTGAAAATTTTTTCACATAGAAAAGACCGTTCAACCTTTCAAATGGTTTTTAAAAAATTGAAATCGGTTGATTAGGACGGCCACAGTAAATTTTTAAAGTTACCACTCTTTTTTTTATTTTTAAATTAAATTACATTTATCAATTTGCAATTTAGTTTTTTTCAAAAATTATAAGTTTAAAGTACTATTTTTTTTTATTTTATCTGTATTTAACAAAAAAAATAAATTTCCAAATTAAAAAAAAATAGTACTTTAAACTTATAATTTTTGAAAAAACTAAATTGCAAATTGATAAATGTAATCTAATAAAAAAAAGTGTGTTAGTTAAATTTAAAAATTTACTGTGGCCGTCCTAATCAACCGATTTCAATTTTTCAAAAACCATTTGAAAGTTGAGCGGTCTTTTCTATGTGAAAAAATTTCTATCTAGATGCTTTATATGAGGCTGTGCAACATTTTAAAAATTTTTTTCAAAAGATTATTTTACGAAAACTATAGAACCGATTTTAATGAAATTTGGTGTGTTGTTTTATTATACTCTAAAGTTTCTTTTACCAAAATTAGAATGCCCTCGGAGCAATTAAAATATTTTTAAAAAATTATCCAAGAAACTTGATCATTTTGCCTTTTTTACATCCAAAAAGTGGGATATTTCGACAGATCCGCCCTGGTCTATATAGAATATAGCTGATGTTTTAGAAATGATGGTGTGATTAAAGGACAATTTTTAGGTGATTTTCAAAATGCTGTAACTTGGCGAATGGTCGTGGAGCAATCACAAAAAAATCAAATTGAAGCTTGACGCTTCTAGTTTCACGACCTTTAAGAAATCATAAGAAATCCAGCGGAAAAACTTTTTTTTTTTTGCCTCCCTTCCGAAAGGTCCACGAGCTTCAATAATCATTTTTTTGATAAAAAATATTATTTCGATGCAAGAAACTGATTTAAAAAAAAGGTAAAAAATTGTGTATTTAATGATTTTCGCTAAACTTGGGATAACTTTTCAAATAATGAATAGACGAAGGATATTTCCGTTTATTGTAACCTCAGTAATTTTTTACTTTTAAATCCTGTAAATAAAAACTGTTGCAGCTTTTTGAAAATTTAGAATTTTTTTGTGTCTAGTGTATAAATCAATAACAGAATTCCGTTCCAACTTTTCCTGTAAGTGTTGCAAAAGATGGTTTATGTTTCCGTTGATAAATGATTCTTCGAGTTTCAGAGCTGTCTGTAGAAAATTCGACAAGTAATATTTCATCATTCTGTAGCAATTTAGCTTTAGTTCAAGTCGAGTTACATTTGAAATAGGGAGTAAATCGATAAACATTTGTTTCCTTTTATTTAAGAGAAATCGGGATATTTCCTCGGCTTCATCGTTTAATTTTAAAGATTGCCGATTGCATATCGTTTGGTGTTTCAATCCGGCTAAAAATAAGCCATCATTTTTGTATTCGTCCGAGGTCTTTAAACTACGAACAATTTCTAAAATTAATTGGGTCTACAAACATATAATATATTATAGGGGATAAAATTAAAACAAAACTAATTAATACTGAGCCGTCGGGTTGACTAAAAATACTAAAAGACGAATACCTCGTGTCAGATGCACTCTAAAAATCCTCCATCATTTAAAATTCGTATTAGCAACTGCATGCGATATAAACTAATTTCGGGTGACGCACGAAACATTACGTCATCGGGTTAAATAAATTTAGTAAATTTAAAAAATTATTTATTAATGTGTGATCGCATTGCCATGCCAAATTATCCCGCTGTATTAAATCTGTGGGATTTTCACGTAACACATGGAAATTTACGATCTTACGGGAACGCGATAGTTGCGTTTAAAAATCTCAAAGCTTTAAAATGTCTACAAAAACAAGCGGTCTTGTCATAATAAAAATCTAACAATTTGTATTTGACAAAATATCATCAATAAAATTACAATTGACATTATACATATAAGCTAGAAAATTTAATTTCGTGAAGTTATATATTTTTTTATACATTTCAAATGCAGCTGTTTACGTTGAGTCAAATGTTAAATAAGAAAAAGCAGTAGGTAAAAGGTAACGCCAAATTTAAATATTCGAAAGTGTGGTGAATTTTAATATTTTCAGAAGTGTAGCGAATCTAACTTACCACAAATGTGTAGAACCCTCCGGGCACAGTCTGTCCCCCGAATTTAATATTAATTGTGTATTCTCCCGCGTCTTGAACTGTGTAGTATATGCTGACGGTGCCGTCACCATTGTCCACGATGTTTATGTCTAGATCACCCCTGCAAAAAAGTGTAAATCAGAACATTTATCTTTTTCCCTTATTTACGAATGTTACCCGCCATCTGCCGATTTAACCCTACAAGTAACCGCACCAGTTCCTGCATTTTCCGTGTTGACAGTAACGCAGTACGATTCTCCACTGTATAGCGTTTTTGTCAGTCCTTCAGTTATCTTGCATTTCTCGGCCTGAAACTCACGTATTAAACATCCGCGTCAACCTGGTTAAATATTAACTCACATGTCCAATAGCGTACGCTTGGACCGGTATGGGCGCCTTGGAAACTTCCTTGCCGCCATATTTAACATCAAGTTTGTAATTCCCGGCGTCGTCGGGTAAGAAAATTGCGTTGAAAGTCCCATCTCCGTTGTCCTTTAACTTCACTGGTCTCGGATTACCGTCCGGTCCAGTGATTTTAACTTCCAAGTCCCCATAACCCGCTTCGGTCGTGTCTATCTTTATGGTGGTCGGTATGGAGGCAGGTATTCCATTCTCGAAGATGGCCGGACCGCCGAGTTTTACTTTCTCCGGTTCGACCACCGGTCGGACCTTAAGAGGGAACGGGCTGTTTGGTATGTCTTTGCCGTTGTAGAGGATGTGAGTTTGGAGATTGGCGCCCTCGTTAGGTGGGATATAACTCACGTCGAAGGTACCGTCGCCGTTGTCTTGAACTTCCGGTCGTTTTGGAAGCGGTTTTGAGTCGGACGTGATGTTCACTGCGACAGGAGCCGGTCCTGCCTTGGACGCGTCTACCGTGAATTTCGTAGGTATCCCCGTTCGGCATTTGGACGACTCCAGTCCTGGACCGTACGCCTTTACGAGTTTCTCGTCGACGTCAGGTCCGACTAGGACCTTGAACGGGGAGCCTGGAATGTGGTGATCCGCAAATCTAATAGCTACGTCGTATTCTCCAGACTCCGTTGGTACGTATTCCACGGAACACGAGCCGTCTCTATTGTCCTTGCATGTCATTTTAGCCTCGGACGGTCCTTCGATGGCTAGCGATAACCCGCCGGTTCCCGCACCTTTGGTTTCAACCGTGAAGACGTTGGGTTTGTCTAGAACGCCGTGGTCGAGACCAGGACCGTACGCTATACATTTCTTTGCGTCGCATCCCCTTCTCACGTTCACTATGAAGGGTGATCCTGGTACTGGCACGTTGTCGTAGAATATGTCGATGGTGTGCCTACCCTCTTCGAAGGGCGTGTAACTGACTTTGTAGGTTCCGTCGAGTAAGGGTGTTACTAGTTTTTCAGTTTGGGAACCGGAAGGATTCGTAATTGTGCAAGTCACTTTGCCGTCGTCTGTCGATTTTGGTATAGCTCTTGTATCAACCAGGAAGTCCGTTGGTGAGTCGACGTATACACCTGGAACATAAAGGAAGAGTTGTAAATATCTGAACAAAGTGCAGATGAACCATGCAGAATTACATTTAAAGATCAACAACAAACAAGCAATGTTGAATAATCGTTGTACGCGGGAGCGCTACAGTAGGAAGCGACCTGCTAACTGCAGGTACTTTGTTGCACGACTGCCACCCACAGAGGGCGTAGCATAATGTTTGAATTGTCAGTGGTGCTAGAAACAACTACTCCGAGAGCTATATGTCCCTACCGGTATTGAATTATACTCGCAACACCTAGTGCAACAGCCAGGATCGTTTGCCAGTTTAACCCACCAGGCACACTATCGCATTTATGACACACTGATGAGGACTAATAAGTCCTAAACCGGTCTGTGCCTGGTGTGTTAAACTGACGAAAGATCCTAGCTGTTGCACTAGGTGTTGCGAATATAATTCAATACCGGTAGGGGCATATAGCTCTCGGAGTAGTTGTTTCTCGCAACACCGACAATTCAAACATTGAATAATCGATGTTCGCTTTTCATTCTGGCAACATCAAGGTGTGTGTGAGTGGGTTATAAAAATCAAATTTAATGGGTAAACACCAAACGGGTTATATATTTTAGTTCATTAGAGCAATGTTTACGCACACATTTTTACCATGTAACTGTATTCCGCTTCCAGACACTTTGATCTTGTTCATGTCAACCTCGGGTACGATAATCGCCTGGAACGGACTACCGGGAATATGCGAATCGTTAAAAGTGATATTTATGCCGTAGTCGCCGATTTCTGTAGGTAAGTAGGCTACCGAACAGGTGCCGTCGCCGTTGTCTCTGCAATTGATGGCGGCTTCACACGGGCCTTCCACCGTGACGCCTAAACCCCCTTGTCCGGCGCCTCTGGTGTCTATCATGAATTCCGCCGGCCTGTTGACGATGCCCCTGTGGAGGCCCGGCCCAGACGCTTTGACCTTAAGCGGATCGCTGCCTGTCAGACAGGTTAGTTTAAAAGGTCTGTGAGATATAGGCTCTCCGCCAAATGATATCCCTAACAAGTATTCTCCTAACTGTGTTGGTGTAAAGTTTACTAGGTAGCCTTCGTATGTCGGTATTACGTGAGCTTTTACCTTGCTTCCAGATGGGCTCGTTATGGAAATGGCAAATTCTGCCTTTCCGGCGTCTTGGGTGATCACCCTAAATTGTTGTAAACTATTGACGGGCGCCGCTGTTTGTCGAGTGAAATTGTACGATTATTTTTGTTATCTATTGAGGTGGGGACGGAGGCAGAAGGGAGTCGGTGAAGGTTCTCGCCCTCCCTTGTACCTACAATCGTTTCTACTTACTTGGTTCCAGTCCGTCGACTTTTATCTTGGAAACATCGACGTTCGGTTGTACTTTGAACTTTATCGGGGTCGTGGGAACCTTCAGACCGCCATAGTGAAGGGTGACCGTATGGTTTCCGGCTTTTGCCGCTTCGTAGTCCACGGTGTACGTTCTGTCACCGTTGTCCGTGAGTTTTACTGGGATTTCTTCATGTGTGTCTTCATTTACCAAGTGGACATCTAACTCGGCCTCCCCCGCATCCCTGTAAAATATTTGTGGTGTTATCGTAGAAATCGACGTGTTCAAACGATCGCGCATACCTTGCGTCTATGTTGAAATGCGTCGGTGTGTTGGCCTTCACCCCATCTTGTACGCCGGGTCCGAAGCATTGCACTTTCGACGCGTCCACGGGTTCTCCGACGTAAACCCTGAACGGGGAATTTTTCACAGCCACTCCACCGTAATTAACTTGAACGGTATGGCGGTTACCGCTTTTCGCTACGTAAGAACCTTCGATGGTGCCGTCAGCCTTTTCCACTAATTTTACGTCTACGTTATTGCAATTTGCGTCGCATATCTGTAAGATTCAGTTTAGTAGCTGGTGGGAAGGTAGACCAAATTCATTTTTTACTCTATTTTAAAGGTGTTTTTTTATTCACGGAACGCCAGTCCAAAGCAGTTTGAAATTAAATAATGCAATCATTCAATCAAGATATATCCTGTATAGTATCCTTGCTGTTCTATTATGACCCTTAATAAAGACTAATCGCGTAAAAAAAACAGCTAATTCATCATTCCAGCGACCCCAAAAATGTTTGGGTAAGGTCGTCTACACATTGATTTTTTTGTTGCTATGGCGTTATTTGTTATCAGTCGTTTACTAGGTATTAGCGTGGTTTGACGTTTGATATCTTTAGCATACTTAGATTTTTGGTATCGAAGAAAATTTTTTACTCCATTTGTTAAATTTAATTTTTTTTTGAATTTGTATGAATTAGCGTAACACCTTTAAAATAGAGTAAAAAACGCGAGAGCTAATACTAAAATATATGTTTTTTTAAAACCAAGTTCATTTTAGTTCCGAATTTTGCTTACCTTAACATCTAGAGGTGCAGATCCAGCCTTTCTGGTGTCAACTGTGAATTTGGCGGGAACGTGGGTCTGGACCCCGTTGGGTTCGACTCCGGTTCCGTGCACCTCGACCTTCTCCGGGAAGTAGTCGGTATTTGGTAAAATTTGAGCAATGTAAGGACTACGAGGAATGTCTTCATTGTCGCACAGGATGTGAACGGCATATTCGCCGAGTGCCGTGGGGTAATACCTGACGTCGGCGGAACCGTCGCCGTTGTCGTGGCATTCGATTTTCGCCTGGGACGGCCCCTGTATGCTGAATCCCAAAGCGCCAGTTTCTCCGTTGGTCTCGACCGTGAATAGAGCCGGGTATCCGACAACGCCGCCCACCAGGCCCGGGCCGTAGGCCCTTATCATGGTTTCCTTGTACGGCCCAACGTTGACCACGAACGGGGACTTGTAGATCTCGTGTCCGGCGAAGGTTATCATCACCATGTATCTGCCCTCTTTGGTAGGATGGTACGCCGCGTGGTACGTGTGTCCTTGGACCTTGGTCAGTTTGCAGGTTTCCTTCAACCCGCCAGGGCCGATAATCTGGATTTCGGGTACGCCCTCCCCCGCGCCCTCGGTATATATCTTAAAATCGGCCTCGTCCTTCACGCGGACGCCGTTCGGCTGCAGGCCGCGTCCGCTGGCTCGTACTTTTCTCGCGTCCGACACAGGAGACACCCTTACACCGTAAGGGCTGTTTGGAATGGGTTGTCCGGCGAAAAATATATTAACGGAATGTAAGCCAACAATAGGGGATAAGTATTCACAGCGCCAAAGGTCCGGGTTCGTTTGGCGTATCTTGACGGGGACTGAGTTCTTGTTGCCGGAGGGGTCCAGGATGATCACCTCTACTCCTCCTGGGCCAGCATCTGAATAAAAAAATAAAGTGTAAATGTGTTGAACGGTGCAGGTGATTTAATAGCTCTGTTCGCGGGGCGATCAAAAAGGCCAACCGACATATTCAAGCATTGCACTTATGATGTTGACGTAAACTGAAACTCATTGATACGAATGCAATGCGCATGCGTCGAGAGGTTGGACACTGTTTTAGAAACATTGTAGAAATTTACTCTAGGCAGACATACAGAGTGTTAGAAGTTTGACTGCTTTATTTTAACAGAGGATAGAATACATTAAAATAAACAAAAAAACCCAATATGACATGGGTCCTAAACTCAACCATTTCCGAGAAAAAAATATCAAAATCTCCAACTTGATGTACAAAATCGATTAATTAAGGAATATTGACATAACTGCGTGCATAGATTACCATAAACTACAATGTTTCACTTTTTTGAACTTCTTTATGCTTAAGTAATTCTAAAAAATAATTAGCGTTGTAATTAATTTAAAATTCGATAAAATTCATAATGAGCAATATGACAACGGCACAGCGGATAACACGAGGTGCGAAGCTCTAGAAATTCGTCCGAAGATTCCAGAAAACCAAACCGCATCTTTCTAGGTCGAGAAATAAAAAAGTTACGGGTTGTTCGCCAATTTAAAAAATCACTAGTATAAAACGATTTTTTTTTCAACTATTGAAATTTCTCATTTTTTTATTTAGGTACAAATATTATTTGAAACTGTTTATACGTGATATTATCCAGATACTCTTGTCTGTTGGGCGATTATTTATTGTTTTCTCGTCTTGAAACGAAAACAAACTTATCAGGTCCGTGTTTATTTTTTTACTACCAAGTGAGATACCCGACAAATAAGGATACGATTTTAAGTGGTTAAATAATGTTCTGTAAATGTGAAATGTCGGGTATCACATACAAATTAAACATCAGACCGTGACATACATTCAAAATAGACGAATTGAACGTTAAATAATAGATGTAATGATTCACCAGTTTCTATTGAGCTTTGTGTTCGATGATAACCGTCCACAAATTTTTACATGATACAGTAGTCAGTGAGTCTATGCTCTAATAATAAATTAGATAAGCTGGACGTTTACGACCTGTTTTTAAACATTCCGTATATGACATTAATACACAATGTTATCATAAAATTGGGAGAGGGGGTACGGTCAGTAACATAAATCATGGCCACTGTAATTTTTATGGATACGTGAGTAAATAGCATTGATACAGAGAGAATTTTCATGATTTATCGTTATCTCTTTGTACGCGAGCCTCGTTTGTAACTTAACTATGTAAAACTATTTTAGGAGGCGAGTGTTTGGGTCATTAGAAGAAGGAAAGGTCTTGTGAACCTAGTCGGCTCGGTTTTCGAGGTACAGGGTGTTGGAAATGTCGAGAAACACATACTTTACACAAATATAGGGCTAGCGACTTATTTAAGTAAAAGAAAAAATACACAGATAAATATTTCCACTAAAATTCGCAGAAATTTGGACGCCACTGGGTATTTTGGAAATTTTGGAAAAAAATTATGTTTCGTTTTATTTTAAATACTAGTTTTTTTTTGTAATGATTACATTTTTAGTCGAAAATAAGCTTACTATTCACAGTTCAGTGAATCGAATGTAATTGTAAAATTATTCATTTTACATAAAAGTTCTGTATACGATTTTAAATAAATTATCGTCATCAAAAGTCCGAAACAAATATTGCTTAACTTTAATTGCCCCGAAAAACATAAAATTTCTACGTCAATGGTTTTTTGGACATTTCATGATACTTAAAATTGAATTTTTAATAAAATTCTTTGATTTTTTTTCGAAACGAGTAGTTTTGGAGTAGAGAAAAATAATTATTAATTAATCAACCGATCAAATTTCAAAATACTCAGTGGCGTCGAAATTCTGGGGTTGTAAATTGCAATATCTCCCGGTGAACATTCACTTTTATTTAGTGAAAATACTAGCCCGAGTTTCTTCAATTTGCCACAATCATATTCATTGATATTTATGTAATTATATTTTTCGAAATCTTTTTTCGTTCTCTTTTCCAAAACACACTGTATATCAGAAATTAAGCAGTTTACAACATAGTTTTATTCTCAAATTGATCCAAAGAATCTCTCTTTCGAATATGTTTACATATTTAAGTTCAACTGTGTGTGTTTAACTAGAAAGTGTAGTAAAAATATTATATGGCGTAGTTTTTAGTAGAAATACTCATACGAGCTTTTATTGTTAAAATGATCCAAGCAATCACCCCCAGAAATATTTTTACATACGTAAGTTCCACTGTGTATTTGCATTTAATTGGAAAGTGTAGTAAAAATATTATTTGGCATACTTTTTAGTAGAAATACTCATTCATATGAACTTTTATTGTTAAAATGATCCAAGCAATTACCCTCAGAAATATTTATACATACTTAAGTTCCACTGTGTATTTTCGTTTAATTCGAAAGTGTGGTAAAAATATTATACTTATGGTGTAGTTTTTAGTAAAAATACTCATACGAACTTTTATTGTTAAAATGATCCAAACAATTACCTCCAGAAATATTCATACATACTTAAGTTCCACTATATATTTTCGTTTAATTCGAAAGTGTAGTAAAAATATTATATTACATACTTTTAGTAGAAATATCGAAGTAGGTGGGTTTGTTTATTGAGACGCCGTCAGGTTGCAAGCCTGGACCCGACGCGGTAACCTTCGTCGGGTCTCCGGCGTGTCCCTCCACTTTGACGTTGTAAGGACTCTTTGGAACATCACGGCCAGCAAATTTGACGTTAATTTTGTGGTTTCCCTCCTGTTGCGGGGTGTAGGAAACCGAGTACGTGAGATTTCTGTCGTTGTTGAATCTGACGTCGACCGGTTCCTTCTGTCCCTTGGGGTTCTCGACGATGACGTCCACCTGGCCCTTGCCCGCCGAGAAGGTCTCCACCGTGAAGTTAGCCGGGGCTCCAACCACGGGTCCAGCCGGTTCGATCCCGGGACCGTATACTCTTACTCTGCAAGCAAAGACGTAGGATTTTAGAAAAACTCAGCGGTGGAGGTGCCGAAGAACACTAAACGTCTCATCTAACGAAAATAAAGTTGTGATCTAAACGGGAAACAACAAAAAAAATATAAATGAAATCCTAGGGGGTTAGTAGTGCTATGTCGAGGAACACCAATCGTTTATGTTAATGCGTTAATCAGCCTTTTTTTCACGTTTTGACTTACCTAGGTGGGGGGATTCTATATGTAAACAAAGAAAAATATTAATTAAGTCTCCTTAAACTGTTCCTGGTTTCGGGAAAAAGTGAGAATTTCGGAACCTTTACAACCAACAATATTTTTTTACGACTTTACCGTACAATTGATTCTTAACTCGCACTTTTTTTCCTTAGGGATTTTATGCTTGTAATGTTTAACGCGTACGTACTTGTTCGGACTAGTTCTAGGCCTGAGGGGTGCTCCGGGCTTGATTTTTGCGTTTGGGTACTGCGACAGATACGTCATCATCGACTGCTCATCAATATTCGGGTTGACGATTTCTTCTGGCTTGATCAACTGAGGAATATTCAGCCAGTCGTCGGCAAGACCCATGGCTTCCGATGCGTTCTGAACTCCATCCTTGGGATCCCAATCCTGCAGCAATTCAAAAGTTAGTTGAAATTTTTGGAAACTTCGGCGAAACAATGTTTCGCGAACTCATGAGGCCAGTAGGTGTTAATATAATGTAATCAATAGATTTATTGGTATATATCTATATTTGATTCCTTACCGGCCAGTCTGGGCACAATCCTGGGGCCACAGCATCGACCAAAGCCCCGACAGCTTTCCCATCGTTCCAATCCGTTGTGAAATTTTTTATGGGAAGATCCGGTAGTTTTGTTTGAATCCAATTCATCAGCCTGTAGAAATAAATACATAAATGTAATATATTCAAGAACGATGGTGACGTTGCGAGAACTGCACGATTCATCTCGTCAAAACAAACAAAAATTTCCTTTAACAAAAATTGGAAGTAAAACAGTTTTTCGTCAATTACTCGGTAACAGTTGAAGATAAAGAGCTCAAATTTGGTACAGTTCAGGTACTGCATAGTACCTAGCACCTCGTAAAATTTCAAAGAAAAGTAACCAGTGGCGTCGAAATTAGAGGGGTCTGTTTGTTTCGACGAGGGGAAGGAATCGTATTAAACACTGTCGGTAATTTCGACCAACTTTTGGATTATTTTTCGTGGTAGATACCTTTGTTTGGGTGTTGGTTCCGTTCCACCATTGTTCATGTCGTCTTCGCCCTCCCACATGGGCAGGGATATTGAATAATGTAAGATGAGGGTCCATATTAATCCTAATATTAGTTTTAACTTACAATCTACTATATGACTCGAATCTGGAACAATAAGATCGTCGTCAGTTTGCGGAAAAATGGGATTTGTTCGTTAAATTCGCGATCTGGGGCAGGGCGAGCGCGCGGGGGGGGGGAGAGGGGGCTGAGCGATGAGGTAACCTGTGCATGACATTTTCAAAGAACTAGTTTTACAAATTACAGAATACGGAATAACTGTGGATGTAAATAGAAGAAACTTTCCGTGTAAAAAGCTCGATGCGAACGGCGAACGCCATATATATCTTGATTAGCGCATATAAATGCTCGATCGGATCTCTCGTTCTACAAAAGGTATAATGAAATGTAGAACGAGCGTGTAAGTCTTAAGTGGGTCTACATAATACGAACTATGTGGCCGAACCCAAGGAGACAGAGAACATTTTATATCCCAGCCAAGGGCGTCGCCAGCCAATGGGCCAGGGGAGGGCAAGATGAGAGAGAAAATGGCATAAATATAAATTATAGGTAGAAAAAAGTCCAGTGAATTAATTTTTTTAGAAATATTTTTAATAAAACTTAATAAAAAATTCATAAAAGTCGGAAAAAACGGTTTTTCGCTAATAAAAATAACTTCAAGTTGTATCGATTCGTAATTTTAAATATATCGATTGCTATATTACTTTTCGAGATATATCGAAAAAAATCGATTTTTTGTTTTTGCTTTTTTCTTGCAAATTACGGTTTTAAAACTTGTTACTTGCTGTAAAAGTAGCACTCGGTAAGCAAAAAAAGTGCCTTTTTTTAAATTAAAAAATATTAAAGATTTTTCGAGTTATATCGATTTTTCGAAAAAAAAAGGTCATTTCGGAATCGGCTCTCCTTGCTCAACGAATAGTCGTAGAGAAACGAATCAGGACTCATTTTTTTCCTTAAGATTTGTATTTTATGATAAAAAAGAGTGATAACGATTTTAATCATTTCTAGTGTCCAAAAAATGACTAAAAGAAGTAAACATTTTTTGGTTGCCTTTTTCTTGAATATATTTATCGATTTTCATTTCTCGATTATGTCTATTACATGAATCGATTGCTGGCATTTTTACGCGAATTTTTTTAAAAAACGTTGCTCTACGACCTTCTGGTGCCGATAATTTTTTTTTTCAAAAAATTCCACAGGATGATATTTAAGTGCTACAGCGTCCATTTTTACAGAGATTGAAGTTGAAGACTTATATTTTTAATAAAAAAATACTGTACTAAAATTCGATTTCTGGGGGGGTTGCCCCCCTGGCCCCCCTTTGGCGACGCCCTTGCAGTCCCAGCCGCTGTGGAAGGAGAACAAAACGCATATGTAAGAAGGCGTCTCGTGTTATGTTGGTAAGGTAGACGGGACACTTTCTTGAATTCAAACGAAATCTCGGATTCAAAGAAATATTACGTCACCACAGCCAACCGCAATGTTACGTTATCAATCCGGAATGGTCGAGAGCGCTTCGGTAAACCTAGATAAGGAGTAAATGGTGTTTATCTACACATTTCCAAACCTTCTAAATCGCGTTGGCTGATAAAAGTGAACAACTGCTTTATTTGTTTTAGCCGTGATTGAAAAAAAGGGTTGCTTTTTAAAATCGTGGTATCTGTCAGTCACACGGGCGCCGTATCTAACTGATAAGCGTTTCGAAATTCCACTTTAAATTTGACATAAAATAATCGTTTTAAGAATACAATATTGTATATACCATAAGGATGACGCACAATCAGTTGCGCTAATTAAGACATCAACGGGAAGTGCTGCAGGTGCCGTTCAATGTATCAGCGAACTGATTTCGGTTACGTTCAGGCTACTCCCGTTTTTAAAAAAGAACAAACACAATGACACCTCACGATTATCGAGAGATGTGACTCGTCGTTATGTATTACAAGGTCGATGTCGTCACCGTCAAATTAAAATACACCATAAATAGAATATGCAAAAATTTCAACGGACACTTTTGTTAAAAAGCGTCCGGTTTATCCTACGGCTCCGATAGAGCTATCGCATTGTTATTTTCATTTAAAAAAAAAATATATTAAACTTGGCCTACACCGGTCTTGGCACGGGCTTATAAAAATATAAATAGCAACAGTTTAAGCCGCCAGACTATAATTGGCAATAATTAATAGACGGGAGCATATACGGAATGTTCCGCGAGCTGGGGCGAGATGGAAAAGTAAATATTTAACGTTAAATAAAAAATTTTTAAACGTACAGTAAACGAGGTGATGTAACTTAGCTTAAGGACGACATAAACGACAATTACAACCAAGGGCAATAAACTTTGCTAAGCCTTTTAGTGCTTATAATTTAATCTGCATTCGTTGATTTAAATTATCCGACAAGTTCTACACAACTACAATGTGTAATGAGCTGGAAATATGCAGATTTGCGGACATTCTCACATTGCGATCGGATATTATTTTACTTGTTTTCAGCCAACCTACATATGTTTTTATTCACGTATTGTTTACATTACTTCCGAAATTGCTTACGAGTTCGTAATTCACAAGCACCCCGCTTGCTTATAACGCTGTTTAGCTAGTATTTTGCTTGAAAATTAATACGAATTGTGCTTAATAGAAGCATTTAATTTATTGGTTTGTTGTTAACGACCTGACGTATGGACTATATTCGTACAAGCCAAAAATAATTCGCGCTTATTTGTGTTAAATATAGAATCATTATATATTTTTTAATTTCCACGTTAAATATATATTCACAATTATATAGAGGAGGTACAACTAGGTCAAATTCTATTTAGCCAGTCTCAAAATATAAAAATATTTTTTTCAGAACTGAAAAAAAAACAGTCAAAGGTGTATATTTACAGATTCTATAAAAACATCGAGATTTATAATATTTCGGAAGAATGGGTTGTAAATGTGATGTCTAAGTAACATTATATCATCACAGTATTTTAAAAAATATACTCCGGTTTATGTAACAACAAGGCTGGTAATGGCAGCAAAGCGGTAAACAATATTTTATTATATTGGTGACTTCATTCGTTTCTACAAATATTTTTACAGAGATTGTGGGGTCTTTAATAGTGTGTCAATATGCGTGTTTTTCACATTTTTGATAAATACACGTAAGAGTGATATTCAAATTTAAACAAAGACGAAGCGTAAACATTTTTGATACGTACGGAATACCATTGAAATTAGGTCCATTTTTATTTCAAATCACCCCGTATAAGTATTTGTAACTTTGATTAGAAAGTGTAGAGAAAATCGTATCGTTTAAGCTATAAACGCCAGTTTTACAAACTTGACCTTTAAATAATAAATGAAATTGATCAAGGTCATAATATTTAATAAAATCTGCACAACTGCGGTCTGCTTCCAGACGTTTTCCGAACGCGTTGCCTAATTCTGGAAGTATTCGCGATAAATCTCAATTAACCACGAAAAGGAAATGATGTTATCGCCTTCCTTTCCAGATAAATAGGTGTTAAAATTGATATTTACGCCGATGACCTAATACACATTCATATTTATTCAGTTAGCTCTTGGAAAAACATTCGCGATGATAAATAAAAGTTAATTTGTGGCACATTGGAGCCCATTACTATGTTAGGTATTTTTAAAAGTGACGTAATCGACAGTTGATAAGTTATTTGTATAGGTATATATGAAACACAAGAAATAAATCGACCGTTTCAAACTTTTCTCATAGAAACTATAGCACTTTTTTTTTATTCAAATGAACTTAAGGTCATTAGACGACAGATGATATTTTATCCATCAAAAGGATTTTATGGCTTTTATTAATGTCTCGATAAAAATAACATCATTTGTGCATTTGCGATGTAGCGGAAAGAGTTTAATATGCAAAAATGTATGTTTTTATCTACTTGTGACTGGGCAGCATCCAGCTAGCAATGTTTGCTGTGTTAATACAGTTTTAATTTACTTTATTACAATATTCGTATTTAGTTTATTTACTTTTAGTGTGATGGGAGTTAAATCGGCGTAAAATATAAACAAATTCGCCCGTAATTGGTACAAATGGCGAAGAAAGTGGATACCTAAGTGTTACAAACTACACATCCGAAGGCCGTATACATATACGTTCACAATAGCATGCAGTTAGCTCCAAATTAGCTTCATTAAATCATGACATCACTGCCTTAACCAAAAGGCCGAGAATTATTCACCATTCTTATTAATTCGTTTACTCATGAAGAGGCATTTTAATTACGGCTAGCGCTAAATAAACGCTTTTTTTAATGTGGCCCGTCTGGTGATGCTGACTGGGTCAAAACTATTGCCATATATAGGCCCAGATTATCCATACGCCAATTACGATTAACGTCAGTCAAAGGATTGGATACGATAAAAAACGCTTCCTGCGAAAATTAATTAAAAATCAAACGTCGAAACGCCGACAAATATTTAATTTAGACGGTAATATTTTTAGTACTGCCACTGTATATCCAGTTCTAAGACAATGGCGAGGGTGTATTTAGCATATTTAATAGCAAACAATGCACATTCATTAATTTTAAAAAGTTGTTTCTACGGAATATGTAAAACAGCTTTAAATTGGTACTTGTGACTTCATTATATGATTTATGTCATGGAATACTGTCATAAAACAAAAATAACAAATGATTACGTGCAATTATCAACTTATGTCGTTTTTGGTTAAACGTTAACAAAAGCACAGATGTATGCGTTTCGATAGATCACGTAGTTGCGTTGTAAATTTTGAATGACAATCGAAATAAAAAAGTAATAAGCTGCATGTATTGTCAGTTATTTTTGTGTTGTAGGAGCGATTTTATTTTTCTCATTGTTTTTACCCATCTTTTGAATGATAATTGAAATAAAAAAGTAATAAGCTGCATGTATTGTCAGTTATTCTTGTGTTGTAGGAGCGATTCTATTTTTACCCATTATTTTTACCCATCTTTTGAAGGATAGTCGAAATAAAAAGGTAATAAGCTGCATGTATTGTCAGTTATTCTTGTGTTGTAGGAGCGATTTTATTTTTCTTATTGTTTTTACCCATCTTTTGAATGATAATTGAAATAAAAAAGTAATAAGCTGCATGTATTGTCAATTATTCTTGTGTTGTAGGAGCGATTCTATTTTTACCCATTATTTTTACCCATCTTTTGAATGATAGTCGAAATAAAAAAGTAATAAGCTGCATGTATTCTTGTGTTGTAGAAGCCATTTAATTTTTACCCATCTTTTGAATGATAATCGAAATAAAAAAGTAATAAGCTGCATGTATTGTCAGTTATTCTTGTGCTCTAGGAGCGATTTTATTCTGTATTAATTTTATCCCAGCGCTAAATTGAAACTGGAATCGAACGAAAGTGATTGTATTGTAATATTAATAGAATCAATTTTTTATTTATTTTGGCAACTATTCTTTATGTATACACGAGTTAAAGGTTTACATTTGCTTCGATAGATTTAAGATATTATTAACAGTATTGTATTAAACTACTTCCTTGGTATGTTTATCAGTCTAGATTTCGGTATGCAAACATAGTGGGTACTCGGTTTACTTGTTTAATGACGATTTCTTCGTAATTTTCCCAAACGTGACTATGATGGACTTGTATATTTATATCTGTGAGCTAAGAATAACATGATATCATTAAATATACAAAGTATCTCGATGACAGGACGATGTACCTGCTGATAAAAGTGTATTATCATTCAAGTAAAAGTTTAAACAAAGGAAAATATATTTTGATTGTACAATTTTGTCCACCCTGTAGCGGGTCGCATAACGCTTTATGTAAGTAAATGAACTATCGGTTTTAATGGGTTATTATTGGATCATTGGGTGGTATGTCGGCTGTATAACTCACGGCATTCACTTTGCTGTAGGTAGGACGCTGTACCACATAAGGTCTTAATTACAAGTGTGACGAAAACAGAATTTAAACGGAATGAGCAACAAAAGCGTCTTTATCAGCAGTTTGGTTAAGGTCGCGCGGAAAATGCCGTTTTACATTTACTCGTGAGACTGCAATTGCGGCAAATTTATACTGTTTCCCAATAAGCACGTTTCAAATTAGATATAAATTGCGAACGTTACACATTATCGTGTTAGCAATTTTATACCTGAAAAAAAAAAAAAAAAAAATGTCGCATAGAATTTTACCCAACCTTGAAGTGCATTTTTATAATTTACCGGTGTAATCTTTCACACAGGTATTCAAATATTTAAATAAATATAATTCCCAAGATAAAAATATTTTTATCTTGCGTTACTTAGATCACCGCAATAAATAGATGTAGAGATATTAAAAAATATGAATTATGCGTGTTTAAAAATTAGGTTATAGCAAATTAAGTTACTCCTACATTTTGCAACAGAGACACTCATCGTCCTAAATGTCCTTAATGCGAAAATTGCTTTAATTAGTCCGACTTTTACAATGAACTGAAATTCAAAATTTTACGATTAAATATGGGACCAGGAAAATTAATATTTACACATATTATAGGTACGCGCCTTTGCAGGAATATGGAAATAACCTCAATTTATTCAATAAACGTAAATAATTCCCCTTTACGTAATTACAGACGTTTAAAACACGTTTCCTATGTACGAATTTAGGACATGTGGGATAAATAAGCGTGCGTGTGGTAAGGGTGTTTTTTATTGGTTTGCAATTCATGAAAATAACTCGTGTGGCTTTTGGTCGTTTTGGAATTTGCGTTTGAAAATAAATTGGCGGTTAAAGGAGTGCAAGAGCAAAGGAACCAGAGAATTTATGTTATGCGCGTGTCGTTAAGAGAGACAAAACCGTCCAGCAGGATAAAGCAGGAATATGCGGTACTCACCGATATTAACAATCCTAATTCCCTCGTCGTCCTGGAGGAACTTAAGGGCCACAGACACATTTTCGAGTTTTTGCGAACGAAACGACGGTTTTTTGTTGTGTTTCGGCAGCCTCTTCCCTGACAATACCTCGATGAGCGTTATTAGCCGCAATCCATCACTAAGGTCCGTTTCCAAATTGCCAATGTGTTTTGAAACGGTCTTTAAATGTTCGTTTGCCCATCTCGTGAATGTATTTTGTTGTATTTTTTTCCATTGTGCGTCCTCAGCTAACTCGCGTTCAGTCGTCACCATTTCGTCCTCGTCATCAAACTCACAATAGTCTGCATCGCGCTGCAGAGGCAGGCAAGGCTCGACCGGTCCAAAACCGGTGTCGGCTTGGTAGGGAAACTGGCTCATCCTCAGAGACCTCTTGCTAGCTGACCAACACCAATCTAGTCACCTTATGACCCCCTATAACATATATAAAAGATATTCCGTGTGTCTCAAGGGCCGCAGGAATTCGCTCGGTATGCAGTTTATTCCTGCATCTTTTGCAGGACAGACAACAATGAGCGACTATCTGTCTTTTTTTCCGGTTAAAAACATATCTGAAAAGGAAGCAAAAACCGACGAGGGCCTTTTTATTAGTCACCCGTACGTCATGGCACACCAGAAACACCGATACGCTGCTTATATTTTATTTTAAACACGTACACCTGTTGTACATTTAAAAAAAATTTATAATTTTGAATATTTAAGACAATTCAGTACAGTTAGTATAATAATGAGTTTTTTTAAAAAAGATTTGAATTTTGGTTCAGATTAAACTAATTTAAATTAAAAATTCAAATTGTCATATTTTTTACACACTTTTGAATTCAAAATATTTTTTAATCAATAATTAAAAAGGTAATACGGAAATAACACGTCTCCAAACTATGTAAATTTTGTTTCAAAAATAATATGTTTTTCGATTTAGTAAAAGAATGTGCAGCCAAACTACTAAATATAGTTCCCAAACTTAATATGATCATTTTCTTGAAAGAACTCTCTTCCTATTTATTAAAGATCCAATTGAATGATCCTTTCTTGATTTGTTTTATTAAAACCATTTCTTTCTTTATAATTACTGATCATGTTATTTTTGACTTGGTTTCGAATACAAAATATTATTCTAATCAATAGTAAAGAGAGTAGCTTTATAAACTGTGTACATTTTATGTTTTTATGATGTTATAATGTTTATTCATGGTGGCTTAAATTTAACTCATTTAGAAAAAAATGTACTGCAGTAAACATGATAATTTTCCAGAAAAAGTCCTTTTCTCTCTATGAGGAATTAATTTCTTTTCATTTAAACCATTTCTTGGTTTAAATAGTTGGTTATATCACTTTTTAACTCACTTCCGAATAAAAAAATGTATGTATTGTTTTTTAATGTATTTTTTATATTTTCACAATATCACAATAAACATGGTTTCCAAAGCCTTTAGGCTGACTTCTAAAATAGCTCTCTTTTCCTATATTTTTAAAATATACAGATATTTTATTTAAAAAAATCGACATAGTTAATGACGTTTTATTTATTTATTTATTTTTTCATTGAAAATATTTTTTTAATGACTGGTAAAGAAGGAAATATGAAAATTCAGTGATATAATGTTTATGCATTGTTTTCATCTCACTTTTTAATTCAAAATATCAATTTAATGAAGGTAATATGAAAATAAAATGCTACAAACTACGTAAATTTTATGTTTCGGTGATAAAATATTAATGTATTTCGGTCAAATTAAATTGATTTGAGAAAATTATACTGCAGGTAAACCTATTAATCCAAAATCTAAAAATCCAAATGTTGAAAAATCAAATTTGTCACCAGTTTTTTTAATATTTTTTTTATTGAAGCCATTTCTTGTTTTTGACTTACTTTTGAATACAATATTTTTCAAACAAATAGTAAAGGGGCCGATATATAAAAAAACTACAAACTACGTAAATTTTAGGCTTTTGGAGTATACCTGCTGTTCCAAGATCCAAAACCCCTTTAATAGAATGAATGCCCAATTTTTGTGGAATTTCGTCTCCTGTTTATCCTTTCATAAATTTCAGAAGGTGTTTTCTTTGCGTCAAGAGTAGATGTACGACCTAAAAATAAAGAACGTTCGTTTATTTTTACGAAGTTTCACCATTTAGAGGGTAAAATTTTGTCAAAGCCTGTCCTGTCCGAAATACTTTGATATCTTAAAAAATAGTACAATCTAAAGTACCTTGTCGGGAAGTACATCGATAATCTTTAAATAGAGATTATACAAATACATAATATGTCGTAAAACTTTCAGGTATCATTTTGAGCATACACGAATATGGGAATTTACGTCCGAAAAACCGACCCGTCACAAATAATCTCACTTAAAACAATTTTTTTAATTCTCTATTATTTATTACAAATGTATTTAATTTAATTAATGTTTGTCCATGTACGAAATATACAGGGTGTTTCATAATGATGTGCAAATATTTTTTTTATCAATAGGAAAAGCTAAGCAAATATGAACTAAAAACTTAATAAAAAAAATTATAAAAGCTAATTATTTCGGACATTTTGAGATTTGAATAGTTTCTCAGGGGAGGCTCAAATAAAAAAAATACATTGGAAGTATCCCCCTAAAATTACTTTCTAAACACCTCCCTAACATATTTGCACATCATTATGAAACACCCTGTATACAAGCAGTCTTCTATGTACAAGTAACTACGAGAATTAAATTGAAAGAAAAAGGAGATGGCGCGCTTATTGACCTGAATAATATTAGATTGCGTTTCGCTCGTCTTTATTAAAAATTCATAACCCGATGTAGCACCTGGTCGTAAATGCAATTTATAAGTTCACCCAACTTTTTTTTAGCTCGGATAATGATCTCTTGAATAGTTTTCTTGGCACATGTCAAGAACAATAAACAGAAACGCAATTTAATCAGAGACATGCATTGAAAATCTCTTAAAGGGTTACCTAAGATCTTTTATTTTTTAAGTGAGTGGATACAGAGCCATCGACCTTAGTAGTACTACTTTCTTTTAGGTCACGGTAAAAAAGATTTTATTTTTATAAAATACGCAAGAAAAATCAAGTATTTGCGTTAAAATCGCATTTTCTGAATAACATCCAACGAGGATAAATTGTACACAGTAATATCACACATATGCAACGATTATTGCGAGAAATAATACTTTCCCTGTTACTTTTAGTCGATGGCACGCAATTTAAAATTGTATTTAATCCATTTAAAACTCATGTTAAATTTAGAAATGTCTAAGGGGTAAGTTCGAGTATTATTTGCACATATGTTTACATTTCCATGTAATTTTATACACACCTTTTGCTTACTAGAAATATAAGTCACATTGTTAAAAATAAATTACGTGGGAAGAAATTGAAAATAAAAATTAAAGCATTTTTCGCATGCAAACAGCGGCGTTATAAAAATTAGTTCGAATTCGTGTCAAAAATACTATTCGACGACGGCCTTCGACTAGAAAACATGCACTTTTCTAAAAATACAATGCTTGACGATGCACACTTTAATCTAACAACAAACTGGTGTTTACTATAAAAATAATGTCGTGGTTAAAATTCGGGACGGTTTTATTTTAATTTTAAATACATCCACTGGTTTATGTAGCTGTTAAAATACCACACATTTGCGTAATTATCAATAAAAAAAAATACTAGCGTCTCGATTGTACGAAACCGTAGCGATTTTGTTTTATTCGAGAGCAGAACGTTTGTTTTTACATAATAATTAAAAAGTAACGATCGGTGTGTGGTAATTACTACACAGGTGTACAAAAATAGACGCAAATGTCAGGATAACTTTTACACCCAACAGAACCGAATTTGTAATAATTTATTATTAATTGTAACCGTTACTTTACACCTGCATTACGCCGAACGGATTTTATAGAAGCTTATTTCACAGTGCATGCGAATTACGCTTTTCTACAAGCGTGGTAGTTCCAATTTCGCGCGAAAGTGTCATGTCGGTACTCTTTGTTCAAATGTGGGTAATTTAATTAAAACCCCACTTACCGGTGGTTATTGTTCGAGGGATAAGCGTCAAAGATTAATCCACAGAATCATTGCACTTTTGTAACACTTTTCGGTGTGGTTATGGGAAGACTGAGCACGACTCGCTAACTTAAGATATGTATGAAACTAAGAATAGAACTCTCTGTCCATGAGTTTAGTTGTTTATAGATTGTCTCTTAACTTAACCCCACTTTGAACGAATCCCCATTTTGTGTCATACGGGCGTTTTTCTACGTTTATTCCAAACGAAAATGAAATTTCAAGAATTTCCTCTTCCTTCCGGTGCTCAAAACCGCTTTGTCCTCACGGCAGATAAGATATAGTCCAGTCGTACACTTCAACCAACAGGTATGTGTTGCCTTTTGGTGTCGGGTCTCTTTACTTAAAAATACCAATTTGTTTATTGCCTTTGTCTTCGGGTTCAAGAAACCAGTAATCCTTTTTCTCTCTTGCAGCAAGCTTCATCTTACTTTCCATAACTACAGGTTATGGAAAACGGGAAAACTCAAATTTTTACAACAGTAAAGCGCGTTATAAAAAGTGGATACTTCATAAATCAAAAGGCTTTTATTTTTAAACGCAATTTTATAAACCGTGACTACACACACGATGTTTTTTATTGAGTCACCGTGTAGGGGCTTGTATTGTGTATAAAATATATTTATTTTTTATGCCGGTTGACTCACGTACACGTAGTACTGGCATCTTAACAAAATCATTTAATTGGTAATAAGGTGAGTCACGGGTTAAAATAAAAAAATTATATATGCCGTTGATAAGAAGGTACAGGAGCACGGAAGGGTCAAGTAAACAGGGAATTATTCCGTATTTATAGACGTCTTGGACACAAACAATTATTAATAACGCTGATAGGTTTTTATTGTTCGTTTTTGTAATTGTCGCGACTTTCTGGCACAACGCTGACTTAATCACTAGGGATATAAACTAGGCACAACAATCAAGGGACAAAAAAAAAATCACAAATTTTTAGGTGATTTTCAAGAGGCTGTAACTTCGCGAAAAGTGGTCGTAGAGTAATCACAGAATAAGCAAATTGAAGCTTGAGGCTTCTAGTTTCACGATATGAAAGTCAAAAATTTTTATCCTTTTCCACTTTTAAGAAATCATCCAGGGGAAAATAATAAAAAATTTTGCTTCTCTTTCGAAAGGTCCGCGGGCTTCAATAATTTTTTTTTGGCAATCCCACCTAGCAGCTCTTTTAGTTTGATTCATCCTCTTCAATTTGAGCTATTCACTTTTTGATAAAAAAAAATTGATTGGACAAAAACGGTTGAAATTTAAGTAATTAAGAATTTTCGCTAACGTGAGATAACTACAAAAAATGAAGAGACTGAGGATATTTTCAGTTTTTTTTTAAACTCTAAGTATCCCAAAGAAACCCTTAACAGTTCAAACCGCTGCTCTCATTGTGATACGAATGTTTGAAATTGTCACTTTTGCTAAAAATCAATTAAAGAATAAATTTTGCACCTTTTAAACATTTTGTTAAATTGAAAACGGTTTTTTTTACATAAACCCATATTTTTTATGCTGACAGGTGGGATTGCCAAAAAAATTTATTGGAGCCAGCGAACTTTTTAAAAGGGGAGTAAAAATTTTGAAAATTTGTTTCCGCTGGATTTCCTACAATTTCTGGATGATAAAACTTCTTGGCTTCCAGATCCTGAAACAACAAACTGCAGGCTACAATTTTGTTTTTTTTTTTTGAAAATCACCTTTAAAAGATTTCTTTCGTCCTTTAATTTTTGTGACTAGTATATTTAACATACCCCTATGATTATTGTAGATTATATCCGATTTTTGTGTCATAAATACTATTATTCTACTCTAAACTCGGTTTCAGTCCAGTACCTTTGAATAAAGCTTTTTCTGGGAAGGTTATCGCCGAAATAAATTGTAAATCGTTTTTTATGGCAGATTAAAACGATTCTATTGAAGGATTTTGGGATATACGAGCATGTTTTCCCGTTTCGAAATTTATAATCCGTACGAGTTTGATTTTCCAGGAAATACGATTCATTCTGAAAACCCTGAGATCAGTTGTCGGTGTACAAAAATGTTTTGATACAATTTTCTTTGATCCTAAAGTAATTTTCAACGCGCCAGTACTATCGGGCGGTAATTACGCGTAGAAGATGCCTTTGGGAAAACATTTGGGCGGTTGCGCAAATAATATAATTACACCGTATTCATCTATATTCTGAGTAACGTGACCTAAAAAGAATCCATTTCTGCCATATATGGTGCTGAGCTTGTGAAGTTTGCCATTGCCATTCTAGCCTGTTTAATCACACCGCGTTATAAGCAACACATGGTTGCTCGTCGTTGTTTAACACACTTTTGAATCATTCCTTGCGGGAAATAATAAGAAAATCATTGGCATATGCGACGCAAAAGACAAGCTGGTGTATGATCAGTTATTTCTAGTAATAATCGTTTTCTAGTTACGAGGGAACATCGCTGTGTAGTTGACCCAGACGAATTTCATAACAAATTTGACCCTAATTTTACTATTATAGCGTTAAGCAACCTTTGGAAATCGTGTTTCAAATCCTTTTACGTCCATCTATCGAGACAGCTCCACATAAACGAAACCCAGCATATGCTCCTAAACAAAGCGGACATTTCACAATTTTCGCACACAGTCCTTATGATTTCAATTACTCCTATTCATTAAAACCAGCGACGCGTTTTTCGGTTAATTCGCGCACGTTTCGAAATATTTTTTAGCCGTTCTTGAGGCCGGCTTTGTAGAACATCCGGTAGATGATAATCTGGCACGCAGGTATTCGCATCGGTATGGTGTTTTGGCCGGAAATCGAACAAAAGGGTAAAACCGGAAGAGTTGTTACACGGACACTAGGTCGAAACATATTTGTTATGATCATTATTTATTTTCACGTAGTACCCATATCGCGCGCAATAATGTCGCAGTAATGTTGGCCGCTGTTATTTTCGTAAATATCTTCTTCGTCGTGCTCAGCAATTGTCAAAAGTGGCAGCAGGAAAGGCAGCCCGTCGTAAGGATCCAACAAGGTCTTCTGGCTGGGGTAAGGTGTTAATTAAAATGATAAACCGACGTATTCAGTGCCAACAATTTTTCGTACAGGTGGCGGTTGATACAGAGTCATCTAAAATCGTCAACAGTTATCTGGGTGTACCTTACGCCGCGCCCCCTGTAGACAGTCTAAGGTTTTCGTCCCCAGCGAGACACTTAGGGTGGAACGGGACATATGATGCAACCAATTTTAGGTCCAGATGTCCCCAATTACCTCTACGGCTTGGCGTAACCAATGAAGATTGCTTGCATCTCAGTATTTGGTCGCCATCTGTAAGTTTGCTAAATTGTTGGGTTACAGGAAGTTATAAACGTAATTTTTAGAATTTAGGGAATTACGCACCTTTACCAGTCGTGGTGTTCTTCGAAGGTTTGGACTTTTTCCAAAGTAGCTCCATTCCAGTATCAGGCCAAGACTTAGCAGCCGAAGGCATAGTAGTTGTCACTGTGAATTACAGGTTAAATATATTCGGTTTCTTTTGCCTTGGCACTGCCGAATCTAGAGGAAATCTTGGGTTGCTAGACCAGTACTTTGCTCTGTTATGGATCAGAGAGAACATCAAACAGTTTGGGGGTGATCCTGAGAAAATTACTCTGTTCGGGTATTCGTCTGGCGCTGTTAGTGTGGCATTGCATATGGTCTCGCCAAGAACTGCCGGTAAGAGACGTAGATAGGACCTAGTATCGTTTCAATCCTTGAAATTTTAGGTTTGTTTCAAAGAGCTATAATTTCGTCCGGAAGCGTGGTCACACCGTGGCAGATTAATAACGATCCCACAGTCGCATCCAAGGAAATTATAAGATTGCTAGGTTGCAACGCGTATACTCTCGATATACTCGGATGCCTTCGAGCGAAGAAAGCAGAAGAAATCCTGGAGGCACTTCAAGAATACTCAGAGGTAATCACTTCTTCCGTAGATATTTTAGAAGTAATAACGGTTTATTCTTAGTCTCGGAATTGGACGGACATGTTTCTACCGGTGGTGGATAATTTCCTTCCGGAAAATAACAGGTACTTACCTGTAGAACTGTCGAAGGCCTTAAAGGAAGGTACGTTTCTGCAGGTTCCGATTCTAACTGGGATATCAAAACCGATTACGTATCCTCAGCTCGACGAATGGCTGGAGCTAGCCAGTCAAGGTTACTCTCAACTCCAGCAATACGTGGAGAGAGCTAAAATTCCAGAAATCATACGGTTATATAAATTTAACGGAGGTAGTAAAGAAGACATATTTGATTTAATCAAATGGAAATATGCCACAGTTGTCCAGGAAGATGTGAGGTTCTTATTTGATCAGTTAAAAGAGTTGGAATATGACGCTAAAATCGAAGCTCCTCACTTTTTGCAACTGTCGCAATTTTCTACTTACGTGCAACCAATTTTTGTCTATTACGTGGACGATCTTGGCATAATGGCAAATACGACAGGTAAAGAGTTTTTTTTGATAGGGTGTTACTGATGCGTCGATTTTTAGATCATCTAGCTGCGTCGGACTTACTGTTGCTATTTGGACCAGATTTATTGAAACAAATTGGTAGGAAAGGATTCAACTCCAACGAGATGAGACTTGGTGCCCAAATTAAACAGATGTGGACGAATTTTGTAATATTTGGGTAAGGATTAAGGAATACTTTGCTGTGATACGAAAAACTAAGTAATTTTTTTAGGAATCCCACTCCAAATAACGTAAGAGTCAAGCCTTGGGCAAAATATACTTCGGAGAATCCATATATCGAGATGTTTGAGACTATCAAGTCTATTGATGTAAAAGAGGAGACCAAAAGGCGAAACAAGAGAGTGACGTTTTGGAACCACCTTTTGCCTAAACTCGCCCAACGTAGAAGTATCCTCTCGAGCAATATTCCAAAGGAGTTCCAGAACAGTCCAGGTTAGAAAGTTCTATAATTCTTGTAGAAGAAGATAATAGTTTTGTCTTTTTAGATCCTGCTGCAGGATTTCGACACGCTATGTATACCCTGGTGGCATTGGTCGTAGCTCTAATGGCTCTTTTGGTGATATGCATTATTTTGTTGAAAAAGCGGTCGAAGGATAGAGAAAGACACATACATCTGGGATATTAATGTCGGTTGTTTTAAAATACAATTTTAGGCAAGGATACTAGACGTTTGAAATTTCAGGCTTAAACATGCGTGAGATTTGATTGCCAACAAGTTTACAATTGCATGACAAGTCGCGTCGTTAGATATCTGAGAAAATTCAACATCAATAAATTTACGTAGTCATAGTTTGTAGGTTATAATCACGGAGACGGTAAAAATTAGAGGAAGTTGTGACGGTGGTTAAAAAAAAATATGTAGTAATAAAAATGAGTCATACTACATGTTGACAAATGGTGTCCTACTTTGTAATCAAATTAATTAGCTTCCAATTTTTGAAATCAAATGTAGTTCTGTTAATACTAAAAAAATAAACTTTAATAAAAGAACTGTAGTTTTATTAAGTACCTGCTTTAATTTCTTTGTTGCAAATAAACTGGTTTATTAATGTATATTTTCAGAAAATATATTTTTAATTGATTTAAAGGATGCTTTCCACCTTCTAGAATTAGGGGGGAAAAGTTTTACGCCTGTGCACGACTACCTGGTGGAAGGGTACAGCCTAATGACGTGGGCTGTCATAACTGAGCCGCGGAACATAGGCGTACGCATTATTATTAAAAAGCAACAAATTAAAATGTCTACAATACACCACCATAAACGCCAACGGATAGGAATTAATTAAGTAACATCCGCACCATAACAAAGCAACAGTATACTAACGTGACGTGAACGTGAAAAGCATCCTGAGACAGCGGCTCACGCATGTCTCGGTTGGCCCGCCACTGCATTGCGGCTCTCTCGCTGAGAGCCTTACTAATGATTTACCTTTTGATTTCTAACTTCTCTACCAGACGTCGCTAATATTATCAGACGTTAAGAGAAGTTTCTGTTCAACTAAAGGAAAACGGTACGTGGCATGACCTTGATAATTTTAATTATATTCACTTCAAATTTTGATTATATCTCTAAATTAACATTCATTCCAAAGAGAAATACGTATTGCCCGTTCTTGGTCAAAAAATGAACTTTGAAAAACTTGTTCTTATATGTATTTAGTCAATACCTATGTATAGGTCTGGTCGAACTAAATATGGAGATAGTAAAAATGTATACGCCTAGTTGAAGAAAGCGCGCGGGCGAACGGCGCACAAACACAGCCGCACTCGGCGACCGGCCATAAATTCAGTAGACGACAAATGGTCTAGCAGTGCAGCAATGTGGAATTTGGTGTGATTCAGGAAATTTTAATTTATTATAGGAACTTAATCATTCATATTACAATTGTGAAAGGGAGAAATAAGAGGGATATTTTGTTTACTAATATTATTACATGGCATTTTAGAAACTTTTTGAAAAGGAACAAAACGAAATTTACCATCAATGTAATACAATTATTGTTTGAGGACATAAATAATTAAAATATGTTGTTGGTCAAATGAACATATCACAGAAACTTTCTACACATTACTTATATACAAATTATTATAATTTTTTACCTTTAGCAGAAAACTTATTTAGGGATGCCTATGACTCATTAAATTTTATTGCTAGGCATTTTTATACATGTTCAACTGACTTCGGGAAGACTATACTATTTATGAATAAATACTGATATTTTGAACAGTTAAAGATGTGGTTAATAATATCCTTGAATATTATTATCCTTACTTTTCTTTCCATGTGAACCATACTAAAGTTAATTTTCATTTGATACTCGCAAATGGGAATGTCAATATGAGAAAAATAGCCCTCACTAAATAAATGAAAATCCGTTTGAAGTCAAATTATATTTTCCTTTATTTATGTTAATATTTATATACTGAAATCATAATAACTATAACATAAAATAAAAAGTATATGTCAGTGCATGATAAAGATATGAAATTTGCCTAAAAACTAATGTTTTGGTATATTCATATGATATATGAAAGTTTGTTAAGTGATATTATTAAGGTAGTACTAAATAAATTTTGTTTGATCCCACGGATTAAATAAATGGTGTTGCTCTTTGGCAGCACAGTCTTTAAAATATCGTTTCAGAATGTCCAAAATGAAGTGTTGTGTTCGTGTACTGGGACCTTGGTTGTAAAACAACTAAATCAAGATTTGTTACCCAAATTATTTGCGTGCAGATATATAAATGAAAACAATAAATAATACAAATAACAGCTATAAACACAATCTAAGTTAACAGAGTATTAATACATTAGCACTATTTTCAAGCAAAACCAACATGAAATAATTTGTTCGAATATTTGACCCTTTGCCTTATTTAAATAATTTACAAAAAAATACAAATTCCAAAAATTTGGCACCTGTTCCTAAATAGTATTTATCAACGATACCAAATTTAAAACTATCATTAAATACAATCCATAATGTACCACTAACTATAATACAAGGCATATAAATACATAACATTGTATATCTAATATATTTACAAAAAAAATAACTCGATATTTATTTACATCACACACAACTGAACTTGACGCCATCGTCGCTGGAGTAACAATTATGGCAGTGCAATTTCTGGTTTCGAACCCTAACGTCTGTTCCCATCAGACCGTCACCCAGCTGAACGTGGCAGACGCAGCATTTAAAGCACTCCATGTGGTAAAAAAGGCACAAACTCTCTATTATCATCGCCGCTCCCCTTCCTAAAACAAAGATATTTACGTATTTAATCATTTATTGCGACCACCGGAGGATAAAAGTACATTTGTAATTTTTTCGACGTGGATACGTCTGTAAAACCGGGATGTAACTAAAAAGATCTCCCCGTTCACAACTCTCGAACGGACAAACCGATTGAGATGAGCAAGTGAAAGCATTAACTTAATACGAAACTTGTGCGTGAGCATGTGAAATATAAATAAGCCGTTTGAAACGTCAAAAAGGCTAAACTACTGACAACTGACACGGAATCCTGCTAGCCGAATTTAAGACGAAACCAACTTACCAGCTCTCGACAACGTCTTTTGTTCAGAGCGCCTCTAATAGGGTCGTTACCTTAGATTCAAAAAATTGAATTTGCTATTATTTTTCAGTAGTAAAAGCTTATATATTTATTTTCATTAACTTACTTTTCAGAAAAAATGGATCACAAAGGAACAATATCAAAATAAAATTTAAACATTTTCTGTCCTACCTAAAATTATTGTCTCTCTCGCTCTCTGCGCAATCGAGACATAAACAAAATACACAGAAAACTATTTCACATCATGATTCAGGACAGTTTTGATACTTTATAATTTGAGGTTAATATCACAGACCTAGATCTGTTATTTATTTATTATATAGTGTGTGGCAGTGACAACTGTTAAGTATATTGTAATTTTTCATACTCTCCTTGTTAATTAAAATTATAAGTAAAAATCACACAAAAACACAACCGGTCACTAGCACAACAAATAGTAAATGTTAAATGACAGATGACAGAAAATGTAAGTGTTCCAGCAATATCAGAATAGCCAACTTAACTTGTTATACCAACTTAAATTTCAAGCGTAATGCGCATGCGACAGTTGACGTCACAACGCCTAATACAAAAGGACGGAAAATGTTCATATTTTAAAGTTGTATATCAGTTAATATCAGTAAAAACAAAATTCTGAAAAATGTTATATTAATTTTGAGACATTCTGAATTCAAATAAATATTGTAATTGAATGCAAAACAACATTTGAGCAGACGCTCTAAATCTTAAACAGAAATATTTAATGAACAATTTGAGGCCTTGTTTATCAAAATCGGTTGCTCTGTTAAAAAAAAAATTACAGTGTTGTGAAGAGTAAGCTTTGCTCGATAACACCAGTGTTTATTCAAGTGCAGTTAGACAACCAACATTAATTATGGACTGTGTTTTGCACGTCCTGCCATCTAGAGGTATGGTCCAGAACTAAGGCCAGTTGTCTAACTACAATATACAAGTGAGATGAGCTCATCACAATTTCAGTTATCGAGACGTATCCACGTCCTGTAACTGTTGCGTTGCGGCAGCGTGGCCCAAGCCGCCCCGAGTTTTTTTGTGGACAGTTTCCAATGGACTAACTCATCAGTAATATTGTTTCGGAAGTACGTTTTTTGCTGTAATTTTTCGAAAAATCATAATATACCTAATTCGTTTCCGCAATACGAACACTTTTTCTTCCCGCTGACGCTGAGGATCCTATCTTGGGATTCTTCCAAAACTAAGGGAGGAGAATAAGGCATAGTCGGTAAAGCGTGACCCACAGTTTGGGGATGGCCCAAATATGGATGTTGCATATACTCTTTATTTAAACTACCATCAGATCTATAACAGATGCGTTTATTTTAAAAAGACTAAATGATATTTGACGAATACCTTCGGTTCTGTTGGTTCCTCTCGTTAATGTTTGTTCTATTTTGAACACGTTGGGTAAGAGATTGTATAATCGAGTCGGGTAGATGCTTCTCATGCCTGGGTTGTTGCCAGTTTCTATTAGCTGCCACATTCTTTTGTTGATCAGAGATTCTCCTTAACTCGGCTTCCTGTAATACACACATATAATAAATCATTTTAATTGCGTATATACTGTATGCAAATATCTCAATAAAACTCAAAACGCCCATGTCTTGCGGTTATAAATACAGAATTTACTAACGTGTATATACAAGCGTACTGTCATGTCGTTATTATTCTTAGAAACGGCACGCACAGTCGAGGGTATGTAAAGTTAGCAAAGGTTAGTATTCAAAAGACTTAAGACCTGCGATAAATTTTCAAAATGTATAAATCAAGAAAACGTATTTTCAAGTATGAGAATTATCCAGTTAAGCCAAAATTATGGGCAGTATTATGAAGTGATTTACTTGAACCGCAAATTTTAAATTACACAATTTTTTTTAAATAAAGTATGTTGTATGTATCCCACCTGAAAGACCCAGTGTTGATTGTAGTTCTTAGCTTCGGGATTGGCCTTGGGCTGTATCCAGTTGTCATTAGGGACATGCCTCGACCTTGGCACCGCACTTAAAGCTTGCAAACTATGCTTGGACAATTGCCTCGTCCCCTTTACGTTCGGGTGTTGCAAACTGGGAGGAACGATCGGATTAAAAACAGACAAATCCTTGACGGGTCTCAAGGGTTTCCCTGGCATTATCGGTTGTCTGTTCGGGGGAGGCGACTTAAAGGCAGAGTGGTGCATGTCGTGTTGCAACTCGGGCATGGATTTTCTGTGATCTAACGGTACCCTTAGGTCGCTGTCTATCGACATGGACCTGTCGATCCTGTGGTGATCCGGCGAGAGTTTCTGGTAGGCGTGTTGTATGTTAGGCATCGATTTTCTGTATTGCAGATCAATGTCCGGAATGCTTTTCTTGTAGACGTAGCTTGGTACGTCCGGTACAGACTTCCTGTATTCCAGAGGGACGTTTTGCAGTTCCGGCATGGATTTTCTGTAATCCACAGTACTGTCCGGCGGGTAACAAGGGTAAATTTCGTCACATATGTTCTCTAACGAGTGACGGTTGCTCTGGAGTCTAGCTTTGGCTCTGCTTTCACGAAATAACAGATTTTCCCTTTGCCTTTCCAGTTCCTCCCTCTCCAGTTGCCTCAGTTCTTGTTCTACTTTAAGGACCTCGGAATCTTGATCAGCTAGAAAATCTGACGACGGCTAAAATAGAATCCTGTTATTACCAAGTTTACGATTACACGCGTATTTCTTGTACCTGAGGGATGTAGGGGCTGTTAAATTGGTCACTTCCTAAAGACGGTTCGTACGAGGAGATACTTTCGGTTCCAGGCAAGAAACTGGATTTCCCCAAATTTTGACCGACGTATTCAATGGTGTCTCTGGATTGTTCTTCTTTTTCTACCATTTCAATTATCTCCCTCTCCTTCTTTGTTATTTCGTCTTCCTCGGATGTAATACTATTAGTTTGCTGAAAAGAATTAAGGTAAAAAATATTATATGAGAGTAACAAATATTTACCTCACTATCTTGCCTTTCATGGCTTGGTATGCTAGAATCCCCCACACTGCTACACCAAGTGTCACTAGACAACCTTCCTCTATCTATGTCTAATCCGGAATCTTGACTCTCCACCTTGCTCAATCCGCTGATCCGGTTCTCCTCCTGAAGCTTCTTATATAACGACTTTTCCAATTTCGACTCCTTTTGTAAAAAACTGTTCAACTCGGGGGGCTTTTCTATCTCCGGGTCAATCTGGTCGTCTGTGGGTTCGTCTAAACCCAAGAAACTAGATCTTTTAATATGCATTTCTTTCTTAATCCTCTTTGTAGAGTTCATGCGTTTCATCGGTTGCGGAGCGTCGTCCTCCGGTGGGGGTGGAGGGGGAGGTTTCACTTTAGGGGGTTCCATCTTGGGAGGCGTCAGGGAGAAGGGACTGTCGACAAGGAAGTCGTTTGTGATAAAGTCTGGGGCACCGTTGTACGGTTTAAATTCAATGTTCTCGTAGATTGCTGGCTTTGGTTTCGGATGTGGTACCTTTTCTACTATCGTAGCTTCCTTTGGTACCATCGGTGGGTCTTCTTTTGTGTTCGTTTGGGCTTCCTTTGCAGCAGAAATGTTTTCCGAGGCGTCTTTTTTGAGAGATTCTAAGAATTGTTCGGTCGTATTTAAAATTTCTTCTCGGGAGTATGTTGGTGACGTTATTTCTTGGCGGTCTCCACTAATATCCTCCTTGGATGCGACTTCTAAGGAATTATTATTGCTTTCTTTCTTGTCCTTGCTATCTATTCTGAATTGATCTAGTTCTTTTTCGAACTGGGAAAGGTCCTTTTCAAACTGGGTCAGTTCGTTTTCTTGGTTCAATTTTTCTATACAGCTGGGGATGGTATTCAGAGCGATGTCTGTGTCGGTATCAATTGGCTCATCAGCTTGGCTGACTGAACATGATACGTCCGCAGTGTGAATACCGCTATCTTCTCTATCCGAAGAAATTCCAGTTAGTTCCGCAGATGAGACAGAAGGAGCATAATTTGAGTTTGTACAATAATCCATAAGATTGTTATCGGTTGGCGATTTGCCGTTCATCAGGTTGTCTAAATCTCTATTAAACATATTTAATTTATTCATATATAGTTCTGTTTCTGGACTAGAACACCTATCCGAAGAATCATTCTTCCAACTAGAGGTTTTTTTGGTTTGAAAGTTGGGGGTACTGCTAGACTTGTCTAAAAGGTAGTTGCTAATTTTACTGGGACTACTCGTTTTCACGGTAGTGTTGTTGTTCTGCTTATCGAAGTCGTTTTGTTTATTGAAATTTTGTAACCGTTGCTTCACAGACACTTGAATGTCGTTCTTGTTGACGGCTTTTGAAGATTGATCTGCAGATTTTTCTAGGCTTTTCAACCTGTCCTTTATACTTCTCGAATTAGCAAAGTCTTCGGACAACCTTCTCGAACTATTGGACTCAAAGTGGTTGATCTGAATCGATTTTTCACTTTCGAATAAACCCTTACGTTTAAAGATTTCTCCCTTTGGCAGAACTGTTTGCGCTTCAGAAAATTCCTTAGATTTTGATTGTTCCCTGTTTTTGGTGAAGATGGATTCGTCCACCTTTATTTTCGTTTGGATCCTCGACCTGTAATCTTGAATCGCCCCCTCGTAGGTATATTGCTTGGTACTTTCTTTTGTACTGTTCGTTTCGGCGTATAACTTTGTCTCATATACCAGTTTAGGTTTAGCTAAAATATTAGGTTTCACAGTGCTCGTGTTTAAGTTAGTTGTATATGTACTTGAATATATTTTTGGGGAAGTATTATTATTGACTGTGGGACTGGTTGGTGGTTCTTGTTTTGTTACATTGGTTTCATCTTCACTTTGACTTTGGTTTGATGTGCTGTCTCTATTACTAGGCGAATCGTAAGTATGTATCTCTTTTTCATCCTAAAATCAGCGGGAAGGTATTTGAAACATTGTTAAAAATTATCAAAAGCGGTACTTACCAGTATACTGCTGCTATCGTCTGTGTCGACATCTTTTATACTGTTTGTTTTCGAACTACTACTACCAATACCGTAATCGCTGAGGTCGTTGGAATCGTCGTCATACACAGGTATTGTGAATTTATGCCTTCCTCTGTTCCTAGAAAATGCAAGTGTAATATTGTTTTTTTATCATTAAATTAAAGGAAAAACAGCGAATGCATCACTATTCTCAATGGTTTAAAAAGTATACTAGTTTCTTTAAAGGATCATGTTGCAACTGGGATTGCGTAATATGTATGCAGTTTAGAGTTTATGTCACAGAACAGTTCGTTTGAGAGGTGTAGTTTTATAAAAATAGCGTTCTAAACAAACTTTAAGAATATAAATTCAGTATTGTTTTCAAAATAGTTTTAAATATGTAGGTTTCACAACGGTGATCTGGATTGTGGATTCCAGGTTATATAAATTTAACCCAAATCGAGTGTTTATAAAAACAACCATAAAAATAAATTCTACCTTTCCATCATTTCGCTGAAAGTTTTACTTTTTCTCTTTGCCCGCTCTAGTTCCTCTTGCTCCGTCAGTTTCTTCACTTCGACTACTCGCTCTATGATATGCTCTTGCCGTTTTCTCCTGCTACTTTTCCAGTTGTCAAGGTTCTAAAAAAAAATTTGTGAACAAGGTACTTTTTAGTCGGCAAATTTTTGTTACCTGCTGCCAGTCCTCTACTTCTTCCCTTATTTCTTTCCGTTCTCGTTTTATTTCCTCCACCTTTTTTATCTGTTCTTGAGCTTTCTGGAATAGTGGACATGGAGCTACTTTTACGAACTGTAGAGGATTCGTGGCAGGCTTTGGAGGGGGAGGTTTCGTAATTCGACATTTCGTTGGTATATACTCGGTGTTAGAATTCTAAAAAAAAATATACGTTTAACAAGAAGTGTTATCTCATTATGAAGGGAACGGCTATTCACAGGGCCTTGAGGCACACATAACAATAACGCGAGGCGATCTTACGTTATTGGCATTTCAGAAATCTGGACTTTAATGAATTCATCGACTGGGGCTTTTATAAAAACGAGAGAGCGTTTGGTGATTAATATTGTCGATATATAAAGCAGGTAAGTAACGCGTCAATAATCCGAACTAATTAGGTCCGAAGATAATTCGGATTATCAATCGTTGCTCACATGTTTCAGAATTTTCGGATTATCGCATGTGATTAAATTAAAGAAAAGCAATAAAACCACAGGCCGGCTATTACAGCCAAATTAAATTGAGGTTACATAACGCGAATTGTCTACCACTACGTTTGTATAATCAGATTTTTAAATCACTGTTCCCAATAGGTTTTTTATTGTTAAGTAGTTATATAAACATATTTGGCATAGCTTCTTGCCAATGGTATTGACATTATGAGGTACGGCTTTACATACATAATGAGATGACTCCTTTGTAAGTTATGTGTATTACAGGGTGGACAAGCGACAGCGTACCAAGAAACTGTAATGCGGTACCTAGTAATCGAATGAAAAAAAAAAGTGCAACTACACATGTCACAGATCTATACAGCTAAGAAAACTAAACTCACAATGTTTATTTCGAAACGTTGCATTTGGCTTTTGACTATAACTACTCAATTGCGTATGTTTTCCGATCGTTTCTCTTTCGTCCAGCAAATTGCTTTACCTATTGTTACGACAAAAAAAAGAACAAAGCAGGTTGTTTAAAATAAAACCCGGAGCTGATACGAAACGTCGAAAAGGTAGAGGACATTTTAACAATTAATTATTATTGTTAATGAAAAAAAAGTATTTTAATTTTGTCGTACAAAAATACAAATTGCACAATCAAATCATTTCCTTGGTGTGCAAAAACTATGGGCGAATAGCATAAAAACAGTTATTATTTATTTTGGATAATTAAACTTGGCAATCAACTTTTACTTTACAGCTGGCTATAATTGCTACACGGCTTCTATTTAAAAATTTTAACTACAGAAACAGAAAACAGAATGAAGTTTTGCTAATTTCAATAAACAGCAGTATCCACGCCCTCGAACTGTGAAAATATTGATTTTTCTATTCAAAAGTGTGGTAAAATTGAACCAGGATGAAAACATAATTAAAGAATAGGTAGAGGAGTCGTTTTTGCGCAAATGTCATAAATCGGGTACGAGACACTTGATAATGATCATTCGAATTTCGTTTATTTTAGAAACATCGGCGAAAAATCGCAAAAAGTCGTAAAGCTCAGTATTCCGTATAGATATTCTATATGGCACATTTTTAATATCTGCAGGTGATATGCCATTCATCCGGGCAAAGAAACCTAAGAGGATTAAGCATAATTTCGTTTTTAACAATAATACGGATTGCATAATCAATCACGATAAATATTGATTAATTTTTTAATACTTTGAGGCTCGGGGGTCCGGCGCATTTTAACAGGTGAATCTCTCTGTAACCTTTAAGAATAATAGAAAGGTGTATTTAAAAAATCTATATATAATTACTTAAAATATGACCAGTCAAGGACTGACGAAGCATTAATGCAGCTGTTAATGGTCAATACACAGGGCCGGCTTGATGGGAGGGCTACGAGGGCTGTAGCCCCCGGCCTCACGAGATCGGGGGGGCTTTTGGATTTTTTTTTTTTGTTTTTTAGGATCAAACCAAAAAGTGTTTCAGGTATTGAAATGTCATATCGACAAGTTGCTGATTGCGTGACATTTTTTTTAAGAATCAAACAAAATCCTGTTTAGGTTTAAGGTTTTGAAATTTAATATCGTTTTTTTTTCGAATTAAACAAAAACCTGTATCCTTTAGCGTAATCGGAAAAACTGATCTTTGATGTTTGTTTGTTAGTACATTTTTACTGTGGACTAATACTGCGGACTCAGGCTTGGTAATATAATGAGAAAAGCGCGATAAAAACTAATAAAACTTCGTCTAATTAAATGAAAGTAGATGTCTGCGTCTCGGTGTAATTTACTTTTACTTATACCGTGTGTATTGCAGCACCGTCGACGTAGACCTAATTATAAATTGTTTAAAACAAAAAATACACGACGAAATTGACTGATTATCGTCGAAATAAAATGGGCAGGACCGAAATAGCACAGGTTAAAAAACGGTAACATAAACTAACGGGCCGTACGAGGTAATAAAATAATATTTATCGGTGGATATTCGAAAAAATGCAAATTAAAGGTGTTTATTTTCGGACCGCCTCAACGTCGGATGTTTTTATCTCGTTAAGCGAAACCTTAAGCGATCTGTCAGCCGGGTAACCTTATAGTTTCAAAATTATTAATAGGATCTTATCTATTTGTGTGCTATGTTTGCATGAGTCTGTTTGATGAATGCGTTTATTTGTATGTAAGAAAACAGGCTAATTAAAATACCTTGTTAATTTATTTACCCGTTTTAAAATTAGTAAAACACACATTATGTCAAAATAAACATCCATTGTTAACCAGATGGAGATAAAAGGTAACACTTAATACTTTTATCCAACAAATTCCGTTGAACTTAAGTTCAGCTCATTTGTGCTTATTCCACGAATTATCATTAAAAAACTTTTCCTTTGATATTTTTATTATGGTTTAAATTTGTTACCTAAAATGAACCATTACCATAAATTTTAATTTCCAGGTTTATTATTACCACCACCAGGTATATTGCCGAGACTGTAAAATTTATGAGTAGTACTTTAAACTGTCAAAAATAAACAGGTCTACTTAAAAGCCAAGTTCGAAGTTTTGCTCTGCCATTTAGTGTAAGTATATGTTTTACCGGAACCGTCAACAATATGGTTCTGGATTTAATTCCAGTAATTTAATAATGCGAATAATATGAATATGGATGAAAATAATAGTTGGCAGCAATTACGGGCCATTACATCATTTATCCTTCAATTTTTGTGGGTCTCAAGTAAAATAAAGCTGTTTTTTAGATCCGTGTTTCCCATGCCACGTCCAAAGCGAGCCAGAACAGAAAAAAACTTGAATTATCCGCTTTCTTTGGTCATGTTAACATTTGTTAATTTTTGTGTATTAGACTGCGTTTAAGCGCGTGCGAAATCGTCTTATTACGAGGCTTAGAAGGGAGATGGAGATTTTCTGGAATTATTCGCGTAAAATGCTAATTCCAACGGCGTTTAAAATCTACAATAAACCCTTTTGACCTTCCTAAGTATACCGGTGAGACGCTGTAGACTAAACACGCAACGCAGCTTTCTTTGCAATAACGAACAAATTGGAATGAACAGGAAAGTTTCAGATAAAATCTCCGATCAAATTAAAATAATTAGAGGCACTTCTAAGACCTTTTCTTTTTTTCCCAATTAAGGTTAAAATAACTTTTACTGTTTTCGACTGACTTTTGAATTTTCGACCTACCCGCCTTTCTCGTTCTGGGTGTTCCCTCTCATGGTCGTGGTTGTCCATTTTCTCGGTTAGAATTTCATGCTTTCAGGTCGTTTTAAGATATCTGCAAGAAAAACATAACACATTAAATTCCTCTTTGTTTACAAATACGGTGGAACTGTGTAATTAAACGTGTTAACTATGAATAATAATTTAATGATACATAATAAATGTCAAGCCAGACTAATAATTGATTCCAAAGATAGATGGATATAAATATTTCATGTTATTCTGTTCGTTTTAATAACGGTCCGGCGGATAATATTAATAATAAAAACATTCACAATTGTCACCGTCGTTGCATTATTAATGTATTATTAATATTGTAGTGTGAGGCGATGGAAATTTTATGGGAGAGCGGACGGTTTTGTAAAACCACGTAAAGTTACACAAGATACTCTTAACAGGCCTATTATAGAGATCCTCACACCTTCGGTTTCTATTTCCGTCATAAATGATACATACCAAGTATCGTCTAAGCAGGGAACGATCATATTTAGGAAATATAGCAGAACCTCGATAATCCGAACTAATTGGGGAAACGTTCGGATCATCAAACATTGCTCACGCTAACGCACAACAAACTCACGAATCAACCAGAAACAGACGAAATTACATATTATTTTATGTAGGTATTTAGATTCGAGTTTTAGGTCGTTCGGATTAGAGAGGGGAGAGGGGGTTCAGATTACCGGCATTCGGATTATCGAGGTACTGTATTGGCAAAAAATCATTGTTACTAACAGCAGATTAAAGGAAAATTATAATTTTTGGAAAAAACTATATTGCAAATTGATAAATATGTCTAAAAATAAAAAAAATGAGATAACTTTAAAAATTTATTGTGGCCGTCCTAATAAATCGATTTTAATTTTTCAAAAACCATTTGAAAGGTTGAGCGCTCTTTTCTATATGAAAAAATTTTCAAGTATCTAGATGCTTTATTTGAGGCATCATTTTGAAAATTCGAACATTTTTTCAAAAAATTATTTTGCGAAAACTATAGTACCGATTTTAATGAAATTTGGTGTTGGTTTTTTATACTCTAAAGTTTTTTTTACCAAAATTAGAATGCCCTCGGAGCAATTAAAATATGTATTTTTAAAATATTATCCAAAAAAAAACCTGATTATTTTGCCTTTTTTCATCAATTATTGCTATTTTGCATCTTCGGTAATAAATTTAAACATTTTTAACCTACAGTATATTGTGCAAAATTCAAATGTAAAACTTTTTCCTCTTCAATATTCTTCCAAAATGCGTAGGTTCCAAGATATAAGTAAAAAAAACTCGGATAAAATAGGTATTTTTTAAAATTTTTTAAACATTTTTGCAATTTTGAAAATGTTCCAGACCTCGCCCAGATCTAGGGATCAACATGTTTATTATGTGAGTTGTACTGTAGGTATTTCAGCAAAAATTAGGTTGCCCCCTCGTACATCCAAGAAGTGGAATATTTCGACAGATCCGCCTTGGTCTACTGGTAGAAAATCAAAAACCAAGCAATTTTTTTCCCAAAAACAGCATAAGACATCGAAATTTGATACTAGTAAGGGTTGGTGTTGTTAGTTTTTGATTATCCGCTAGAGATCTACGATTTTTCGATCTTTCCATGTGACATTTTATGACATAACTTTTTTGAGGTTAGGTTTTTTACAATGGATGTTCTTTATTACATGAAAATTTCATTTTACATAAAAATTGTACTGTTTTTATATAAAACGAAATCTTACATCGTAATAAAGAACCTAACATCAAAAAAGTTACGTCATAAAATGTCACTGAGATCGTAGCATCATCAAAGACTTACCTGTAGCAGATTTCATTGCATTACATTGTGTTCTGGTAAATATGGCAGAAATTTGATATTTAAAAGTCAGTTTTCGATCCCTCATATTTCAAAAACAAAAAAATCTTATTTTTCGGTTGTAGCAGTCCCTAAATTTATGGCACCCTTGTGTTTAATCATTATTATTCGAGAAATAATCGAAGGATCGACAATGAAAAAAGACGAGAAAACATTTTTTCCAAACATAAAAATACAAGTCAGTTTTCTATGAAATTCAAGAATATCCCATCATTATTGGAATAAATAAACGAATGAAGTAGTCTGGAATTTCATAAAACACCGACATTTATTTTTACTTGGGAAAAAATCGCACTCCTTTTTAACGTTTCGATCTTGCTTTTCTGATAAACATAAAATTGAGTCTAATAAATTTCGTACGGGTAAAACATAGGTTAAAACTAGGAACATGATCTTGCCGTATAACTAGTTATAAGAGGTAAAACTTGTAAATAGCACAAATACCGTAAGGCAAATAATAAATGCATGCGAATAAATCCAAAGACAACACAATGATGCAGACGCAGAGAAGTTTCCCGCTAAAGGTACTTTATCGGATTTTCTACGCAGCTCACTACACTGAGAGACGTGCTTTTTAAAATCATTATTTAGAGCGAAATGTAGATGAATATACAGGAAAAATAACAGGAAACTTTCCATTTCACTACGCGTCAATTATAGAGTAATTCCCATACGGAAAACTCGAATTATTCTCTAATACACCTTATCAGCCCGTAAATATGCTGTTATTTTCTAAACGATATAATTTCTCCTGTTTTCTACACAAGCGGAAATATAAATATCGAAACTAGAAAGTGTTATGGATTTATGCGCGCTTATTAATTGAATGTTAAAATGTCACGTTAACAGTAGGATAATTCAGTTTTATCTACATATTTAATAGAGGAATTTACAATAGTTTAAAAGTATCCGCTCTGGTATTCGCAACATTCAATTTATTCGAGTTGTAAATATTTCCGATAAGGCCGAATCAGGTATAATAATAGATCCCGGCGATTCGAATGATTCACCGGCGAGTGGGATCGCTGTATAACCTGTTGAGGCTGCAAGTTTTCCAAAAAAAAAAGTTAGCTTAAAACTTAAAATCAACAATCTCCTTTAACGTCAACGAATTAGGATGCATTAAAAAAATTAAACCGGTGGTGTGTCACACAGGTTCTACTGGTTAATAACCACATTTTTACGACGAAAGTCGTTCCTATACACAACAATTAAAAGCTATGTCATTGTCGGTAATTAAAGACTTTTATTCGACACCCTTTCGAAACGCAAGCACGCAAATAATTTGCCCTTATTTACTATTCCACTTTAAAAGCGAATTGTCAGTATTAGGTAACTGATAATTTTTACCAAATCAAATTAAATGTTCTAATTAATCTTGAACAGGTATAAGTGACTGCTTACCATTTACTTAGCTAATTTACGTTTCGAAATATGCACATATACAGTTCAATTAATTTTCGACGTCGCAAGGGAAAGTTAGCTGTGCCAAAGTCAAAAACGTTCACAAAAACCACGAAAGTCGTAAGTTCCGTTAAATTAGGAAGAAACCGAACGCAAACCTCGATTCTTCTTTAACTGTTATAAGTTACTAGGTGTTATTTTTATGTGTTTAACAGAACCGAGGCAGATATTATGATTAACAAACACGGACACCTGTCACCACAGCCGTTAATATACATATAACGCAGTGATAATAAAGATATAAATGAATTATGAATGCACCAGGTAGCAACAATACGACGTATACGTTTTAATTGAATACATTATATGGTTATTTTTGCATTAAATCGCTTGCATCACGTGTAGATCGATGAATTTAAATGCTGCATAGCGAAACGGCTTTTTTTTTATGAAAATCATTTTTTTTAAACGTATGTGGTATGCAATTATCTATAGGTCAGTATGTGAGAACCGTGGAATACTTTCACACAAGCACCCGCTGATCTTTAACTACCAGTCGTGATTATTTGCTAAGAGCACTGCCAAAAATGACAAGATTTATAATCACATAAATTACGGTTTTCAATATAAAAAAGATTTATTGCCTAATTACGTTACAGAATCTAAAAGGTGTATCGAAATTAGATTGCATCCGCGTTAAATGTACAGGGCGTCACAATATTCCGTGTACATTGCATAACTTACAAAGTATTTCGAACACGATTTTATTTATTGAAATAAAAGAGACACATTGGCTTGCTAGAAGTATTTTTTCTGGGTACGACACCTGCTCGTAGACAAGCAGGCCCTCGTTACACACAAGCGGCCAATTCTACGAATGCACTTACAATATAATAAGGTCCCGCCGATGTTCTCATGCTTTATCGGTTCGCCTTTTGCCATCTTGCGCTGTTACAAGCACTTTTAGAAATAAAACCAGCAGTTGCTGACAAAGAAACGGTAAACTGTTATGCCCATTTGAAGTTGTACCAACAGATGTTCTACTGGCGCTGTGAATTCCTATTTTTGGAAAGCCAGTCGTAAACATTTTCCCCAGCGGGGGCATATCCGCACGACGCGACGTTCGTTCGCAGCGATCGATTAGTTTTAATGTTTTTACCACACTTTCCGATATTAACGTTACTTGGAAGCCAGCGTGCACAATTTTTTTTTAATACTGAAAACGAAACGTCTAAATCCGGCAGTTCCCTTGTCCCTACGGGATTTCCTTCTTGGTCGGTTCGCGATGTAAATCAAAGTGCATCGATCGAACGGTGCGATTGGCCGTAGGACCCAAAAATAGAGCACCCCGTTTGCCAAGAGCCCCGCGTTATCAGCCGTTCGGTGATTTGGTTCGTTCGACATATAGATATTGCACCGAGCTCATTGCACACAGTGCATACCTTTTAAGAATATATTTTGTGGCGGCCGTTATAAATATACATAAACAAGAGCGCCGTACTCCGATGGAATTCTAACCATTCCGATAGAGATGTGAGCGTTCTAGCGCGGTCACATACGCTTAAAAATCACTCAGCTGTGATCGGAATATGCCGAGGAATCGGCATTTGATAACAACGTGCATCCACGTTTACTACAGATGTGAGCCACTTAGAAAACAAATGCATAATAACATAAACAATTTATGACTTGTTTTTACATTTTCCGTAAGCACGTAATCTCCTAAATATGTGGCGAAAAATTAAAATCGATAGCGAACTATTTGAAACAGTCCAAGCCACTCGCAGAGCATT